TTTTCTCTACTTCATGTCACTTTTTTGCTTCTATATCTTCTACCGTATCTCATTTTTGGGCCTTTTCTTCTCGACTTCATTCTCATTTTTTTAGCTCTTTTTTAGCTATTTTATGTTTTTTTTTTTTTTTTTTTTTTTTTTTTTTTTTTCCTTCAACAAGCTTTTCATTGACATATTAATTGATCATGCAAGATAAAACAAAAGTTTTGGAAAAACTTTTTACAATGCATAACTGAACAAATCGTATTCATCATTTTTATCAGTTCACTATACTTTGTTGTATACCATGTGCCATTTTATTTTGCCAAATTTCGTTTTTCCTCTTTAACACCAGGGGCTGTGGCCCATAGGATATCACACGTGTATACTGAATTACATGTACACAGTTATATCTACAAAGTTATATCTACAAAAGTTATTTGTACAAAGTTATGTGTACAAAGTTATGTGTACAAAGTTATGTGTACAAAGTTATGTGTACAAAGTTATGTGTACAAAGTTATGTGTACAAAGTTATGTGTACAAAGTTATGTGTACAAAGTTATGTGTACAAAGTTATGTGTACAAAGTTATGTGTACAAAGTTATGTGTACAAAGTTATGTGTACAAAGTTATATGTACAAAAATATGTATATCCAATTACATTTACAAACGTATACGTTCATGTATGTATAATGCATACGGATCAAGTGGCGAACGAAAAGGGCCAAGGATTTTGATATCCCTCGTTAAGAGCATTTCACGCATCATTTGATTCATTTGAAAAAAATAACGAATTTGTAATTTGCATCCCAACATATAGTAACTACATATCATTAGTAGAAAAAATACAATAAACAAGTGAAATATGTTCATGTTTTCATTGTTTTCAGCTTTTTATAACCCCTGAGTAATTGTAGTGTGTACATACATATATATGTGTAGTACTGCATACGTACTTAATGTCAGTTGTTCTGACAGGGAGATTGGGCGAACTCGTCAGAGTGAGTATATTATGTTGATAATGCTACCTTATGGATGACATCACAGGGTGTCATAAATTAATCGAACAGTAAGCTATGTATAAAGGAATAAAATTGGTCTCCTTAAGGATAGTCTTTTCTCAATCGCAATGAATAGAAACGCATAAAAGAGACATATATATCCACATATAATTCCTTTTTATGTTAACCCCAGAATATATGTATATGGTGATAACATCCCCACACACATTATAACACACAGACCATGAAACTGTTGTCTGTGGAATAATTTATAAAAAAAAAAAAAAAAAACGTTTAGCTCGGGAACCATACTGTATTGTGTAATTCATTAAAAATATGATGAATAAACCAAATTTTCAAGAATAAAGAAAAGAAAAAAAAGAATAAAAAATAAAATTAGGAATCTTGAAAATATGTGGCGAAAGATATTTCAGATTTCTGTACTTGAATTTTTTTTTTTTTTTTTTTTTTTTTTTTTTTTTTTTTTTTTTCAATTAAAATATTCATTTTTAATTATTTTTTTTAAAAAAAAAAAAAAAATAAAAAAAAAAATAAAAATTTATAAAAAATGTGGAGAAAAATATTTAAAATTTTTGTATTTGAATTTTTTTTTTTTTTTTTTTTTTTTTTTTTTATTTGTATTTTTCAATTAGAAGATTCAGTTTTAATTATATTTTTTAAAAAAAGAAAAAAAATATAAGAAAATATACAACTGTATAATATCTTCTAAACAATATTAAAAATGAGATTTTTAAATATGGATATAAATGTACAAAATGAGACAATAACCAATACCATCCCCACAATTTATGCATGTTTTGTTTTCACATCCCTCAACTGTTACACATACAGCTATGAATAAAATGGCTGCATGTTTGTATTATTTATATATATCCGAAAAATGATTGAAAAATAGTAAGGAAAATAAAAAAAAAAAAAAAAAAAAAAAAAATTCGTGTATGATATTATTATAATTTTTATTTTTTACTTCTTTTCTTTAAGCAAATATGTTTGCAACTTAAAAATCTTTGGTAATCTGATTTTTAATGAATTACGAAAATACAACAACAGAAAAAAGCCTTTCAGTAGTTCCAAGCTTTTATATTGTGTGTGCATTTTTATTTTGTTTTATCTTTCTTTGCTTATTTTTCCCTTCTTTAGATTGATAAGTAGGTCATATTTATAGCCTTTTTTTAAATATATGATTATTTCCCTCTGCCATCGTATATTTTAAATGACAAGTTCTCACAGAGAGTTTTTATGCATGCAACAGGAGGACAAAGGGCTTAAAAAAAAAAAAAAATAAAAATAAAAACAAATAAAAATAGTTAAAACAAATATAAGCAGTAACAACAAGTATAAAGCCGTAACAACAAGTATACGTGGTAACAACAAATATACGTAATAAAAACAAATATAAAGTAATAAAAACAAATATAGTAATAAAAACAAATAAAAATAATAAAAACAAATTAAAATATGTTAAAATAAATATATGAAAGTTAAAAGAATGTAATAACACGGTAGACATATTCTACATATAAATATGCCATACTAAAAAAGGGCATGGGTATCTCATATGGGAAAGGGAAAGGGGGTGAGAAAAAAGTGTGTCATATGTAAAACATAGACTGAATATTGGTGATAAAGCTGAATTTTTTGATCACATAGAAATATCCATATTAAATTGGGAAGTTTAATTAAAAAGGGATACAATTAAATGGACTTCTGGATTAAATTTAAAATTAAAATAATCTCAACACTATTTGAAATGGGGTATACATTTATTTCAAAAAATTTAAACACGCACTTAAATTAAAAATTGCTTAATCACTTTTGCTAACATCAAAAAATATAAAAAAAAAATAAAAAAAACAATCCTCCTATACATATATAGGCGGGGAAGGGGATCAGAGATCAATAGTTTATTATAGATCGACATTGGTCAATTCTCCTTCGGAGTCGTCATCATTTCCAGTTTCCATCATTTTTTTTTCTGAATTAAAAAAATAAAATAAAATAACGCAATTAATGTATATAAACAGTAATCATGATGTAAGTTGAGTGCGTTCGTATGTATGACACGCATAGCAATGGGGGTCTGACGTACTTTCACAATAAACCTTTGTGAAAATGGTAATATATATGTGTATGTACGTGGTGTGTATATATATATATATATTCACATGAACAGGTCGGTTATATAGTTTCACTAGTATTAGCACAACCTTGCGAACATTGCACACATGTATAAACATCGTTTAACTAATATTAAATTGTCTTACTTTCTAATATAATGTTTCCAACACGGTAAATTATTGATCCAAACAGGTAGCCAAACTGCAAAAAAAAAAAAAAAAAAAAAAAAAAAAAGTTAGATGAATAAAAATATTCGTTTTGACTCTTCACATAACTAGAGTGTAACACTTTTTTAAAAAAAAAAAAAAAAAAAAATCCTCTTTTCCTTACCAAAGTTACAAAGTCTAATACTCGGGGCTTCATAACAGCGTCACCCTATGTGTGAAAAAAAAAGTTATGTAAAATAAAAAGGTTATGCAAAAAGGATACAACGAGGAAATATGTAACTACACACATTTATGGTAATTAGGATGATCTCATCGCACACAGAAAGCAAAATAAAAAATATGGGCACAAAAATATAATGGGGTATATATATCATCTCTTCTCTTCTCGTGCTAAAATAACAAAAAAACATTTCGCTACGAGTGTTCCAAATAAAAAATAAAATAAAGAGAGATTATATATTACCGCAATAAATTTAAAGTAATATGCTATTGTTATTGCTGGTCCTTGTATACAACTAACGATGGTATATGTCATGGTTGAAAATTTATCAATTATCTACAATGAGGAAATGATGGGGAAATGGGGGGGGAGGTAAAAAAAAAAATATAATAATTTGTATGTTATATATATATACAGTAAAAAAAAAAAAAATAGGACACAATATCAGTTTGAAAAAATCTATCAAATATTTTGCTTTTCTTCTTCTGCTTACAAAACTGGTGATTAAATTATCGCAAATGTTGAAAAAGGAATACAAGATAAACGTTTTCTACGGATTTAAAAGAAAAAAAAAAAAAAATTCATATAATAAAAAATTTGTTGAGTGTGTTTTGTTTATATATCGTGATGATGTTGTCTATAATTTCATTTCACTTCCATCACGTTCATTTTTTTCTTTTTTTAGAAACTTAATTTTTCGTTATCTCTTCTTACCCATGCTCCTTCACAATCGTCACACATTCGTGACATTCCCAATCCACAGTTCTAGGGGTAAATAAAAAAAAAAATATATATACATATATATATTTAAGGGATAAAAAAATTGTTGCAACGTGCTACAAATAATTGTTACGAAACGTCATACAAATCTTGTTATGAAAAGAGTGAAATATGGTGAAAAAAATGTTTGTGCGCGGGAGATACATATCCATAAACTTGCTACTTACCTCTACTATAGTATTTTGTCCTAGAAATAAGCATTTAAATCCATTTTGAATATTGGTGCCAATTTCGGAAAATGGTAAATTAACTGCAAAGGGTACAGAAAGACAGATTAAGTAAAAAATACGTAAGACGCAAAAATGCTACAGAGCATGGGATGAAAACTAACGGAAACGTGCAACTATAAATATGGTTTTATCATACAACACAGAAATGTGTTTTTAAATCAAATGGATCACAAAATGCTCCATCTTGTGATTTATAATGGGATTCTAACTTTGCTTCAAAAATGGGAGAGTATACATCGGAAGCATAAGGCAAGATGTGAATATTTGAAAAAAGGAAACAACGGCCTGTTAAGAGAAAAAAGAAAAAATGTAAAAAAAAAAAAAAAAAAAAAAAAAAAATTAAAAAATGCCAAATTTTAATAGACATTCTTGTCCCAAATAATTCATGCTTTTAAAAGGTAAAAGGGGGGGGAAGGCAACAACTTTTGCACATTCCCATGTTCATATTTCGTGGGGAAAATTTTTCCTTACGTTCAGTCGAAGAATATTTATTTTGTACTTTTTGAAAACTATTTCCCTAGTCATATTTGAAAAGCTTAGCGGCTGATGGGGGTGAGTGGGGGGTGTAAAGAATGAGTACGGGGATGGATTAAGCAAAGGAATAAATGTGATTATCAAAAGGGAGTAGCTGATGAATGGATGTATGGACGACGCTGCATGTGCGTGCCTCTGCGTACAGTGCGTGTAACATCTCACATACACAAAAGTAGACTTACAATTAGTGATGCAATTAACACGAGGTTGAAAACGATGGAATTTTCTTCTTGAGTTTCAAAAGACAATATGTATTCAACAGTTGCAATAGTTATGACTATGATAAGTGCTCCTACATAATTGAATAAGTGATATCTAGGAAGGGGAAAAAGGGAGCGATATAAAGTTTGTTAAAAGTTTTCTATGAGTATACATGAAAGTTATGTTAAGTATATATGGGTTGCAAGAAGAAGAGGGCAAAAGACTAGTTGTAAAAACACCCCCTACTGACGCATTCTTCTATTGTCTATTTTTCTATCGTCTCATTTTTCTACCGTTTCATTTTTTTTTTTTTTTTTTTTTTACCTGTATCTTAAAATCAAAAAGCAGAAGAACATATTTACCGGAATACTCAGTTGCATAACAAACGACTGAATATTTCCCGTGGTTCTAGTAATTCCTGAAAAAAAAGAAAAAAAAAAGCATGAGTATGCAATTTGGGAGAATAGAAATATGTAAAAAATACATACATAAATATATATAAACATATGATCATTAAAAGTGGTGTTATTAGGTTTATTTCTCCAAAAGGATATAAAATTGGGAGATATTTGAATCCTTTTTTTTTTTTTTTTTTTTTTTGTATGTATGAGGATTACCTATGAAAGCAATGATAACGGAACAGGCATCCAGTAGAGATATCAGTAAAAACTGAAGTCCAAAGTTTCGATGTTTCTCCTGTGAGTACACGAGAAAATGGAGGGGGGGGAATTATAAAAATATATCTACATATATATCCACATATATATCTACATATATATAATGGCATGGATATGCAGCTAGCACATTCGATGTGCTTTCATGCCGAGGAACTATTCTGAGATGCCACACATCCTCCCTGCGTTTCATCTTTCCACACAAAATGTACATAAAAACTGAAACCAAGGGAAAGACTTTTTTTTTTTTTTTGCCACTACGAACCTTTGCTGACAGAGGACGACCAAAGATAAAATATAATATAAAGAAAATAACCATGCATATACAATTGTGTGTTTCGGATGTTACAAAACTATAGTTTCCCATTTTCTTCAACGTTCTTTTTGCAAATATTTTATTCATTACACATACGCACAAATATATTATGCTCAATATGTATACAAAAACATTTTCCTTAACTTCATTACATACAAGTTGTAAAAAATTCGTAATTTTTCTTCCGATAGTGGAATTCTCTTGTATTTCACCTGTTCAAGAAAAGAGAGAAATAAAATGAGGATAATAAAAATAGGCACACATACACTTTTCTAAAATAATCAGTAGTGATGATGGAGAGATGGGATAATTAAATTGTTCATGGATATATACTCAATGTTGAACAACTAACCCCCCCCCCCCTTCCCCTTCAGTGACATATGTAAGCACATTCTCCTAAATTATTATACGTTCACAGAAATTTATGCACATTCAGGGTTGTTTTAGCAGTTTTTATACGTCTGGTCTAATCAGATGACACTTTTTTTTTTTTTTTTCGATTTTCTTTTCCTTACTTTCATTTTGAATATGGCTATCTATCTTCTTGTAAGACTCATCAGAAATTAATTTTGGGTTTCCCTTTTTCTTGTTTAAAATAGTCATGATGTATAATTACAGTTTGGGGTTTGAAAAAAAAATCGACAGCATGTAAAATGGAGAAATATTTTAAGTAACGAAAAATGGGTGCTGAGATGGGTAAATAGTTCTATATCCAGCAGCAATGGCGTTATAAATAAAAAATGGCGCAAATTACAGCACAGGGGGGAGTATACATACAAATATATGCATATATATATATATATATATATATTGAATGCGAACGAGATCGTCGAGCGGAGAACAAATAATCTGCATGTACATGTGTATGCGTAAAAATGCATGAGTTGGACAATACAGTTCTACTGCTTCAAATATCTGTCATTCATAAAGAAAGGAGGTTCGTTCATAAAAGTGGAATTAAGTGCATACAATTATTATGTTTTGAAAAACAACAAATTCGAGTAAGTATCCTTTTAAGCAAGAACTTAATAAGTATTCTGTTCTTCTGGTAGATGAAAAAAAAAAAAAAAAAAAAAAAAAAAAAAAAAAAAAAAACAGCACAGGAAAAAACAAGCGGTGATTGCTACAGTGTTGCTTCATGCATAAAAGCCAACACAAAAAAGTCTAATACTCATCATGTGAAACACTTCATAAGTATTTGGGGTGGGTAGGGTAGCGGAGTAGAGATGGTATAAGCATGCTCTAAATTGTAATAATCATGCGCCTATTTTTGGTTGCAGATTGTTCATAACAAAATGGGCTTGTTAATCAAAAAAAAATGAAAAAAAAAAAAAAAAAGAAAAAGCAATAAAATAGTAAAACAAGATATGGAAACAAAATAGTGAAGTAAAATTGTGAACTAAAAATTCGAAACAAAATACTGAAATATAATAGTAAAATGTAATAATAAATTAAAATAAAGCGATATAATAAAATAATAAAGGAAAAGAATAAAATTTCATTAAAAAATTAGTTAAAAAATTCATTAAAAAATTTATTAAAAAATTGATTAAAAATTCTTTAAAAAATATCATTAAAAATTGATTAAAAATTCTTTAAAAAATATCATTAAAAATTGATTAAAAATTCTTTAAAAAATATCATTAAAAATTGATTAAAAATTCTTTAAAAAATATCATTAAAAGTTTATTAAAAAATCCGTTAGAAATTTCTCTAAATATTTCTTTAAAACGGTAAAAGGTTGTATAAATATATACCCATATGTATGTATACTTATATAAAAAATAAATACCTCGCAGTTTTAGCAAAAAAGTAATAGGGGGGGGGGGGGAGATAAACGAAAAAAATTATTGCCACTCCACAAATTGTTATTCTATTTGCTTCTATTTATTTGGGTTGTATGTTTTATTTTCTATCTATTATTTTTTAAAAAGCAACAAAGAAAATAAAACTTTTACAACTCTTATATGTCGAAATACAGTAGCTTTAAAATGGGAGCGGAAATCCCTTGCTATGTTTTATGGGGAAATAATTTACCACCTAAATATGTCGCTTAATTTTACGACCTAAATATGGTGCTTAATTTTACGATCTAGATATGCCGCTTAATTTTTCTAACTTAAATTCATCGTGCGTAGGTTTTTTTTTTTTTTTTTTTTTTTTCTTGAACTAAAGAATTTCAACTTTTGAATTCTGTTCTATCCATAATATCCTCCTTCATATAATAAATATACGAATGGTACATGAGATTGTGTGCTAACACTACATTTTAGAGGTACTTTGACAATGGGAAATTCAGTAGTTGGGGTTGCATATATATATATACATATACATATACGTATGCATTTTCACACATGTGTTTATTACTGTGCGAGGTTATGGAGCAGATAGTACTTAAGTCTCTTCACCGCAGCAATAGAGAGAACATGTGATTTAATACAGGCATATATTTACAGATGAACTATAAGAATAACATGCATAACATCAATACATGCATTTATATTTATGCGGATATGAAAAGCAAAAATGTTCAAATTTGTAAAAAATAAAAAAGGGAGAAAGCCTTCAGCTGGTAAGAAACCCGTATGAAGCTCACAACGGGGTATATAGTCATCGCTCATATGAACGTAGACATATTTATTTAATGCTTGTTTCAGAAAAAGAAAAAAAAAAAAAAAATGTAGAAAATGGTAGAAAATTGGAAAAGTTCTAAAAATAGTAGACAAAGTAGAACGGGTAAACAATTGCATAAATGTTCCAAAGGTTGCTGCAAATTAAGAACATATATGGTTCTCAATTTTTTTACCATAAGCAAACTGAACTGTCGCGCCGAATCTAGGCACAAAAAGTCTGATGTATTTTCCTAACCTGTAATTAATGTACACACGTAACTTCACCTACGTCTTCTCAACACCTGGAAGTTAATATGTACACACTAAGTATTGTGCTCCTCAGGTGAAGCTTTTCAAATCCACGGTGGCTTTTTCTCCACGTTATCATATGCATAAGGGTGTATAATATATGTATACATATGCAGCGTGTAAGCAAATTAAATGCATTAACAGGTTTGCACAGATGGGGCCTGTTATATAGATAGATACTCATTGATGAACGGGTTTCTTCAAGGGCGTACGAACTTGAGGGATCTTTCCATTTCCAAGCTGCATAAACCCACGGGGGTTGTTGTTCAACTATTTTCAGATAGATCTTCACAAATCCCCCCCCACCCCCCTTTCCCTAAACAATTGAGGGTATTATTGCAAAGAGATCGAAGCATAAGAAAAAAAAAAAAAAATGTAAAAAAAAAAAAGTTTACTCTCATATGCTCCCTCAAATTGTCTGACATTTTGTTGGGGTTGTGGGAGGGGAAAAAGGTACAAGTTGTGTAATCGACATGATGAAGTAAAATTGAAATTAAATCAAAAAGTGAGCCAAGTAATTATATTTGTTAAACAAGTGTTCCTTAAATATCGTTGCAAAAATTAAAAAAAAAAATATATTCTTAATATTACATTTCCCCCCCCCCCCCCTCCTAAAATTAAAAAAAAAAAATATTTTTTAAATTTACATTCCCCCCCCCCCCCCCCCTAAACAATTGAGTGTATTATTGCAAAGATATCGCAGCATAAAAAAAAAAAAAAAAAAAATGCCACTTTTGAAATAGTGTTAAAAAGGGGGTTAAGAACAGGATATAGAAAAAATGTTCTTTTGGTAAAAAAGAAACATTTCGCTAATTGCCATTATTCATATATATATATATGTATATGCACATGCTGTAGATTTTTTTTTTTTTTTTTTTGGAGTTGTGGTGTAAAAGGAATGATACTACACAACCTCAGCAAAACATACACTCTCAATATTCATGGCCAATCGCACTGGCGCCAAAAGGACAACGATGGGGGAAAGAGAGGAAACATTTTGAGATTCCAATTTTGTGTGATTTTTCTGAATTTTTTTCCCCACTCCATTAACACTCCCATTTGAGTGAACTCCACCTCTCTCTGCTTCTTCCCTTCTCTCTCTCTCTCTCTCTCTCTCTCTCTCTCTTTTTTTTTTTTTTTTTTTTTTGAAACCAAATGAAAGGCACTATTGTGCTAAGTGCCAAGAAATTGTACGTATACAATGGGAGGGTAACGAATCCACTCTGCTTCCTGATTAGATCAAACAAGCGTTTTGATATTCATGTAAGAAAAAAGTTGGATTTAATTCGCGCAGAAGAAAATACTGTGGGGAGATATTACACTACTAGTAAAAAAGAGGAACACAATGTGATGAAAAAAAAAAGTGTTTTCTTAACATGGAGATGCTTAGCTTTGAATGTAGCATTATCAGGACCCATTTTATATTTCTACATGTCTCAATGTGAAAAGAGGAAAGGAAAAGGACATGTTGGAATAACAACAGTAGAGAATATTGGAAAACCGTTGATAGGAGGAGATTTTACTTTATTTAATCATAATGGGCAAGTAGTAACAAATAAATATTTTAAGAATAAATTCTGTTTGATTTATTTCGGGTTCACGTACTGTCCAGATATATGTCCTCAAGAATTAGAAAAACAAACCATCGTTATAGAAAAAATAGGGAAAAAATATGGAGATATAATAACACCTGTTTTCATTTCAGTTGATCCTAATCGAGATACCCTAGCACAAGTAAAACATTACTGCAGTTCTTTTAGTGATAAATTAGTAGGTCTAACGGGCACTAAGGAACAAATTAAAAATGTCGCCAAACTATTTCGTGTATATTATAATGAACATATTGCAAATGATCAGAATACCAAGACAGATGATGAAAATACAGATTCTCCACTAGTCAACAAAAACAATTATCTAATTGACCATTCTATCATCCATTACTTGTTAGATGGAGATGGAAAATTTGTCGATTTTTTTGGAAAAAATTGCACCATCAATGAAATGGTTGACAAAATATCTCATTACATTGATTTGCATTTACAGAATGGTCTCAAAATGGAGGGTTATAGCAAGGGAGGTTGAGGAGCGCGTGTGGGGAGTACAAATTAATGCACCACTAGTTCAGAAAGAAAGAAGAAAAAAACATAGTTTCTATTTTGTCAGCTCAAGAGATCGTGGTGCAAGAGCCTTTTCACGCTAAAAATGAAAGCAGTGAAAACGGTGAAAACAGATAAAATTGCTAAAAACCATCTTTTTTCTTTTTTTTGTGTGTTCACATTCTTAACCAACTTATCTCTCTGCTAGCGAATATGTACATATCACACTACATGCCTTTAATATACTCTATTGGGTCTGAATTTTCCCTGGATCTGTTTTATACCCAATTGTGCAAGCAACATGTTTTCATGAACAGAAATATATATGCAGCAAGAAAATGAGACACACATTTGAGAAAAAAAAAAAAAAAAAAAAACACTTGATGACGAAAAATAATTCCATTTCAATTAATTGAAATAGAAAGGAATGACTTTTTCTCCCTAATCATATTTGGATTTATTCTTTTTGATATGAACGCAGGGAAAAAGCACAATTTTTATACTGAATATCACAAGGATACATAAAACTTTAAGATTAATTAAAAAAAAAAAAATAAAATAAATAAAAATAATAATAATCTTCGTTTTCAATTAGAAATTAAGCGTTTTTTTTTTTTTTCCTTTTTTTTTTTTTTTTAATATATATATACATATACATGTGTGTGTACACGATGTATGCATATATATCCATGTATATATACACGCAGTTGGAATTATCATAAGCATATATATATAATAACCCATTTATGAAAGTGTAAAAATTAGGACATATACACGTTATATCACATATAAAGAAGACGATGAAAGAAAAAAGAAAAAAAAAAAATACACACATTTCTATTTGCAAAAACGAGTAAAAATATCGCTATATAGGTGGGGGGGGGGGGGGGGGGGGGGGGTGGCAAATATGCTGGATATGTCAAGTATAACAAGTTGTGTATAAACATTTGCAAATGCTCATTCGGTGTACAAAAATTTTTTATGCTTGTCGTAAGTACATGCACAAAAAACCACGAGAAAAAGGGCACCTTATGAAATAACGCCAAATTCCGTATGAAAAAAGACGTACTTCTTCCCTCTTCTTCTCTTGTTAAAAAAAATAGGGATTCATTTTTTGTCCTTCTTTTCATGCATCCTTCTCTTTTCACTTCTCTTTTCACTTCTCTTTTCACTTCTTCTCTTTTCACCTCTTCCCTTTTCACTTCTCTTTTCACTTCTCTTTTCACTTCTCTTTTCACTTCTCTTTTCACTTCTTCTCTTTTCACTTCTTCCCTTTTCACTTCTTCTCTTTTCATATGTCCTTCTCTTCTGCACTACCATTGTTATCCTTATTTGTAGAGTTGTCCGTTTCGTCTGTCTCCTTTGAATCTTTATTGTCTTTTTCGGAACTATGATCTGCACTTTTTGGTTCGTTCTGTTGCTGTTTTTTTTTTTCTTTCTCTTGTTTTTCCTTTTCCTGCTTCTCTTTCTGTTTAGCCAATTCTTCTGCTTCTATTTTTGAAAAGTATTTTTGCGCTTGTTGTGTGACATCATTGAATTCTGCTTCGATATCTTTAAGTGTGTAGACTGGAGGGTCGTACAACTTTTGATTCATCTCTTTTTCTTGAAGGGAATTAATATTCTCCAACAATTTTGTCGTTCGTGAAATAATTTTTTGACTTTCATCAGATGGTCTTTTAGTGCATTGCGTAATGATATTTTTTAAATGGTTTAATATATTTCCTAGATTTTTTTGCTTAGAAGTATAGGTGTCATATTTGTAAATGATATCTTTTATCCTATCTCTGATTTGTTCTTTTTTCTTTACGAATGCATTTTTATTTTCATCAATATTGTCATAGATCCAATTTTCACAATCGTCTAATGCTAGCAAAATGGAATCTTTCTCTTCATCTACAACAAAATCTTTATATATTCCATTCAATCGATTTCTCGTTTCATATATAATCGTTTCTAATTCGTTTATATTTTTCAACCTTTCTGCTTCTAACAAATCACTGTGTTGCATATTAATTTCTGCTTCGCTAAAATTGTAAATGTCTTTTGTACTATAACTTCCTGGAGCTCCTATCATTTCAATTGGCAATGTGGTATAGCATGTTTGTATTTTACCTTCTTCTCCTTTTTTCAGCTCAGATTTGCTACTTGGTTGAGGTGACGTGTTACTGCTACTATTTGGGGTAGATGTTGAATGTGTATTCTCTTTCACCTCATTCAGTTCAGTTTCGTTTGTTTTTTTTCCATCTGCATCTACATCAGCATCATCTGCATTGTTTGTACTTCCCACTTGGGAATCTCCTTTCTGTTGTTCTTTTTTTTCTTCTGTTTTTTTTTTCTCATCTTTTGATTTGATTACCGTTTTCGTGACTGTCTGTGCTCCTAAAAAGGTGAATGTGTCACTTTCAGAAAAAGTTGTCATAACATGTGATTCTACAATTTTATCATTTTTTTCATTAATCTTTAGAATGCAGGAACCCAATTCTTTTATACAATGTGGTGGTAAATCAGGTGTGTCTTCATAATATGCAGTAACTTTAATATGACCTTTTTCTGGAATGATAACTTTTTTCACTTTTTTTTTTAAAGAATCTGTGGTGTATAATTTTTCTACATTAGATTTAGATGTATCATTCATGTTATGCCATTGTACGCTAATTGGGTGTGTAACTCTTTCTATACATTCATATTCCTTTACTTTGTAATGTTTACTAATCATAGCTCCTGATAATACACAACCTCTAGCTACAGATTCATCAGCAATTAACGTTTTTGATAAAGGTTTATCAAAGTATTCTTGTAAGAATTTCTGAACAAAAGGAATTCTAGTAGAACCTCCTAATATTTCTATGGACTGTACATCTACAACGTTCAATTTGCTGACCTGCATTGCTTTATCTAACAACATTTTTAATTTCGAGAGAAAGAAACCTGCACACAATTCTTCAAAATTGTTTCTATTAATAAATCCTTGGCAATCTAAATCTTCATATAAGCACTCTACATGTATAGATGTTTCATTATTAGCTGAAAGAACTTTTTTTGTTTTCACAGCTACATCTTGTAATTTGACTCTTATTTTGTTATCAATTTGGCTAGTTTCATTATTTGAGGTAACGAAATAAGTGTTCAATTTCCCAGTTCCCATTTCACACAACTCATCAGATTTTAACTTGTATAATGGATTCATTTTATACGAATTAATAAATAAATTGTTAATATATTTTATTAATTCATTGTCTATATTTCTACCTCCCAAGTTTGTATCAGCAACATCACTTAAAATTTCACATTTGTTTGAGAAAAAACGAGCAACACATATACATGTGTTTGCATATCCTATATTAACAAATGCAACTACAGATCCAGTATTTTCTTTAAATTCTTTCATTCTGTACATTCCATAATCTAACGCAACAGCTGTATTGTCACTTATGATCCGTAATGCATTAACGTTAATAATTTTTGTTGCTGCTAAAAGACATTCCTTTTGACTATTTGTGAATGTAGGGGGATAAGACAAAACAATTTCGTTACACTCTTTTCCTATATATTTTTCTGCTAATTTAATTAAAAAAAATAACAATGTTGATAATACTCTAACTACACTTATGTCCACTTTTTCCTTTTTATATTCAACTTGATATCCTAAATAATTATGTTCACACGGAACTAAATTTCCAAAGGATTCACTAACTTCGACATCGTCATCACTTGCTTGTTCTGCTAACATTCCTATAAGATTTTTTATATTTCTGCATGTATTTCTAAAATTTGATTTCACCTTAGCAAGTGCATTATCTCCAATCAATCTTTCCTTTTCTGTAAAAGCAACAAGTGTTGGGGTCAACCTCTCTGAAACATCGTTCCTCACAATGTTTATGGCTCCTTTGTTTATGGCCGCAACCACGGAGTTTTCATTTCCTATGTCTATGCCAAGGACTGACATGTTTTCTGCAATTTTGGGGAAGTAAGCATGTGTGTGTGTGTGTGTGGAGGGGGTTGAGGGGGTTGAGGGGGTTGAGGGGGTTGAGGTGAGTTATTCTTCAGTTACACGCTATACAGCTCTGAATTAGAAGCTACTTGTCGGTATGGAATGTAGATTCAAATGTACTCACATATGCTGTGTGTATACAAAAATAAACCTTCACATGCACTTGTACATGCAATAGTACCTTTTTTTTTTTTTTTTTTTTCTCGTAGAGGTTTATATATCTTTCACTTATCTTGTATAAGGGTTAAATTTACTTTATATTATGTGTTGATTTCTAGTAATCAATTTTTTTTTTTTTTTTTTTTTTGAGATTTTTTTTGTTCCTTTTTTTTTTTTTTTTTTTAAACTGGTTTTTTTTTTTTCCTTTTGCGAGTACCTTCGTGAGGTTGAAAAAAAAAAAAAAAAAAAAAAAAAAAAGATACTTATATGATAGAGCTTTCTCTTCTCTATTCTTAATGTAGGTTCACGTATTTTTTTTTTTTTTTTTCTTTCTAATTCGTTGTTATTTCAATTTATTGTTTTTTTTTTTTTTATTTTGCATATAAAAGTTTCATAATTTTGTGTTTTATTTGTTTTTTTTGATATTATCGTAAGTTTCAACTTTTAATTCTCTTTACGATAACAATTTTAATGCAAGTTTTTTATATGTTGTATATACATGTATGTGTATACCTTATGTTTTAAGTATATATATATGTATTTGATTTTTGTTTCTTTTTTTTGTTTTTTTTTTTTGGTGGAGATTTTGGTTTTTCACGGGGGGAAAGCTTTCATTAAACCTCGGTGTTTTTTCGTGAAAGAGATTATGGGAGATATAGGCATAATGCGATTATTTAATTTTTATGAATTCCATGCCAAGTGTATATATATATAGGTAGCTTTTCATGTATGCATACAATGTTATATGTCATATATGTCACAAATATGTAGATATATATATATATAATATATATATATTTGTATGTATTCATAATGTTTTTTATTTCTTTTTCTGAACAATTTTTGGTGCATAAAGGGGGAGGGGAGAGGGGCATAAATTTTGTTGCCAAAAGGAGTGTTTTCGGTTTGTAGGGTTGGCGAAAAATAAGGAGCAAACCTGGGGAAAAAGCAAGGGAAAAAAAAAAAAAAAAAAAAAAAAAAAATGTTAAATAAAAGATACAAAATAAAATGGGGTATAATTTTTTTTTTTTTTTTTTACTTCTTTTCCCTTGTTAGATCGTGCATATGTATTCCTGTGTAGTGTGACGAGTACACATGTGCATTCGCATGCACAAAATGTACGCCATGAAACAATACACAGTGCAAAAGAGGCACTTAAGCTCGAGTGTGGGTATTTTTAAATGTGGCAAAAAGTGTTTGTGGCAAAAGGAGGGGAAGAAATAAAATGGAGATTTCCTTTTTATTTTTTTTTTTATAAAGTCGCATGATCTAGCTACATGTTATGGCAAAAACGAAACAAGAAAAAAAAAAAAAAAAATTATGTATTTTTCTCTTTAAATCAGGAAAAGTTTTTATAAACCTGCATGAAGAACATGCAGGGTGTACTCCATATATAACAATCCACATATAAAACAAAAACCTATCTATCTATACATATATGTACATGTACGTGATTGATTGGTTATGAGCTGCGCTATTATGCCTGTCATTAGAAAATAGTATAAGGGGGGTTAAATCATATATAATATTATATGCTATCAACTGTGCACTGGCCCCTTGGGAGAGGGGAGGAATTTTAAGTTGTGCAGATAAAAAATGACTTCTTAGGGTAGGCATTAGTGCTTTTTTTTTGTTCTGCCTTTGCTCGTTTTGCATTGTTTTGCCTTGGTTTTTTTTTTTTTTTTTTTTTTTTTTTTTTTCAGCCTTTCACCAGTATTTCAAAAATGACGCTTTTTACTACCTCTATCCTATAATGGAGAAAAATAAATAAGCAACGTACATTTCCTTATAGAGAGAGAGAGTGACATATAAGTAACAACTTTAATACCCGTATGCAATGTTTAAGGAGGAAACTGAAAAAAAAAAAAAAAAAAAAAGGAAGAACTCATTAAATTGGAAATAAAATGGTTCATTTTAATTGACTATATGTTCATATATATAAGTAACTTATGAACTTGTTATAATATTGATAGTGTGTCATTTTCCTTTTTTGCAGAGGCTATTTTTCTTTTTAACAATTTTATCACCATTTCATCATATTGAGAAAACGCATGCACCCTCGACATTTTGCGCTCGCATGGTCTTACATGTATGCATATGAACAAAATAAAAAATGAAAAGAAAGAAAAACTTATCCCCCTTTCTGACGTCATTCCACGCAGACCTCCCACCTTGATACGTGAGATTTAGCACAACAAACTCGGCAAAGTCGAGATAATTTAGGGAGGAAATTTGGTAGCAGGAGGGAGATTTATATTAAACGGATGGGCTGAAAGCATAAAATTATGGACATTTTCATGTTGAGTTGCTTTGCTAATTCTCTTTTGAAGCGGAACGAGCAATTGGGAAATAAAATTGTTTGGAAAAAAATAAAATAAAAAAAAAAAAACACACACACACATCAAGCAGAATACGCACAATTAACATCTTATATACAATTTCTTCACTCTCCACAATGATGTACTATTTACATTAAAAAAAGAAAAAGAAAAAACTTTCCTTTTGAACCATTTTGGATAAAAACAATTTCGAAAATCCTTTAAAAAAAAATTTGACAATTTTCATGTAGGAAATTTATCAGTTACAAAAAATGTTAGTCTTTTTTTTCCTTTTTTTTTTTTTTTTTTCTTTCCATAGCAAAGGGTAAAATACGTAACAACCAGAGGTAAACATTTTCCGTCGTATGAGCTTATTCCACTTTTTATACAAAAAAATAGTGTGTAGCCCTCTTCACATAAATTTAAAAAAAAATGGTGAAATAAACGAGCTATTCCATTTTATTCTGTTCCGTTTTCTTTTTTTCTTTTTCATAGAAGTCTTTGAAATGGTTGTTAATGTATTTCTCAATTTAATAATCAACACTATATGAACATATATAGATACATAATAGATCGATATTCAATTGGGCTCAACATGTACGTGGTGTGTAGGAGGGGGGGAGAAAAAATGGAACATCACTTATGTTTTCTATTTTATTTCAGAATTCTGAATAACGATCCATTGGGATCCTTTCCATAGAGGATTGATAAAAGTGCAGCTGTGTCTGTACATGTAATTATGTTTTTTTTTTTTTTTTTTTTTTTTAAGCGCTACTAAATATACTTTCCCGTTGCAATGGCCTCTGTCATCCGATTGTAAAAAAATGTTTTATAATTCGTATATGAACTTACACATATTCAGATGTAAGAGTGATTTATCCCGCTTTGTTTGTTTTGCTTATTTTATTTATTTTATGTAATTTTTTTTTTTCTTATATTTTGAATAATCCCCTTGAAAGGTATCAAGTGATATGAAATCACAATTGTACAAACATTTTGGGTGCGTCATAAAAGGAACACCCGTCGATATTCCTTTTTCTGCGTATACATTAAAACTTACATGGTATTATGTAATTACGTTGTGATAAAATTAAGAATAATAAAATAATTTATGAAACCAGTTTCTCAGTTGACCTATCCTTTCTAGTTTTAAATTAGTTCTATTATATTCCCAAGTGCAAAAGGGATATAAATGAAATAGCACTTGGGATATAATAGAACGAATTAAGGAAAAAAAGAAAAAAAAAAAAAAAAAAAAAAAAAACGAGCAAAAGGTAAATGTGCAAATTTAGCATTATATAGGTATATGACGAAATCGCAGTCTTTTCAGAAATACGAAATGCAATTATCTTTACATTAGGCCTCTCCTACTTGGGATGAGAATAATTTAACACGTATTTGCATAAGAAAAAAACTACTAACAAATAGGGGAAAATATATTGAGCGCAGAAAACAATTTTTTTTTTTTTTTCAAAAGAATGTGCATAGGTATTCTATCTTCCCTTTTACTTTAAAATCGCCACGCCTTTCACGCATATATCCACGAAAGCAACAAATTTATATTAAACGTAATGCTAAATTTTACCTATTTTTATAGTCAACACACATTTTTACTATTACGTTAATTCGCGAGTGATATACACATATATATATATATATATATATATATACCCCATGTGCAAACACATGCCTCAATCACGAATGTGCTCGTCATATAAGGATTCGCCACATGCACATGTACAAATGCAGCCAATGTCCCAATTTGTGTTAACATTTTCTTTTGAGAGATTAAAATCAAGGTAACCAAAAAATCGTGTAATCCGCCCACCCACCCCCTACAAAATAAATAAAATTAAAAAAATGCTTTTGCGATCAAATTTAGCAAAGAAGGTCAATGAGAAATATCAAAGCTTCACTTTTATGAATAGAAATGTTAATAGTATAGTCAAAAGATATATTGCATCGCAACCCTTAGGGATAAATATTCCTGAACCGCCACCCAGAGAATTTTTACCTAATGGAGAACCTAAAACGTATCGATTGAATCAGAGATATTATAACCATAAGTACGACTGGGAAAGATGGACATTAAGACCAGCTGGAGTTTTTCACACCTATTTATATGGAGAATTTGCAAAAGATCATAGACCCCTATTAGCCTGGTTATTACAATATCCTTTACCCATAGCTTTTATTCCATACTTTTTATTTGCCTTTGGTTTATCCTTTACTTTTCATCATGTTTCATATTTGGGCATAAAACCGAAGAGATTTACTGTTGAATGGGTAGAAGCTAATAAGGAAAGAGAACGAGCTGAAAACACGAACCCAGTTACCAGATATCTCGACCGTAGAAGAAAAGAAAGAGGACCACATTGGATTTTGGAGGACTTTTTACCCCCACATCCATGTTACTTACACATGAGTAAATATCATCATGACACTGAACTTTTGCGAAAGCGAGAAGAAGAAGCTGCAGAAAAAGAGTGATTAAATTGTGGAGTAGTCACAATAGTGGGGACGATCCAAAAAAATATTGCTTAATAAACCGTTACATGTAAATCTGGGATTTCTGCTTAGCTGTTTGTGTACCAGTAATCGATTTCATTAAGAAATAAGGAAAGAATATATTTGGATATACACACCATAGGTGTTCATGTGGGACCACGCGTATGCACTTTTAATTTAGAACGTAATAGTAATTAGCTGATTGAGAGAGACTATGATAAGATCCTGTAAAGATATTCTTATATGAACATATGTAAGCGTACGCAAAAGCGTGTGTAACCGACGAAGTGAAGTTTTACTTATTTCGTTTTCCTTAAGCTTCTTTTTTTGGTTCATTTTTCTAGATCTATTTAAACGCTCGTTTACCCTACGCATGTGTAGGGTCCCCTATCCATTGATCTTCTGTTTTTCCAAAATTTAACAACTGTTATTAGAATAAAACATTGCAAAGTTTAAATAGCCAAAATGAAAGGAAAAAAAAAAAAAAAAAAAAAAAAAACACACAATAGAGTGCTTTTTTTTCTGAATTGTACAGGTAAAATAGCCAAAATGAAAAAAAAAAAAAAAAAAAAAAAATTAATTACACATCGAAATTTGCTTCCCATGTAAGTTGTTAAGCATAGTTATGCATAGATTTTAATCTTAACAATTTGTAAATTTTTTGCCATCATTAAATTATGTGAGAAAAGACAGTTATATTCTCTTAGTCTTTGAAGAAAAAAAGTGTTAAAGAACATATTATTTTCCCATTTTCTCTTTCTATAAACTTCTACAATTTTTATTTAAAAAGAAAATATAAAAAAAAAACATGTTTTAAAATAACATTCTGTAGATAATCTTGAGTGTTTTTTTGTCATAATAGACACATAATTGTGTGCCATACATCAATAAGATTTTGAGTATTGTTGCGCGTAAAAGAAAAATTGACCAACTGGTAGACCATGTTAAGTACATACGTGTGTATTTCACACTATTTATATTTTGTTGGGAAAATAAAAGGCACCTATTCAGGAATCTATGCCGTTGTGTAAATATTGCTGTGTAATTTTGTGTTCCTCTGTATACTGTCACCTCTCTACCAACCTCCACTATTCATATAAAAAAAAAAAAAAAAAAATCTGCTTTTACAATGAAATTTCTATTGAATGATGCTGATGGATACACACAGGTAAGACTAGTTAGGAAGTTAAAAAAAAAAAAAAAAAAAAGCTTCACAATGATTCGAAATAATGTACATCAAGATAGAAAAATACGTAAAGATAGAAAAATACACAAAGATAGAAAAATACACAAAGATAGAAAAATACATAAAGATAAAAAAATACACAAAGATGCACATATATTAAACAAATTAGTAGAACGAGCTTGCACATTGTCTTTCATTTTATGTGATATAAGGATGATTGATAAGTACCCATTTTTTCCCTTATCTTTTACATATATTAGGATGAAAAAAGCGTTGTGGAAATTAACCAATGTGATGATTTTATTCACCAGGAGAACAATATACACATAAGTGTTATAAAGCCAATTGTCAAACGTACCATTCATTCAGAAAATAAAAAAATAAACGCATTTTATAAACCAGTTGAGTTGGTGGAAGAGGTCAATACGTATGTCAAAAAAGGAGACGAATATCTTGTAAAATTGTATGAAAATTTGAAAAAGGACGAAAAAAGAGAAAATGTAATGGGCATGAAAAAAAAACCCAATACAACTCCAAGGGTAGAAGATATCTCAGATCAGTTCTGCGACGAGAATTATACTAATGGAAACGAAGTTAGTATGAATCATTCTGAATTTAAACTATTTAAAGACGAAGACAAAAATACTCTTCCCAAGTTCGAAACAGTTTTTGTACCAAAATTGAACAAGAACATCGAAGTTGTTAATTGCTTAAAGGAAAATATAAATGTTGATTATACCTATTTAGTACCGAAGCCTGTAGTCATACCTGTTGAAGTCCCTATATTAAAATTTAGAGATCATTTTAAAATTATCCCCATAAGAAAAAAAATTATCCCTCGTATTAAGTACACAGATGATGTTATTTATGTCGATTGTTGTGTTGAAAAGCCCTATATTGTTTATGAAAACATCATAGTACCTACTCCGTTTGATATTCCTATAGAGGAACGGCAGTACATCGACCACGCCCCTCCCATACAGGAATGAACTCATACAAATATCTTTAAGTCTATGTAGATAGTTTCATATACCTACCTTGGTATATTTGTGTTTTGCTCATGAGAAGTAGAGAAGAACACACGTAAGTACATATATATGGATTCCACATATGTATTATGTATATGTTCTCATATTTTCATCCATACATAACTGCGTCAACTAAGCATTAGAGATAAACGCATGTTTTAACTATTTTGTCTCCTCCATATTAGCATTATTATGTGTCGTATATAGGTTTTTTTTTTTTTTTTTTTTTTTTTTTTTTCTTGCATTCTTTCGATTTTAAAAGAAATAGATACGTCTGTCCTCATAAGTTGAATAATTTTTGTTTTTGCAAATGTAGAGCTTTTGTTGCGCTGTTTATACGCAAAAGTGATAGAAAACATACATACATATAGAACGTTTTTCAATTGGTCTTTTTGTCTGTACAACTAATTTTTTTTTTTTTTTTTTTTTCTTTTATTATTTTTCATTCAACTTGAAGTTTGAATAAAAAAAGTAAAAAGATTATGCAATATTGAGGGTTTTTTTTTTTTTTTTTTTTGGTATATAGAAACAGATTAAGATTTTCATTAAGAAAAATAAAAGGAAAGATGAAAAGAAAGGAGTCTAGAAGTAGGCAAAAAGAATTAAACATTGAAAACGAGATAAATTTAATATTCGGGTTTTATATTTGCTTTGATTTTCATATATATGTCCCTGGGCTCCACTTTATATGATCACTGTTCTCATATATCTAAAGTTGGTAGAAGATAATAGAAGGGGGGTGAATGGATATGGTACAGTAGAGGAGGAAAATCCCTTTTCAAGGAAAAATAAACAAAAAGAAAAAAAAAAAAAAAAAAAAAATGAAAAGATAAAATATAGTGAATTATAATTTGGAGGTGAAATTTATTTAAAAATGAAAGGAAAAGGTGTATAACAAAATGGTTATTGGGAAGGGGGGTAGTGGAAAAAGAAAAAAAAAAAAAAAAAAAAAAAAAAAAAAAAAGCACGGATCTCTGCCAACTACAAATTGTTAAATTCTTCTTTGCCACTGTCGGCTTAAACCAGCATTAAAAAACATGCACTTGTATTTAAAGAAAAAAAAAAAAAAAAAAAAAAATGCACGATGGGTGAACAAATATAAAAAAATGATTAATATGATTCGAGATAAAAACAATTGGAATTCGTTTTTTTTTTTTTTTTTTTTTTGAATATTTACTATACTACATCTCGCGTAAAAAGAGTGTACATAAAAATACATAAAATAATTAGAGAGGGTTGTACCGGTTTGAATATCTGTTTAAGGGGGCAAAAAAAATTACCTGACATGCAAAAGATGCAAAATTTTCTTCCTTTTTATAAAATATATAACACAGAAAAGAAGATAGCTCAAGTTTTATTAAAACAGAAGATTTTCCACAACAAAGCATATATAGCACAAGTGTGAAGAGAGAAAAAAGAGGGATTTCTACACAAAAAAAAGAATCCATATTTGTGTGACATGTACATAGAGCAAATTTAAATGAAGAAATATGTTCTTGTATCCGACAAGGTTTTTTTTTTTTTTTATCCTATACGTTACATACCTCTATTGCAAGCACACCTGGTTTGCAAAGTATATATATTAAATATCTATAAGTGAATACCCACAGTTGTATTTACGTAAATATATATATATATATGTTCACATAACCGATTATGCATACGCATGCACAACAACAAAACACGAGAAGAAATAACCAGTAATGAGTAGCGATGTTAAAGAAAACGACATTACTATCAATGGGGATAATGAAGAAGATGCCCAGCATGATTTAAAGAAAATGGAATTTGAAAAGAAGCATATGGAACTTAAAGAAAAATTAAAAAAACTTAAGAGTTCGAATAACAATAGTGGTATAAATGATGATACTAATAGTGCTGATTCAGAGAAGAATGAAAAGGACAATTCAAATAAAAACGAGATAACTACTAAATCAGTCACAAGTGATAACAAAAATAAATTTATCCAACTTCGAGAAAAGTTGAAAAAATTAAAGGAAGAGTGTAATCCCGATGAGGGATACGGAAATCAGATAATAACAGAAAGAGGAGGAAGTGAAAAGAGTTATCAAAGCAGAGATAACACAAAAAGTAATGAAAAAACTTTATCCCAACCCACAGATGAATGTTACAAAGAAAAAGAACCTGTTAAGGTTGAAAAGGATCGAGAGGCAATGCGAGCTGAACTAAAGAAAAAATTAGAAAAACTTAAGAGAGAATATGGAATTTATAATAATGAAAATGGAACAAGTGTAAGAATAGGAGAAGAACAAAATGAGTTTCGAAACAAAAGCATAAGCAAAGGAAATACATCCAGTAATTACAGGAAATATTCAAAAAGAAGTAATACAACGTCCAATCGTTCTACATCTCTGGATAGAGGAAAACTCCAAAGTTATGATAATAGGAGGAATTTAAATTATTCTCCTGATAGAAATAAAAATCGTTACAAGAATCAGAATGATTATTACGATAGGGAGTTAAGTAACCATAGTGGATTTAGCTCATTGGATAGAGAATATAGGAGAGATTATTACGGGCGAGTGCCAATCCGATTGGAAAATTTGCCATATGAGGATATAAGAAGAAGGGGTGTGCATTATAACCCCAGAAGGGGACAGATAGGGCATGGAGTTAGAATAAGATGTAGTATTAGCAATAGAGATCGATCCAGATGTATAAGTCGATCGAGGAGCAGAAGCAGATCAAGAAGTAACAGGGAAAGGGAATATTGGAGAGATAAACAGAGAAGCATGAACCCACGAGAAAAATGGAACTATGTGCGAGGTGATGATAATTCTTATTTCAGGAGAGAAGAAAAAAAAAACCGATATTTATACAATAAATGGACAGGGGAAAGAATTGAAAAAAAATACTTCCGAGTTCCTTTGGGTTATCACACAACGAAGGAAAATTGGAACAGCTATACTCAATGGCTGCAAAAAAAAAATGATTATAGATTTGGTTTAGAGTTTGATGAAAATAAAATTTTTAGGAGATCCAAATCGTTGTCTCCAAGCACGTGGAAGAATTTCGTTTCCAATTCAGAAGACAATGAAGAGGCTCCCCCAGGTGATGCTGATCGTGGCAAAAAGGCAATTGAAAAAATTGAGAAAACTGAGAAAAGTGAGAAGTATAAAAAAAACGAAATAACGAAAAAGCTGCAAAAAGAAAAAAGTGATGAAAAGGGTGGAGATTATGGTGATTCACACTTCGACAGTTCCCAGTCATCATACTCAAGTGACAAAAAACGTGGAAATAACCGTGCACCACAGAGAAGGAAGAAAACGAAAAGGTATAGCAGCAGCATATCAAGCATGCACAAAGGAGAAAGAGAAAGAGAAAGAAGTGTAAACAGGGGAAAAAAACGACATAGATCTTCAGGAAAAAAAAAAAAAAAAGCGGAAAAGGTAAGTAAGAGGAGAAAACGTGACAGGAGCACCGACAGTAGTGATGAAAGCAGCGATCGTGATAAAAAGAAATATAAAAAAAGAAAACATGGAGAAAAAAAACGAGAAAAAAAATATCGTGAAAAAGAACGTAGCGAAAAAAAAAAACGCAAAAAAAGTAAACATGATGAAAAGAAAAGAAAACATAAGAAAAGCAAATACAGTGAAAAGAAAAAAAAAAAATCCAAAAAATTGAATAAAACGAGAAAGAATTCTGAATATTCTGACAGTGGTGGTGAGGAAAGCAGCAACACCTCCTCTACATCTCTTTCCTTCCTTTGCGAAGGATATGATTCTTTGCAAGACAAGGAAACTAGAAAAAAAGGAACCAAGGTGCCGAATGCAAAATTAAAAATTAGTAAAAGCACGAGGAGAGAAAAGATGACTAGTGTGATAGATGATGATGACCCCGTTACATTTGAGAGAGAAAAGAAAGACGAAGCTGTGGTAAAAGATATGGGAGAAGAAAATGACCAAATGGAGGAAGAAATGGAGGAATATGAAAAAAAGAAAGGAAAGAAGAAGGAAACGGAATTGGGAACGGAGTTCAAATCGGAGATGCAAATAGTAATGGACGATGAGAAGGACTATCAGAACGAGAGAAAAGACAATCAGAATGAGAGAAAAGACGATCAGGATGAGAAAAAGGACGACCAGGACGAGAGAAAAGATGATCAGGACGAGGAACATTATGAAGATTCCTCTGGAGGAGAAAGTGAAGTAGGTCCAAAACCGCTGGATGTAAATGTGAAATTGGCAAAGCAACAAATTGATTATGGTGTTGCCATGATGCCAGGAGAAGGACAAGCAATAGCTCAGTTCGTGCAGAAGGGGAAAAGAATTCCAAGGAGAGGAGAAGTAGGACTGTCAGCTGAAGCAATCGAAAATTTTGAAAGTCTTGGTTATGTTATGAGTGGATCGAGGCATAAAAGAATGAATGCCATTCGTATGAGAAAAGAAAACCAGGTATACAGCGCTGAAGAACAAAGGGCATTAGCCATGCTGAATTATGAGGAGAGAGCTAACTGGGAAAATACATTAATAAATGACCTGAAGGAGGTTTTGAGGAAGCAAAACGAGGCCATACTAAATGAGAGTAAGAACAGCTGATTTGAATGGATGATGTTTTTTCACACCTTATAAATATTTGGAGATTTTTGTTCTTGATTTCCAATTTTTGCAGCTTCTTTTTTTTTTTTGCAGTTTTTTTGCAAGCTTTTTTTTTTTATGCCCTTTTTTCACCATTCCGACGAGTGGGGGTACATACAGGTACATATTATGTAGTACATATAGAGATTGTCTATGCGTGTCTACTTTTTTTTTTTTTTTTTTTTTTTTTTTGGGAAATGAGGTGTAAGGGAAAGAGAAGTTGAGTTTCCCATAAATGGCAACTTTTTTTTTTTTTTTTTTTTTTACTACTCACCAAAATGGCAATAGTTTAAAAATTACTTTTAAAAAATGCACGTTTATATGCATGTTGAAAAGATACCATTCCGATGTGTGCGCGTACACTATGCTGATGCTGTGCCAGGACATCCACATACATATACCATACATATACCCATTTTGTAAATATAAAATTTTTGAAATATACCAAATTCATGATGATCATAATCCAAAATATGAAATAAAAAATAAACATCATACTATTATTTGAAATGATTAATTTTTATACCTGATAATTTGAAATGGTGTAAAAATAAAAGAGGAAAAAAAAAAAAAAAAAAAAAAATGTCACCTTATAAAAAACTTCATAATTGGATGTGGAAAAGTGCAAAGAAACGTTGAAAGTGTTCCAAAATGCACATTAAAAAAGGAGTGGAAAAAAAGAAAAAATGTCTAACTCTTTATAAACATATATTTGTTCTCAATTTTCTACACTGCTTTATACACATTTTTTATTTCCCCAATTTATATATATGTCTTCAAAATTGTAGAAAAAGCCGATCACCTTTTCTACCATCCGTTTTCCACTTTTTACATTCACCTAAACGCCATTTGTGAAAATATCTACATATGGCAGATATTATATGTGTGCCATATAGCAAAATCGGACATTTATTTATAAAGGGCAAAAACCTGAACACATAATTTAACGAAACATATGAACAGTGAAAGTTTGAACGAGATATAATAACTCATGTGCAGTATTTTTAGGAGATATTGGGGAAAGACGGCAACAAAACACACTGATTGTGTTTACTGTTTGCGTTTACTATTTTATTTGTGTTTATTTTCTACATGCCCTTCGAAAGCACATTTTCTTGATTTTACCAATTTAGTGGAAAATGTATATATGTATATATATATATATATATATATATATATATATATATATATATATAACTTTTAAACGTTTTTTTTTTTTTTTTTTTTTTTTTTTTAAATGTATATTTATATATATCTATCTATTCTTTAAGTTTATAACATTTGCTTTTCATTGTGCAGTTTTGTTTAATCTTTTTTTTCTTACAACATTTTTTTTTTTTCTTTTTTAGTTGTACATATAAACACTGTGGTGTAAGTGTAAAAAAGTACCATGGCACATTATACAGGATGCACTTGGAGTGAAACGAATATATACAACAGGCTTGCAAAAATGCATACTGTGAAAGGTGTATATATATATATATATATATATATATATATATATATATATATATATATATATATATATATATATATATAACTCCATTGTGCTTGCACGCATTAACAACTGTTTGTACCATATATTGCACGTAGGTATGCATGTAATGTATGTATATATATTGCACAGCTTGAAGGAGCGCAAAAAATAACATACATGTAAAGTTTATGTTTATATAAAGATGTATATACATTCAAATGGAAAATGCTACATAGGGACATTTGTTTCTATTTTTTTCTTTTTTTTTCTATTTTTTTTTTATTTTATATTTATTTTAAGGGGATAGTTTCCTATTCCGTGCGCCAGAACACATGATATGGTTGGCGTGTAAACAAGATTTTTTTTTTTTTTTTTTTTTTTTTTTTTTTTTTTTTTTTTTTTTTGGTTTTAAAAAAATTTTTTTTTTTTTTTTTTTTTTTTTTTTTTTTTTTTGTTTTGCAGACGTGTTTAGTCTACTTCTTCCATCTTGGAATCAGTAGCGTCAATAGTTTCTTCAAGAGGTGGTAACTCGATATCATTGTTTTCCTCCTCATCAATTGATAAACCTAATTTAATCATTCTATGGATTCTTTTGGAGAATGTGGTGGGTTCTTCAAGAGCAAATCCAGATGTTAAAAGAGAAGTATCAAAAAGTAACCATATTAAATCTTTAACAGTTTTATCTGATTTATCTGCATCTGCCTTTTGTTTCAATGCAGTAATAATTGGGTGACGTGCATTGATTTCCATAATTTTTTTAGAAAGCATATAACTAGTCATGGAATTATCTCTTAATGCTTGTGCTTTCATAATTCTTTCCATATTTGCTGACCATCCAAATTCAGATGTAACTAAAACACATGGGGAATCTGTAATTCTTTGACCAACAACAACCTTTTCTACTTTCTCATGCAACACATCTTTAATTACTTTACACAATCCTTCATATTCAGCTTTCAATGTTTCAAAAGTTTTCTTAGCTTCTTCTGAATCGTCAATATCTAAGCCTTCCTTTGTACAGCACTTTAATTTTTTGCCTTCGAAATCTTTTAGTTGTTGTACAGCATATTCATCAATGGGATCAACCATATAAATAACTTCGAATCCCTTTTTCGTCAATGCTTCTAAAAATGGTGAATTCGATACAGCGTTAATTGATTCACCTGTGATGTAGTAGATGTCCTTTTGGTTTTCCTTCATTCTGTCAACATATTCTTTGAGTCCTATCATTTCATCACCAGATTTGGAGGTTTGGAATCTCAGAAGTTCGGTGATCTGCAAAATTGGGGCCCGGGTGTGGGAAAAAAAAAGACCAAAAATGTGACAGAAAAAGTGACAAAAACGTGACAAAAACGTGACAAAAACGTGACAAAAACGTGACAAAAAAATGAAAAAAAAATGGAAAAAAAAGCAACTATATATATGTTTTATTCATCCGAGTCGACACTTCGCAGAAGAAAATATTTTGTTTCGCTTCCATGACTCAATGTATTTAATAGTCGTGGCAAACAAAAGGCCGTCTTATTTATCCATTTCGTACAAGTACCCAGTAAGCATATAAATATATTTACCACAAGAATTTCTCAACCCTTATGTATATATATACATTATCTGTTAACTTGCACGAAATGGATAAACAATAAACACATGCTAAGGTGATAAGCGAGAGAGAGAAAAAAAAAAAAAAAAAATTTTTTTTTTTTTTTTAATAGCCCACTTTACTATTTAATCATTTAAGATATAACACCCTAAATGATTATAAAGTAAGACTACCCTCCTTAAATTGTTATTCCAAACGTCTGGACACACGTGCATTTTTGAAAGTTTCTCTTGTTTGCAGGTATGTAATTAAATTTGGATTAAGCGCGAGATTTGGTGCGACACAGTATGAATTATAATATTTTCTGCAGCGGCAGAAAATGCAGAAAGGATGGAAAGAAAAGAAAAAAAAAAAAAAACTCACCTTTGCACGATTGGCATTGTCCTCGTGAATTCCTAACTTTAAGTTCTTGCTGAATTGTTCATAAAACTTCTTATAGTTGTCTTTATTTTCGGCAAGTTCAGCAAACATATCCAAACATTTCTTAATGAGGTTCTTTTTGATAACTTTCAAGATTTTGTTTTGTTGTAAAGATTCTCTTGATATATTCAATGGTAAATCCTCTGAATCAACAACTCCCTTAACAAAGTTTAGCCATTCAGGAATAATTTCTTCACAGTCGTCCATAATGAAAACACGTCTAACATACAATTTAATGTTGTTTCTTTTTTTTCTATTTTCAAACATGTCAAATGGGGCTCTTTTTGGAATAAATAAGAGTGCTTTAAATTCTAATTGTCCCTCAACTGAGAAATGTTTTACTGCTAGATGATCTTCCCAATCGTTTGTCAAAGATTTGTAAAAGCTAGCATACTCTTCATTTGTAACTTCTTCTGGTTTTCTCATCCATAATGGTTTTTGTTTATTTAACTCCTCCCATTCATGTTCAACAGTGTGTATTTTTTTTTTTTTCTTATCTTTTTTCTTTTTTTTCTCAGCATTTTCTAATTCTTCTGTTACATCTTCTACTTTTGGATGATCATCTCCTTTTTCTTTATCATCATCATCTTCTTCATTGTGTTCCTTTTTTTCCTTATTATCTGCTCCTTCTACTTCTTGGGATAATTTTTCAGAATCTTCAATTTGGTCTTTGTCCTTACTGGACTTTTTATCAGCATCTTCTTCATCTTCATCTTCAGATGCAGTAATTTCTTTTTCATTCTGTCTTTCGCAATATAACTTAATTGGGAAGGAAATAAATTCGGAATGTTTCTTTACTAAATCTTTGATTCTTTTTTCTTCAAGATATTCTAATTGATCTTCTTTCAGATGCAATATAATTTTTGTACCTCTTCCCATTTTTTCATTTGTTTCATCTTTGGTAACAGTGAATGAACCACCAGCAGCTGATTCCCAAACATATTGTTCATCATCATTATTCTTTGAAATAACAACCACATGATCTGCTACTAGATATGCTGAATAGAAACCTACACCAAATTGGCCAATCATAGATATATCTCCACTAGCTTGGATAGCTTCCATAAAAGCTTTGGTTCCAGATCTAGCAATAGTTCCAAGATTGTTAATCAAATCATTTTTTGTCATACCAATACCTGAGTCCTCAATTGTTAATGTATTGTTTGTTTTATCAGGAATAATTCTAATGAAGAATTCTGGTTCAGCTGATAACTTTTGTGTATCCGTAATGGCTTCATATCTTATTTTGTCAAGTGCATCACTTGCATTGCTAATAAGTTCTCTTAAAAAAATTTCTTTGTTGCTGTAAAATGTGTTAATGATTAAACTCATTAACTGCCTAATATCGGCATTGAATGCGAATGTTTCCTTTGACATTTTTTCTGTGCGGGTGGAGGGTGAGGGAAAATAAAATCTCTCTTCGTTAACCTGTCACGTAGGTAAGGAAGAAAAGGGGAATTAATAAATACAAAAAAAAATATCTGCATTTATATAAACACATGGCTATGTATATGTACATAAACATGTGTGTGTGTGTGCTTTTTCCATATATACTCGCACGTGCACACACCACTCCCAAGTAATTATTCGAACCCTATCGGGACAATTTTTATCCCCACTATACAATTAGCATATTCGATTTTGTAAAGTGGGCTGAATTTTCAAAAAAAAACACTCTCTTATCAAATATGAATACGTGTGTGTGTTTACAAAAGTGTTCCCACAAGTGTGTACATACAAACGTGTAAATACAAGTGTGTATATATTTATATATTTTTATAAACCCCTTATTAGATGTAAATTGGGCGTATATGCATCCTGCATAAATTCTTTACATAAAAATATATATCCACTATATATCTATTTGTTTTTATATGGTATGAAAATAAATATATATAAAAAAAAAAAAAAAAAAAAATTATAAACAATAAGTTGACGTATATAAAAACAGAAAGAGACGAAGAAAAACAATTCTATAAATTGAGGCACTCTCAAAGGGAAGTTGCTTTGCGATATTCTTTTGCTGTCGATGTTGGATGCTATATTTAGTTTTTATGCGAATGAAATCTTTTAACTTTTAAAATAATATTAAACAATGTTTCGTTTTTACTATATATTTTTTTATTTTATCTTTTTCTTGTTATATATCTCTCCTTCATTCTTTCATGTCAGAATATTATATTTTAATGTATTACACTTTTTTTTTTTTTCTTTTTTTTGCTTACTTTTTTTTGTGTATGTTAATTTTTTTTTTTTTGTTTCTCCTTTTACAGGAAATTCGCAAAAAAAATGAAGTGTAGGTAGTGGTGAGGGTTTGTGGAAAAAAGAGTTTATATTTGTTTTTGAGAAAATAGGTTCAATCAACTTTGCATAAATTACAATATGATGGATATGGGGCTTTTCCTTTTCTTCCTTATCCTTAATTCGTTGAATTAGAGAAATGGTTTCGTTGGAATCTATAATATATTTATTGTAATATTTTTTTTCTTTTTTATTTCAACATAAAATGAGTATATTTTTTTTTTTTTTTTGGTTCAATTTATGTTTTAATTATTTTTGACAATTATTTATTCGTTAATTCATTTAATTAATTTATATATTTAATTTTAAATTTTTATGCATATATATATAATATATATATGTATATATGTACATATATCACCATTTTATTATTTTTTTTTTATTAAAAGTTGAAAATGCCACAAAAATGTATTCACCACAAATCATGCAAGAGAATATCAAAAAAAAGAAGGAAAAAAAAGAGTAAAAAAACATCCCAATGGCCCCCTCACGCGGGGCCTTTTATACACATATATATGTATATATATATATATATATGTATATTGAATTTTTTTGTGCTTTAAAATATGAATAGCATAAAATTAATACTGAGAAAAAAGGGCTAGAAAAAAGTACCAAGGATCGGGCCTACACAGCTCACTGTGTGGTGGGGGCCTTACATGCAAATTTTACAACATTATAAATTTATGGATCCATGAGAGAAAAAAAAAAAAAGTACAAACACAAACACAAACGCCAAGCTAAACGAGATGTTAAGGTGTAAAGTAATAATAACATAAATCTCTTTATAATCTATACCTGTCGGATGGCACATTCATATTCCTAACAATTCCATATTCTTCCTTCCCATGACCATATCTCGCGAACATATTTACCTACACCTGTAAAAATGTAACGGTGTATGCAAATATACCACGTATATATATATATATATATATATAAATGTACGCATTATAATAAAGCACATGCTAGATATATATGAACATATATATGGGAAAATAATATTACGGGGATGTTATGGAGCTAGGCAAAAAAATAACACTATCAACCTCAGCATCTCAGTATGCCAAAGCCTACTGAAAGGCCCTTGATCCCCAAACTCAACAATATTACATTCTTCTCCTAAGAAAGGATAATATAAAGAAAGTGAAAAAAAAAAAAAAAAAAAAAAAAAAAAAAAAAAAAAAAAAAAAAAAAGGAAAAAAAAAAAAAAAAAAAAAAAAAAAAAAAAAGCGGAGAGCAAAAGGGAGTAGGGAAAATGCAATATTTTTTCTCAACCAGCTCCCTCCCGACACAGCGAACAAGCTAAATTTATGAATGAGTTATTGTTTTTTCAAAATCACGCACATGCTCTCCCAAACAATTTTTATTGACACTACTGCTACCCATTGACGATATGTATTGGTGTACGTATAGATAAGTAATGATGCACATATTGACACATCATGGCACTCATTGACAATCACTTATAAAAATTACCTCTTTTGAAGGAGATGACAAAAGAAACGGACTTCAACCGAAGGTTAATAATATCAAACTTTGTTAAATTTTTTTTTTTTTCCATTTTTCCGTTTTTCCTCCTTAATGAATTAAATAAAAAACATATATAGAAATATGGGAAAATCACACATCTTTTATATTTTTAGCCCATTCAATCGACGTAATATGATCTATTCCCCGTACGTACACTTTTAGCTTTCTACACGTTATATGCTATATATATATATATATACACTATTACAGCACACTATTCCTATCCTTTAAACAAGAGCAATCTGATCACGCATCACAGCTAGTCCCAAATGAACATAGCCCGAACACCCCCACTTCCTATTATTATAAAATTTTTTTTGACAAGTTTTTATAATACATGACGAAAAAAACAAATATACATGATAAGATTGGGCAGGCAGCTAATGGTGGAAGAAAAAAAAAAAAAAAAAAAAATTGTAGCATTAACACTAGCACGAACACTAACACATTTCCATCACCCTGATAATTCCCATATCATTAACATAGTCCATGATTAAGAAAAGAGAGAATAAGCATTTTTTTTTTTTTTTTTTGCCTTCAATTGTGAAATATTACTACAATATGAAATTTTTTATACATCCGCACACGAATGCAATTCAAAAGGAAATAAAACATTTATCGTGATGGAGAGAAAAAAAAAAAAAAAAAAAAAAAAAAAAGAATGTTCTACATTTTTGTATAAGGATTAAAGTTCTGTGCTCCCATTTTTTTTACATATTATAGCTGTTAAGGTTTTTACAACTTAAGGTTTATTTGTCTGGGGTGTTCTTTTTTTTTTTTTTTTCCCTTATAGACATTTTTCCCCCTTTCTGTTTTATACTTTTTTCGCAATTTTTTTTCCATTTTGCCTACTTCACATAAATAAATTTTTAAAAACAACACAAAGTAACATTTTTGACGACGAAGGAGAGGAAAAAAAAAACCTTGCCCCTTACTCGATGGTATATTTTGTTAACATGTCAAATGCTTATAATAGCATAACGTGTAACAGACATATGATATGAAAAAAGTAAGAATTTTTTCGCATATGTTTTCTTTACAATAATCCTCTTTGACAACAGAACAAAGGAAAAATTGCTTGAAATATTCTCCTTACATCTTATCAAAATGAAGTTTATTAATTTTCATGACAAGAATAAGAATTTTTGTGTAAACAATTATTGGTACCTTTTCCATAGTTCCAGAAAAAGGAACAGTAGCATATGCAGTACATCGTAATTGTACATTCCACCAATAGTACTTTAAAAAATTTTGTATGGTTATATTTTGTTTTTCGTTGTCCTTTTTTGTATCTTTTTTTTATTTACTTTTTTTTTTTTTTTTTTTTTTTTGCAGTTAAGCTGCATATACCTGTTTATATTATGTATATATGAACAAAACATATGTTTGTGAATTTAAAAAAAAAAAAAAAAAAAAAGAGAATATATGAAGGTGATTAATTTCGAGTTAATTTAAATCAACTAAGAGATCAATTCTCTTGGGTTTCTGTACGTGTGTGTCTATGTGTGAGTGCAATGGAATACACAATGTTCCCAAAAAAAGGAAAATATAAACATATTAATGTATTTGCACTTTGTGTGTGCCTATACATTGAAGCATGTCCCACCATGTCAAAGTGAAGAAAATGAAGAAAAAAGGCTTAAGGAAATAACAAAAAGTACCAAAAAAGGGAAAAAAAAAAAATGGAAGAAAACACATCGCAAATGATTTAAAAGTACGGAAAAATACATATATATGGTATACAACAAAAAGGAAGCATCAATATATTTGAAAAAAAAAAAAAAAAAAAAACTCCTTGAGTGTTCGTTCGAAATGGATGGATGTGACCAATGTTGCTATACTGTTTCAATTACATTTCTCTTCTTCTAAGTACGTAAAATGTAGGTACTAACCAACCATGGGTCTTTTACGTCCTCTTTGTTTAACTGAAGAAAAAACGTGGAAAGAAAAAAAAAAAATTGACTTTACAAATGAAAAAAAAAAAAAAAAAAGAGAAGCCAAAATATACAATACATGGGAATGGGAGGGAGAGTTCAACAATGATCCGTGTTTTCGTGTTAGAACCTCCTAATTTTTGTTATACCTATTTCTAGTTTTTTTTTAATTTCGTCAAAATTATTGGATTTTGTTTTATACCCCTCAAGGATATGTTCCTCCTGTATGGTTAGTTTTGAGGTAAAGGAAAATAGACAATGAAGTTTATCACAATAAACGTGTGGTAATTATTTACATATTTTCTTTACTGTATGAAGTTTTTAAATAATTATCCAAGCATAGAAATCATATTTAAATTGATTTATTTTACCAGTTCTGGAAATTCACTGTGGAAACTTTTTATGGCCTTCAACAGAACAAACAAATCTACTGCCTTGTCCTACATGGGGTGGGGTGGGGTAGAAAAGTGCATTCCAAATGTGCTTAATAAAACGATGGGTCATAAAAACAAGCGCGATAAACAGAGAGAAATGTGCAAAGGCCGACGAGCTATTTTTATTTGTGTACCTCAACCGAAGTTGACAAGAAAGTTAAGCCAAAATCAATAACACACAGTTTTATCGACTCAACATCATTTAATTTGTATGGTAATTGATTAGAAGAATCCAGAATTTTACATTTATCTATGTAGGAATTTCTCAAAATTAAATTAGATGTGGTAAAATCCCCATGAATAATATTTCCATTGTGTATTTTTGCTAATATCATGCCTACACGTTTTGGTATATTGGGTTCATATTCTGCTACATTTTTAAGGATATGATTAATTGTAGACCCTTTGACAAATTCTAAATATAAACTTTTTTCATTAACATCAACAAAATAGAGCATTGGTACGTCTATGTTTATGCTGGCTAATTTTTTGGTAAATTTTATTTCGTTCGATACCCTTAATTTTCGGATCTTTGAATCTATTTTTTTGTGTCGATAATATTTTCTGTAAATTTCTTTCTTCACTGCTTCTTTCCCGATAAAAACGCACTTGTATATTTTCTAAAATGACATGCGTAAAAATATGAAGAAAAAAAAATACGAGAAGAAGAAAATAACAAGGGGAAAAAAAAAAAAAAAAAAAAAAAAAAAAAAAAAAAAAAAAAAAAAAAAAAAAAAAAAAAAAAAAAGGGAAAAAAAAAAAAAAAAAAAAAAAAAAAAAAAAAAAAAAAAAACACGAAATGTGATACAAATAAAGAGAGACGTATCATTAGACAAAGCAAAAAATGTATGTACGTGTTCGAATGTTCAATTTTGTAAGCTGTGTTAAAAGTATCTTAAATAATGTAACATTGGAATTGAATAAACAAGAAAAATTAATTTTTTTTTTTTTTTTTTTTCTATCCCCTTTTTACCGCATCAGACCCGGATGATATTAAGGAACATTCCATGGCTACTTCTTTGGTCCACTTTTTTTTTTTTTTTTGTTATTTTAACACCCTGAATGATTATTCTGTTTCCACAATTTTTATATTTACATCACACTTTATTTTCTTAGCGTCTTAAGTGTGTATAAATGTCTTTTTGTCGAAAATATATTTTGGTTGGCCCCTTTTTTACATAACAGTCTTAATCGCTTTTCTTTGAATGAAAATGGACATAGCAAATTTTGGTAGGTATTTTTCCCTTAACTTTTTATTTTTTTTTTTGTATATAAAAAAAAGAAAGTCGAATAGTAGATTATTAGATCAAGTATAAACTTATATGAAATGATATTTTGTTTTACATTTATTTTGTGGTATTATTCTATTTCTTATAACTTTTTTGCATGCCTTTTTTATATAATTTCCATTTAGTCCATATTTTTTTTTTTTTTCCGAACATTTACACGACCGTTGTGGGGTTGGCTCAGTTTAGAACAAGTATTGAGGACGATTTTGCTCATTCGGGAAACTTTTTTTTTTTGCTTGTCAAACGTGGGATTAGCAAGAAGAAGGATAAGCAAAGAGGGGGAAAAAAAGAGGGAAAAAAGGAGGAAAAAAAGGAGGAAAAAAAGGAGGAAAAAAAGAAGTAAAGGAGGCTGCTAAATGGGATGCAATAAAAAAGAAAAAAAACTTCTTAACAAAATAGATTACCCAAATACAATGTTGCTAACTTTTTTTTTTTTTTTTTTTTTTTTTTTTTATTGCACTCCATTTGTCAGCACCGTGTAGTTACAATTTAAAAACATTCACGAAAACGAGAAATAAAAAATCACCATATGAATATCTCAATTAAGGAGAGTTTAGAACACATTTGTGATGTGTTCAGATTTTTTGGGATAGATTACATAACGGCGGATTTGCTTAGAAGAGGAAAGTTTACGAATAAAGGGAAGAAAAAAAAACAAGTCATCATTAAATACAATTTTTTGATTAACGATTTATGCCTCCTTTACTGTTTCGAATTTAAGAGAAAATTCAAACCTACTTACACAGAATATGTAAAAAAAGAACTTCTAAGAGTAGAAGAAGAAATATACGCGAAAGGAAAAAATAAAACCATCATTTGTAGTGGCAGTTGCAGTGGCAGTGGAAGTGGCAGAAAGGAGTATTTAAATCACAGTGGAAGACATACAAATGATTTGCATCGTCGTGCCGAATTAGGACACAGCCAAGGACTTAAAGAAGAAAACACGTACCCACATGATGAAGGCGATATGTGTGCAGAAGACAATGATGACGAAAAAGACGATGATGACGAAGAAGAAGATGATGATGAAGAAGATCACTTAGTAGAGGAATTAGAAATGGATAATATATCATACAGTGACGATTTTATTATTATATCACCTATGGTTGTACTAATTCTGGAATATTTTGAATACCCAAGATTGTACTACCTTCTCAAGTGCAACTTTCAAATGTGCAAAGAGTTACTTCTATGTATAGGGTTCCTGATTGATAGCACCAAAATGCTGGAACATTACGACAAGAGACAAGCATTTTATGAATCGTTTTTTAGAAACCTCAGCTGTGCTAGTAGTAGCAGTGCAGGGGATCGCACAAGTGCTAATGGGAAGCAGAACAATTATTTAGAAAAAAAAAAATCAGTGCCAGAAAAACCAGAGGAAGGAATGAATGCTGATAGAATTTATCACGTAATAAATGAAGCAATGTTATTACTGTCGAACAGACCATACGATTTGGAACTGTTTCAATACAAGTACATGTACCATTTTTTGAATGAACTAAAAACTGGAACCCGTACTAGTGGGTATGAAAACTTAAAACAGTGTGAATCCATAGGAGGGTCGATGAAAAACTTTTGTGAATACAAGGAAAATGGATATTTAAAAAAAAAACACAACACTTGTCCTGCAAAAAATGCAAGTCAAAACTTGAACGATAATAAGTGTCAACCTATGATGATGAATGACAATTTTGCTAATACAATTGGAACGTCGATCCCACAGAAGCATGACATTATAGAAGTTGAAGAGGAACTTAGTTTACCAGATTATGTATCGTATGATTACGCAATATATCAAGAAAATTTTATAGATCGATATAGTAGAAATTGGGATGGGGCTGGTGATGAATCTGCATGGATTGATCCAGAATGTGATTCCACCCATAGGAATGAGAGTGACGAATTGCGATTGGTTGAAGAAAATATTAACAAAATGATGTATATCAAAAAACTTACAAGAAATGTAAACAAGCACTGCAACCAACTTATACAACTACAAAGAAAAACAAGTCAATGTATAAATCAGCTTCAACATCTAGACAGGAACAGATTATTTCTTTTTAATAAATTCAACTCATTAGTGAGTGCATACACAGAACCACACAATGTTGTTGTTAACATGTCCGATTCGGGTACCTTAAGTAATTCTTATAATGGGAAGAAATGCGTTGAAAAACTGCAAAAAAAAATGACACACAAACAAAAAAAGGTAAATCTAATGAATAATGTTTTGTTTACTGTGCACGTGGATTTAGAAAGGGACAAAGAATATGTAGAAAATAAGTTATGCAGAAATGAACAAATTATTTTAAAAGAAAATAAAAAAAACAAAAACATTGCACCTGCAGGTAAAAGTACTGTATCGAATTATGGTGATAATTCTCAAAATATTTCAGGAAACAGTAAATTTTCTCAGTATGGATTCCATCTCCTAAATGATAGTAAAAATACAAATGCTGAATTTTTTGAAGAAATAAATTACGACAATGTGCTTGCCGACAAGGTCACAATTAACGAGTTTCTTCTTTTGAATGACACTCCATTGTATGATAAAATTTGTCACATATATAAAAGCGGAGTACATTTTTTTCATTTCGAGCAGTTAAGAGCAGTTTTTTGGCTCTGGCTTCAGTCAATATTTCCTGACACCATAGATGATCTAAATAACAAAAATCCACATGATAACAGTGACAAAACAATAAGAAAAGAAGACGTAGTTGTTCCCGTTGACCTTTTCGACATAAACAATAACAAATTTTTTTATGACAATATCGTTCCCCCTGCAGACATGGAGAACCTCTACATTCACATTTTAAGTGTATGTCCGAATTTTCTCATCCATGTTTTGTGAAACCATAACAAACCCGTTTTCACACACTCATGCGATTTCACCCACTTATGCAGCTTCACTCACTCGTGCAGACATCCCTTTGGCACACGTGTCTTCCATTTCTTCCATTTCTTCCATTTCTTCCATTTCTTCCACTTCTTCCATTTCTTCCACTTCTTCCATTTCTTCCACTTTTTCCATTTCTTCCATTTCTTCCACTTCTTCCATTTCTTCCACTTCTTCCATTTCTTCCATTTCTTCCATTTCTTCCATTTCTTCCACTTTTTCCACTTTTTCCACTTCTTCCATTTCTTCCATTCCCAATATGTAGGACCTTAACAACTTCGAGAGAAATGTCAAGCTGCTGAAGGAGTACCTGTTCGAGAAGGGATGCACGATTGGATATAACAAAGTTGGTAAAGGTGGAAAAGCGAACGATCAGACAAACAGATTGAATGGAATTACGAAATATGTAAATGATCTACATGCAGAATTTGTTGCATACTACAATTATAAAAAGAAAGCGAAGGATCTATGTGATGAAATGTTTGTTGAATTTCTTGAAACAAAAAAAAAAAATATGACTATCAATTCAAGTGTTGAAAAAGAAGACTACACCAATTTAGCAAATATTATTAATCGACATTTAATTGGCATAGATAATATTCTCAAATATAATCCAATTCTGGATTTTACCAAAATGGTTGATGGGATTAAAAACCAAAGCTTTATTCGTACTGAGGTAAATGTAATTCAGTTAGATTGTCAAGACTGGTATAATATGTATATATATCATAGGAAAAAAAGAAAAAAAGCTAGGGGAATCACTACTGAGGGAGAAAACAATTCTAGAGGAATTTCAACAACCACTGTTGTCACCAGTTCGAATGGCACATCAGGGAAACATTTTCCTTCAAACCACATAATAAATTTTATGACCAACTCAAATTATAAAATAAATGAAAAACCGAAAACCTACGCATCAACCATTTTCAACTATTCCGATCAGTTCATATCGAACAATGACATATACACCTTTTCCGAAAATATTATAAAATCAGGGGAAGATTTTGACATCTTTGTCAAAGGGAAAAGGGACAAGTGCGTGCATAATTTTCATCACCTTTTGCGAAAGGTTGAGCGATACATGAATTGCGTCGCATACAACTTGTAGCTCTCACATGGATACCTCTCAAATGTGTAGCTCTCACATGGATATCTCTCAAATGTGTAGCTCTCACATGGATATCTCTCAAATGTGTAGCTCTCACATGGGTATCTCTCAAATGTGTAGCTCTGCCTCTATGTGTTTGCACTGGTGTGATTGCTTCCCCTAGGAAATAATGACCTGTACCTCTAAATCTTATACAAGGATAAAGTTCATTACATGTGTGAAGTTGCACTTACGGCTGCTTGTAACCAAAAGGAGGAAAGTATAAAAACGGCACCAAAAAAAAAAAAAAAAAAAAAAAAAAAAAAAAAAAAGAACTAATTTTTTCTTGTTTACTCTTCCTTATATTAAAAAGTGCATAAAAATTCCCTCAAATGGAGTTGTAAAAAATATGCAAAATAATTTAAGGTGAGGAGAAAATAACCATTCTTCTGTTCGTACTTTTAACGGTATAACAATATTGTAGAGTTACTTATTTTCTTTCTGTCCCGTGGAGGAATCACTAGACTTCTTTTAGCGATTTTTTTCTTTTTTTTTTTTTTTCCCTTACTGGCCATTTTTTTCAAGCACATAACAATGCAGTAAGAGTGGCTTTTCCTACATGGCTTCAAAAAAAAATAAACCAAAAATAAAACCTCTTAAATTGTGTGCCTTTTATATGCAATCACCCATCCATTCATTCATTCATTCATGCATGTATGTATACATATATGTACATATCTGTGATCTATAGGAGGAACGAATACAGTGAACACGAAATAGCAATTTTTCCATCTTAACAATTTTTTGTAACGGTGTAATAGTGGACCTATCAAAAATATAAATAAAATAAAAAAAAAAAAAAAAAAAAAAAAAAGGCGAAGGGACGGCACTACTTTTTTCCTTTTGTGCATTTTTTCAACTGTATAAAATAAATTAAAATTTTTTTTTTTAAAATTTAAATTTCCTTTTTAGCCAAATAAATTGAGGAAAAGAATAAAAAAAAGGAAAAAGAAAATATATGGACGAAAAGGACACATATATTATAAAGGGATATATATATTCGTAATATCGACTGTAGTATGGTTGAATAACACATTATATAACTTGGAGAAAATTGTAAAGCTGATAATTTTTTAAAAAAACTTCTGCAAGTTGCGTTTCATTGCGTGATTATAGCAGATCAGTAGTGGAGGGATATGAATATAGGAGCAGGAGCGAAGCACTGAAGGGAGAAAAAGAAACCCAATAATTTATTATATATATGGTTAAATGGATTGGTAACTATTCGCAGGTAAAATGCCAAAAGGGGAGTAGGAAAACGAAAAAGGAAAAAACATCTATATGCACATATATACATATGCACAATCCTGCGAGCACGTACCTACCCTGCGAGTTGCACCAAAATTGAAGCCTCTCATCCAAATTGAAACACATACAGCCCATTCCCAAAACACAAAAAAAATCAGGGTCCAAAATAAACAAAGTAGAAAAAAAAAAAAAAAAAAAAAAAAAAAAATGATTATACCCGTTCGCTGCTTCACCTGCGGGAAACTAATTGGAAATTTGTGGAGTTTATATGAAAAAAAGTTAGAAGAAGGAGTATCAAAATGTGACGCACTGGACGAGTTAAATTTGACAAGATATTGCTGCAGGAGAATGATACTAACCCATGCAGACATGATGGACAAGCTGTTGTGCTATAACATTTATGAGAGGAAGTTATAGGTGAAGAAAAAATTGTGAAGACGATTGGCCCTATCTTTATAGCCGAATGGAAAAGTAGCAAATTATAAAATTTCTCTATTTTGTGATCAAGGCCAGTTTTTGAGTTTTTTCAGATGAGTATAATATATATATACAAGTGCAAACTTGAGAAAGATGAAAAGAAATAAAGAAAGAAGAACAGAAATAAAGAAAGAAGAACAGAAATAAAGAAAGAAGAACAGAAATAAAGAAATGAGAACAGAAATAAAGAAATAAGAAAAGAAATAAAGAAAGAAGAAATTTTTCTCTGGTATATTTATTATGCAAAAAGCCACATATTGTGTCAACCAGAATAACGTACGTGAATGTCAACTCTTCCTAAATCCCTTTCTTTAATTACATCAATTATTGACAATGGATCTAGCATAGCAACATCATTATATATTAAAAGGATTTGCTCATAAGGTTTTTCTAATTTTTTTGAGAGTTTTAGTTTCAAATGACCAACTTCTATTCCACCATTCTCGACTAAAGTGAGTGTTTCTCCACTGGGCAGGTTGAAAAATAATTCCACGTCTTGTTTATTTGGAATATCCCTTTTAGATTGGATTTGCTTCATTGTTTCGATAGGTTTTTTTAACTTGTCCTTTTTTTCTTGCAGGGGTAGACTCATCATTCCTTTAGAGAATTCATCCATCCTTCACTTTTTTTTTTTTTTTTTTTTATTATTTTTCTTTTTTTTTAAGTTAGTTTTTTCACCTTTTCCTCTTCCTTCATTTGAATTTATTATTTTGTGTTAGGCAAAAATCTCTTTTCTGTATGTCAATCCTTTCTCGTGTGTATATTTTTGTGGAACTTGTCCTAGTAACCTTGAGAATTATCTTTTCCTTTTTTTTTTTTCGTGCTTGTAACTTGGTCTCACATGTATAATTTCGAAATATGTTTATCATCAAATCATGTGTAGGAATTGTTTTTTTTTTTTTTTAAATTCGCTGAAAGGAGGACAGGCACTTTAGATATGTCCACTTTTGCATGTTAATTGGGATAAGTAAAAATAGACGTTTTAAAACTGTCGCTTTTTTTTTTTTTTTTATTCTTCTTCTTTTTACAAGTGCGTGGAGGTAAAAAAAAAAAAACAAAAACAAAAAACTGTCATATAGTTTTTTTTTTTCTTTTTTTTTTTTTTATTTTATTTTTTTTTTTTTTTTTTTTTTTTTTTTTTTTTATATGTGTGCAAATTTGTGTAGGTATATTTTCAGTTTTGCCCTAATTAATCTTAGCAACCTAGATCAGAATTTTTTACGAAAAAAAAGGAATGAACTTAATATAAGCTGTTAAAATATGAAACTATCCTCATTTCATAACTTCTCCGTTTATGAGAAATGACCGGAGTGAAGAAGTGACGAAATGACGAAATGACGAAATAAAATATAGACATGTGACACACCTAGGACATGCTAGTTCCGTTTCGTAGTGGTGGAGAGGAAGGTAAAAACAAACGAGCACGCTATTATGATGTGTAGTCTATGAATGGAAAGTAAAAGCACGTGAAAAAGAAAGACAAAAAAAAAAAAAAAAAAAAAAAAAAAAAAAAAAAAAAAAAAAAAAAAAGATGAACACATCTTTGTCATGAGTAAAAAATACGTATATATCCATATTGGCAACATAATACTATATGGATATATCTTCCTCTGCATAAAATCTCGTAAAAGTCTATTATTGCTCCATCTTAATCTTTATTTTCGAGTTGTTGTCAATTCCGTACGTGTATAGACTTGAATTGGTGTCTACGATTTCGATGCACATAGGATTGTTCTAAAAAAAAAAAAAAAAAGAAAAAAATCATAAAAGAAAATTATAAATGGAATAATTCATACTATGTTGGCTTAAGAAAAATATGAATTTTACCCTATGGGTAGAAACTCGAATTTTTCTTAAGTATAAATCTCATGATCACTACTTTTCAATCATTTGACAACAAATCTTCGTTTCATAGTGTTTTTTTTTTATTCTACGCTTCATTTTCGATTGGCTTACCTCGTCTGTATAAAATAACTGTAACTTGGGGAGGGGGACAGAATACAGTCTCGAACACAAGTACTTCAAATCTTTTATGTTCATGTGCTTATTAACCTTTTTCTTTACGATGTCAAAATTTTGGGAGTTCAGAAATTCCGGAATTATTGTGATGTTAATTAGGTTGCTCTGCATTCCCTTGGGCATTTCATCACTGGCTTGGTCTGGAAAGAGGCGCAGGGATACAGAGAGAGAAAGACAGTGTACTCAAAGGGATGGGTAGATATCTGTAGCACTGTACTCACGAACACGTGTATGTAAAAATGTATACTCATGGATTCATACCAACGCAGAGGCACCCACGGATGGATGCATAGAAATGAATGAAAAGTATAATTGAGAACTCACCCTGAGGGGATTCGTAGTGCACCCGTTCGAGACGCTGGCTGTGCCTGTGGTTAAGCACAGGTTCGTTAAATATCTTTGCCACATGATCCTTTCGATACAATGATATGAAAAATCGTTCCGAATTTATGCGCTCATTTTTATTTATTGAACTCCTATTCAATATTTTCAACATGGGCAAGATGGATACAAATATATATCGGAGATTTTTCTTAAGTCCTAAATTATTTTTTGTGTTCTGAAAATTTAAGATTTCTAAATGGTAGAATATGTAAAAGAGGTCTCGTATTGTTTCGTAATTTTCTATTTTGTTATTATCAAATAGTAACTCTTTCAAATGACTAAATTTTTCATTTATTTTTTGAAGCAAATCAGATTGGGTATCCATTTTTTTATTTTTCTCATCCGGATTTATACACATATTTCGAGCAATATCTACTAAATTATCATTATCTGGAAATTTATTGTTCTTTAGAAACACTGATTGAATAGACTTTGTTTTGTAGATGAAGTAAAACATATCTTCATAGTCGTGTAAATAATTGTCGTTAAGAACTATTTTTTTTAATTTTTTAAAAGAGCATATATCTATTTCAATTTTTTCCACTATATTAATTTTATTCTCTATTTTGTTTAAGTTTTCTTCCTCTTGTTTGATTTCACTCAGATCTGAGTCCCCATTTGTTCCACAGTTAGTTACATTTGTTGAAGTTTTTGCATGTATAGACTCTTTGAGATTACTAACTTTTGCATTTGATTGGACATTGGTTAATTCATCATCCATACTAGATTGCAATATTTTTCTATATTTCGCATTCTGAACATATAGGAGAAGTACTGGAGAATTCGTAAGGTCTACATTTCTTATTCTGATGTTGGTCAGGTAGTTCTTTTTCAAGCTCAGAATTTCCATATTGGGGAAGACAAAGGAAAGAATCAGAACATCTTCCCAATCAATCATTGCATTGTCAATGCACAATTCTTTGATTTGATCAAAATATATCAAGTCGTCATGAATACAATGATTATGTATATTTGAGCGGTTTTCTTCATTTGAGCAGTTTTCTTCATTTGAACAATCTTCTCCTGTGTTAGTACCTTTGTTGGGTTCCCCATTTTCACCTACCTTGCCACAACCCCGTATATGCTTGGCGAAAACAGACTGCAGAGTCAATTTTGTAAACTTATTATCTGATACGTTCAGATAGGATAATTCTTTAGCAAGACTGATAATTTTAAAAATGTCTATCCAATTACTTAAGAGATTTCCGCACAGAGATAAACTTTGCAAATTGTGAAATACAAGACTGTGGTGTAATCCACATGTATATATCAAATATTTATTTAAAGTTATATTTTTTAGTTGAAAAAAATTTTCAAAATATTTTCTAACTTTTGTTTCTCCACTAAATTGAACTTTTTTAGTTTTCTTCGTTTGATAATCTTCAACATATAAATCCGAATCCGAAAGAAAATACTTGTATCTAAAATTTAAAGCTTGAACAAATGTTAACCCTACGTGTATTTTGTCTATTGGCAAAAAGGAGCATGGTTTCAAGTTTCTGTTCCATATGCATAGTTTCTTCATACATTTTTTTGTGTCTTCCCTGAACCCATTTCCATAATCGTGACTAGCCAAATTGTAGAACCTTTTTGTTTCTTCCCTCTTCAGCAAATGTAAAGGCGAAAAGTAAAACTCATTTCTGAAATCTCCAAAATTTTTCCCTTCCATTATGTTGTCCCATTCGATTCCGTAAAATGTTTGCTTCGGCTGGGGATGATTCTTTAGCGTCCCAATGAATCGCACTGTTCCTACCTTTATGTTTATTTTCTCGTTAAACAGGTACATTGCCAAATTTTCATCTACCACTTCACTGTCTACCTGTGTTTCTGAGGAGCTTGAATCGTGTAACTTCCCGTCAGCACTTATCATCTCGCCACTGCATTTTCCAGATCCTTCGGTTTGATTAAACAGAGAGGATTCCTGGTTCCCAATTTCCAATTCTGCTGCATCTGGAATATTTAACTGAATTCCCACTTGGCTTACATCCAATTTTCTGAAGTTGCAACTGAACACTCGGATGCCTACGAATAATTCTTTCTTGTTATCGAGCAAGTTTTCCATTTGCCATGCGGTAAGTATTCATAGGGTGCATATATTGTACACATTTGTGGAAGCATAAGCACCACAAAAAATAATAAAAAAAAAAAAAATGAAAAATGATAAAATACAAATAATTTCTCTTTTTATATTCTCTTATTTTGTGAACACTTCTCTATTGGATTTAAGCTGTTCCTATAAGGAGGAATAACAAAATATGAATTTTCACATTAAACGAGAAGTTTCAGCAGTTTTGGGATGGAGGAGATGGGTGACCCCCAGAAGAAAGTTGTGCAATATTTTTACCATAAATTGGGATACCCTCTCTTCTCCTAAAACATATGTAATTTTTTCGTAATGATGAACCTCAAAGGAAGAAAAAAGTTCACTTCACATTGTGCACTGTACATATATGTATATATGTATGTGTGTACATGGACTTATATGCATGCACAAGATCCTGTATGAACAAAAGCGACACTCTTTATGTAGGCCTCTTCACTGGCTTTCCTATTTTTCAAAAATGGACTGAATTCCTCATGCTGAGAATGAACATACGTTTCGTAGAAGGGAAAAAAAAAAAAAAAAAAAAAAATCAATCGAATAGAATAGAATCAAGCCGAGTCAAATCGAATAGAATCAAATCGAGTCCAAACCTTCTTAACTGCGATGTTATTTGTCTATGGCTCAAATGCAATCATAAAAAATGGGATAAGAATTGAGTGTGTCATTAAATTGGGTTTTCTATATTGTGCTGCTTAAGTTAGGTTTTTCCCCTAATTGACATCTTATCTTTTCCTATATTTTCTACTTTTTTTTTTTTTTTTTTTTTTTTTTCTTCATATTTATATCATGTGCTTGGAATTTTTGCTATACCATAATGACACATCATTTCGTTTCCAGATAATACGAGGTAAAGTTTGCAAATTTTATACATGAATCCACACAACCCTTCAGGGGTACATGGAAAAAAAAAAAAAAAAAACTTAAAAAGGTTGAATGCGGAAGTAGTGGGAACGACAAAAATAAACTATAGTTATTTTTTTAACGCAACGTAAAAAAAAAAAAAAAAAAAAAAAAAGAGTTATACTAAATTCTGTTGAAAAAAAAAAAAAAAAAAAAAAAAAAAAAAAAAAATAGAAAAATTGGGACTAATTTAATAAACAAAAATAATCACCCCCTCCTCCCATACGTTCTCTCTATTTTCCAAATATTCATATATATGATTCATATATGATATGTATACTTGTGAATTTTAAACAAATTACCATAAAGGTTTACATAAAAGAAAAACCAAAATAAAACAGAAATAATATTACATGTGTGTTATGTAAAATGTCTTAAATGTACATGCACGTAGTGTGTATGCATAAATAAAAGAATTCCACCCAAGTGACAGGATAACGAAGCGCAACAATTCTAAAAAAATAGGATCAATGCGTGCATGCAAATATTTCCATTTATATCTACCGGGAAAAAACTCGGCGGGGTTCCAAAAATGCCAAGGTGGGAAAATCAAATGGGTGTAAAAAAAAATACATACATATATATATATATACACATATATATATATATATATACATATACATATACGTACGTGCATATATCGTACAAAAATTTGGAAACGCCTTCTACACGAGGAGTGTGGCATTTATGCATCCATCCAACTCTGGGTTGTTAGTGACTTGAGCGAATTTGGCCCATATCACTTTTCCTGATTGAGTTACAAGCCCCAATTCACTTACATTGACTTCTATAATGGTACCTTTTGTAATTATCCCTAAGTTAGTATATAAATTTGATTGCGGATTAACCTTTACACTTATTATGTCTAGTGAGAAGGTAGTTTTTAATTCACTGTGATAAACATTAGCTTTTTTAAATCGTAAACTACTTGGTCTAATATATCTTTCAAACTTAGGATTTTTTCTTGTGAAATCATTACCAACAAATGATATTTTATCAATTAATCGTTTCCATGTTTTTCTTCTTCTCTTACCTGATTTAACAACTCTTAGCATTTCCGCTTCATTTAAAGCTTGGATTTTGGGAATTGGCAATTCCCATTTTCCTGCTTTACTTTTTCTCTTCTGTTTAAGTAAGTTTGTTAAAACTTTCGTGTGTTTAATTTGGGTTCTGTCTAATAAGTATGATGGTAATCCATTTTCATCATTAATTTTGGTTCTTTTTTTTACATCCTTTGGCTCATGTGCTTTAATAGTCTTCTTTAGATTTACTTTTTCTGTATATTTTTTCTTATTATATATTTTTGCCTTTATTCCTCTTAATTTCTTAGCTTTCAGTGATTCTTTGTGTACTTTCCTGGCTTCTTTTTTTTCGGATTTTTCAAAGTAGTCGAATCGGTATCCATACCTCTTTCTGTGCAGCTCTATGTAATTGTTCTGTGGCATTCTTCCTTTTTTTTTTTTTTTTTTTTTTTTTTTTTTTTTTTGGGTATGTGGGGGGGGAGTGAACGTATATGGGTAAAATCGGGCACTTAAAAAAGTAGGAAATATTCTAGGTGATTTTGCTGTTTTGCTGTTTTGTTATTTTGCTATTTTGCTACTTTGCTACTTTGCTATTTTGCTATTTTGCTATTTTTCGGTTTTGCGGCTTTAGTGTTTTTTCTGGATCTATATCATGGTTTCTTGCGTACTTCATAGGCACGTTTTGGTTATCGATTGAGGGCAAAGTTCTCGTTGGAGCTTCAGGATCAACATTCTCATTAGTTCTACGAGGTCACGATCCTTTATGTTCTTTGTAGTTGAAAAATTTAAGGATCATCTCGCTCAAGCAGAATTGGCCAAATGGACGAATTCGCTTAAAATGACGCCTTGTTCCCTTTGGTTGGGCTTAGTCTGCCAACTTAGGAAAAGTTTAGCTACGAAAGATGGGTTATGGAGAATTCTTTTCTTCTCTTTTCTCCTCTTTTGAAATATTTGTTCCGAAATATCCCATACAAAGTGGGGGAAAAGGAAGGGAAACATTTATTCACTTTTTTTTTTTTTCAATTTCTTTCATAATTATATCGATTTTTTTTTTTTTTTTTTTTTTTTTTTTTTCAATTTGGATTAACATGTATGTGGCATTTATAGTAATTCATAATTTAACTAGTTTTTGTGGATTATTTTTTATTTTATTATTTTTTCCACATAAAATTTTATAGTAGTTGGAAACACAGCATGAGATGGAGATAATATCTTTATTTTTTTCATATGCGTGGCAATACATATAATCGAGTAGGTTTTTGTTTTGTTTTAATTTTTTTTTTTTTTTTTTTTTTTTGGGAAATTTACATACAGTTTTCTTTCCTTTCCCTTCTTTGGCGCCGCGAGCAGGTCGGATCAGGGAAAGGTTTTTTTTTTTTTTTTTTTTTTTTTTTGTTTAATTATTTTGCATCTCTATTTTGCAATTTTATCTTTATTTATTGACCGAATGAAACACGGCAAACATGTGGTGAAGAAGCGCAAATGCTTTTCTTCAATGACATAGAACAAATTGGGTCCCTTCCTTTAAGTCATATTTCCCACGTGTGCTTTCCTTGGAAACCTTATGTTGTCTGTGAGTTCTGCGTTAATTTGCATTTTTCAAATCGAAATGGGCACATAAAAAGAAGTTGTACACGTATTAATGTATGTCGACCGAGTGGTTACGCATATATATATGTATATATATATATATATATATATATATATATGTATGTATGTATTACTTAGATACATAACTCTGATTATAGTGGGCAATTTAAAATTATGGAAAAAGCAAGCACCCTTCTACCTCTAGTAGGGAGGGAAAGGATCATCAGGAACGTTTCACAACACGAATCGAATGTTATTGAAATTTTTTTTTACTTTTGCATAATTTAAATGGAGAAAAGGAAAATGAGACGAACATGTGGAAGGTACATGAGTGTATAAGTATATGTGCAGTACGCACATAAGCACATTTGTAGATATCTACTACATGTGTACATTCACACCAGTGTGCATACTTCAAATGGAAATGCTTACGAAGAAATTGCATGACAATGATATGATGAGAATAACAGGAAAAAAAAAAAAAAATATAAAATAAATGAAAAAAAAAATAAATGAAAAAAAAATAAATGAAAAAAAAATAAATGAAAAAAAAATAAATGAAAAAAAAATAAATGAAAAAAAAATAAATGAAAAAAAAATAAATGAAAAAAAAATGAAAAAATAAAACAAATTCAAGTGGCGTATGGTCTACTAAAGTTGGATGTATCACATTTTCTCGTCACAACATCTGTGCAAGATTTGGGAAAATTAGGGCCTTCGCACATCCTCAGTTGTTTTTATTAAAAAAGGATTTCAAATTATCTGGAAGCATCCGCAGAATAAAATTTTCCTTTCTGCTCTTGCTGAACCTGGTGATGAATACATGTATGTGAAATGTTCATGAGAGTATTTTTTTTTTTTTTTTTTTTTCACGTATAAAAAAGGAGACATACTCACTTTTTGGTCTCTCTTTTGTATTTCCACTCGTGTTCATAAGGATAGAAGATGTGGAGATCTACATGGGCATTCGTCCTATGCATACGTTGTGTGTATATGCAATCGGTTCAGTGGTGAGGGTGAAATTACCATGGCTTTATTTCCCAAAAGGGCAGGGAGATGACTTGCCACTTGTCATGTTCGAGCAACCTGGGGAAAGTAAAAAAAAAAAAAAAAAAAAATGAAAGAAATATGAACAGAGCGAAGTGGGAAATGTGAATAGTGATAATTAGGAAAAGATAACAGAAAAATGGCAGATGAAAAACGTTAGCAGAAAAATGGCAGATGAAAAACGTTAGCAGAAAAATGGCAGGTGCAAAACGTTAGCAAAAAAATGGAAGACGAAAAAGCCGAAACTGTGTCCAAACAAACTGGCGACGAAACGACCGGGTGGATAAGCGTCCACCCTACCCCTGCAGAGGTACATCACGAGGGAAACACACATATGCTGATCACATCACATAGCATAACTTTTGGATAGCATAACTTTTGGATCGCACAACTGTTGGATAGCACAACTGCTGGATAGCACAACTGTTGGATCGCACAACTGTTGGATCGCACAACTGTTGGATAGCACAACTGTTGGATAGCACAACTGCTGGATAGCACAACTGCTGGATCGGCTTCCCACAAAAGGGTAATTTCTTCTTACCTCCGTTTAACAACCGTTTTGGTATTTAGAGGAGGATAGCCACCCCTGTACGACCTGGTCTTGTAGTGAAAGGGGCCATTAACCTCTATAGCTATGTTTTGAAAATTTTTGAATGAGTAATTATTATTTATCAAGTCATCACGCAGTATAGCAATATCAATAAGTAGTCCATTCTCCGTTATGTATTCCACGTGACATGGAATCTTTAAATCCTTTTGAATAATATCAGCAATTTCATAATGTAAAGAGGAGGAACTATAAGATATTATTCGCATGTTATTAAGGTATGTTTGTTTAAATAACTTCAATGGTTCTTCTCCAAATCGAAAGGTCTTTACTTTGTCATTTTCTGCATGAATTCTTTGTATAATGGTAGATTCCTCTACTTCTCTATCACTATGAGTGTCTGTATACATGCTGTATGAAAGATAGGATTGATACAACTTACACACCATAATTTCTATAGGGGTATTAACACTACTATCTTTGGTATAAGCATAATAAGACTGATTAAAGTAAACACTGTTCTTGTAATGATTTAATGTCTCTTCGTTTAAACTTTTCAGAAATGGCAAGTCATATACAAAATTGAAAAGTTCCTTATCGATGTACGTTAGTGCTGACATATACCGTATAATATCAACTAATTCGATTGGCGTATAATTGTTTCGATTTTTTAGAATCATTTTTGAAAGAAAATAAAGAATCAATGTTTTTATCTGTTTCAAACGAGATGTAAAATTCTTTGGTTGTTTCTCATCAATTCGGCTATTGCAGTCCCCTCTCTCTTCTGATAATTCCTCATCCAACAGGTAAAGTGCTCTCACAAGTTTCACAATCAGCTGATTATTCCTGTAGTCCAACAAGTGCAATTTCTTAATGATTGACACAAAAAGGATATTCAGCAATTTTGTCGAATTAAATTCTAACGTTGCTAAACTATGAAATGAGAGAATCAGCTCTTCTATGCTCAGTTCATCTGCATTTTTCATAACTTCAGAAGCAATGATGTTAAGGATGCTTAAATTCGTGTATGGAAATTTGCAAAGGGTACACAAACAGTATGCGTAAAGGTTCACGGGTCGTCTCCTCGCCTCACCACGCTCGTTTATCTCCTCCTTTGTGGATTCATGCTTTGTCGCTTCATTCAGTGATTCACCAGTTATGGGAGAGGGGCTCATTTGAGAACCTTCAACAAACCTCATCCTGGTATGCCTCAAATCCTCCGGACCGTACTTTTTTACGTGCTCATTTGCGTAAGCCTTTTCTTTTTCTAAGTCATCTAGTGAACTGTCTAAGCAGGAATAATTAGCCAAGTGGTATATAGAGTACATTAAATCTTTCATGTGAAAAGGAGAAGAAATAAAAATATCCGGTTCTGGGTTTTCATTATTCATGTTTTTCTTCATGTTTTTGTAAAAATTATCAATGTTCACTTGGTCATATAGTGAATATGTGCACTCCTCAGAGTTAACTTTTTTAATATCCTCATTTGAGTCTACATGAGATTTAACCAAAGATTCATCTGTCACCGCTGTTCTTTCTCGTCGCTCTGAATCTGCATCTCCCTTGGATTCCACCTTATCCAAATCATCATCACGATTGTTAATATTGGGATGGACCTTGTCCCCAAAATTCTCACTAATCAGATCGATATCATTTCGACTAGGGGTAAGTGAAATCCTCTGTAAGTACGCCAAGAGATGTTTGGAAAAATTCAGGAAAAGAGACTTGATATAAATCTTCTTAATATTGCAAAGATACACAGCTTCACAAAGGAGAGTCATGTCAAATTTATCCATAAAGAAAACGAGAAAAAAATATATATACTTAAAAATATTTGTATGATCATATTTTAAAATGCAAAAACACTTCAAAATGGTTATGATGTCCTTAATATTTATGTATGGAATAAATTTATACATATCTTTATTTTTTTCATAACTTGTTAATTTTTCATTTGTTGAAAATATTTTATATATAATTTTTAAATGTTTGTTAATACTACCTACTACTCTCAAAAAATTTCTATTCCTTGTAATGTAATACAGTCTTTTCCTTTCTTCTTTCATTTTAAGTATATCCCCATCGTCTACCTCTTCATATGAGTTATCATCATAACCAAATGTTAACATACCCTTATTTGTATGATCCGTGACAGATAACTTTTCTTCCTCAACACCACAAGAGCAAATCTTATCTGAGTTATGCGATGATCCTAGTAAACTTACCTTCTTACCCTTAAAAGAAGAATTCATCCTTATTTTCCTTTCATTTAAATATGCTGTGGTGAACTTATACAATGAAAACACACTCATGGTGATGTTTAAGTAATTATAAGGATTGGTGTCAAATATGAAAAAAATGTCTTCAATATTTTCTTTATTGTATATGCCTTTATATATTTTGTCCACATTATCGTTCAGCAATTCATTATTTTTTTTAAGTATATAATTCCAATTAATTTTTTTGTTAGTTCTTTCTCTTATCATTTTGATATTTTCCTTTGGTGCACCCCAAATACCTTCTTCCATTAGCTCTTTTATAGTTTTTCTGTTTTTTTTTAATAAAATGTAATCATTAACAAGATCGAACTCGTTCTTATTTGTCGTTTGTCCAATATAATCATGTGATTGTTTCATCCTTTGCAATGTCGAATCATTTGTCCTTTCACACACTATATTACCAATCTGGGCATCTATAGAATCTACCTTTTCTAAAATCTCTTCTTCGTGTACAATCCCCTGTTCATTCCTCTCTGTCCATAATTTACTCTGCTTACATTTTGCAGAAAAAGATGGTTTAATAAAAAAGTTCCTTTTATTAAACTTGTCAATAAATTCAGAGTTATGGCAGTACTGGTGATTACTCCCTTTTTTGTTTTTCCCATCCTGATGGTGATAGTAGTGTGATTTTTTTCTCCATACACATCTGTTTTCTTCCCCATTAGACTCCAGTGCTTGAAACAAATTCCTTCTCTTAAAAAGCTTCTTTACAAAATTGTAATTTCCATCTTGCTTTGTTTTCAGAAAACTTGATTTTTTTATTACGACTGAATAAGTTTCTTTAGTGAGTAGAAATGCAATGAGAAGGAGGTATATCAAGTATGCTATGAGCAAAAGGGAATTGGCAAAAATGGTCATTATAACCATTCATCTTTCTTACATGCCAGGAGAAAAAAATGGGGACATGTTATCTCTAAGCATAGATGTGTGTGAACATGTGGAAGGAAAAAGAAAAAAAAAAAAAAAAATACTAAAATTGGAAAAACTGGAAATATTGGAAAAATGTTCTTCAGGATGGGCGTGAACGTAGGGACAAGTTAAAAAACTTGCGTTACTTTTTTTTTTTTTTTTTTTTTTTTTTTTTTAAAAAAAAGAAAAACATTTCGAATATACCTTTTTCATCATCCCATAGTGTAGTTGCCATTTTTTAACTCCATAGATTGGATAATGCGTGGGGAGAGAATAAATTCATACGCATAGCTATTTTAATTTTTTTTTTTTCAAATCCGTTTGTTTTACCGGACCTCACGTGCTCACTTGATTTCGCTGCTTCTGAATGTCACTGCCATTTAAATCTTAATTTATTTTTTGGACTCTTGCCCCTTCCCCTAAAATCTTATTAGTGCTTTTATCTATACCTTTATTTACCACCATATCCATACTTTACGAGCTTTTCATAAGGCAGTATATCCTTATTTTAACACAATTATATGATAAAATTTTGGACATTTTAAGCACATTTCTGCTTAGGTACATAAAAGGAAAATCATTATTTTAAGACCCCAGTATGGGAATGTATTAACAAATTCAGCAGGAGAATGAAAAAAAGGTATGAACCATCAAAACGGTGGAAAATTATACCTCTACGTTAAGCAATATGAAAAGAAAAATTACAAAATGGGACAATTAGATTACAGACACAAAATAAAGTAATAAATTGTTGTATATGAAAAATCCAGACTTTTAGAGAAGTAATCATCATTGGGGAACAATCCATAAAAGTGATAAAAAAAAAAAAAAAAAAAAATTGCATAAATAAAAAGTGATAATTAAAATAAGCAAAAATAAAAGTAATTTATTTTCTTTCACTGTACCAAAACGATATAAAACCAAAGTTGTTATTTTAACCACACTTTGTTTTTTTTTAAGTTAACATACTTAGCATTATTTACTCTTACACACCTTGCTCTGAATTTACACACACAATGAAGAAGAAGTATCACGAGTGTAAAAGGTTCCAGATAACACTTCAACATTGTATGAATACCTAAGTGCTAACATAATGAAAGACGCAAAGTGTACTTGCTTTTAAGTGCACAACCGTAAGGGGAGCACACACACCACCAGCACAACCAATTTTTCATTCTTTTTTTTTTTTTTTTTGTCCTAATTTTTTCCTCTATATGGTTATGATTCCAAACGACGGCAGACAGTGTAGGTAATTTTATATCATTGGTAAATCACAGGTTTTTTTTTTTTTTTTTTCTTTTTTTACTGTTCCAATTTGCGGTTCAAAAAAAAAAAAGGTTGGATTTTAAAAAAAAAAAAAAAAATAATAGTAATAGGGGTAACCTACAATTAATGATAATTATATTAGTAATTATAAAATTGTAACAATAATAGCAAAAGGTAAAAGTGGCAGTGGTAAAATTAGCAGAAGAAAAAATAATCGGGGGACGAAGTAATGTGCAAATGGTTCATGTGGTTATCAAGAAAAGTTAAAATTTACACACACATAAGCAAGGAACATACAGGAATGCAAAACACGCACATGTGCAAATCTTGAACCCTTCACACCCAAATTGATATAATATACATTTCATCTGATTCTCACTCTCGCTCACTTAATGCTCTTCTTCCTTTTCATAATTGTAAAAAAAAAGAAAAAAAAAAAAAGGTGCGCAACATGGTGCTTTTCCTCTACATATTCCGTATGCAAAAACATGGTGTAGTAGTTCTATGCAGCTGCACCTTGCCGTGAACAGCTATGTACAAATACGTGTATAAAAAATGGAATTTGGATTTACTCTACATAAATAAGGTGAAAAGCTTAAAAAAAGAACTCTTGTATGCTACATTATTTATTTTTCCCTTAAAAATATGAATAAACAATAAAAGGTTATAAAACACTTATTAACAGGATTATAATGGAGGGGCTATAAAATTCCTATTAACAGGATAGTAAAAAAAAAATAAAACAATAAAAAAAAAAAAAAAATGAATAAAATAAAACAATAAAAAAAAAAAAAAAAATGAATAAAATAAAATAATAAAAAAATAATAAAATAATAAAAAAATAATAAAATAATAAAAGAAAAATGTAAGATCCTCCTCCCTTCCTATTATCCATGCCTCCACGCGGAAAAATGCACACACCGTGAATTATTGCTACAATTATCATAAACAAATTGTGGTCAGCTCAAAATTATGTTTAAAAAAAAAAAAAAAAATATTTTAATAATGCTCCGTTTTTTTTTTTTTTTTTCCCTCAAATTGATTCATTTACATATAAAAAAGTAAATCCAAAATATCCATATATGTTAAAGCGTCTTGGCATGTATGAAAAACCAAGATTTATTCCTCAAAAGCCCATGGATTGGATTTCAGAAAATTATCAGTTGCCTCCTTGATGGCATAATTCGGTATGACCTCTCGCATGGAAAATTGCTCACGACTCACGGGATCGAAGGAACCATTATGCTTTACATGTTCATACAGAAATATTTTATCATAAGTCATTCCACTGGGAGTAATAACAGGTTCATTCATTAAGCACATGGATATTTTACAACATAAATAATCAGGTATTTGTTTTCTTTGAAATGAATCCAAAATTTCTTTAAAAAGATTTTCTGTCTGCTGTGTTCTTAAGTATTTCTCTTCATTTGTAATATATCCAATTTGATTAAGTAAGTTAATTTTATCGATTAGAAATGATTGCAATTCTGTGTAGGTCAACTGTTTGTTTTGTTCATCTCGTAAGTATATTAATTTTTTTGCTTGTAATATGTATCTATTAATTTCACTTTCGTTAGAATCCTTTAAATAGCTAGATAATGTTTTTGCCTTTGTTAATTTTTTTAAGCCTTCTTCTAAACTATTTAAATGTAAAAGTGTTAATCCCAGTATAAAATGAGCCTTAACAGATTCTTCTTCCAAATTTAAAGCTTGTCTTGCATCACTATTTGCTAATTTCCACAATTTTTGTTTCTTATAACATAATGCTCTATTCGTGTAATATACATGATTTGTATTATCATATGAGATTGCCTTCGTGTAGTAATCAATGGCTGATTCAAAGTACCCTAATTTGTAGCTCTGATTCCCTAGTACTTTATATTTCTCAGCTTCTCTTTTTCTATCCTCCGGGTTTAACATATCGCAATTTGTTGCATGCACATGTCTTTTCTGCACTTCCTCTTCCACATCGACGTTGTTCTTTTGGTTGTGTTCATCATTTAGACTCTTATCATTACATTCTTTGTCATTTCTACATTTTCCATAAACATCATTACCTTGATGATAATCATTATCGCTATTGTGACAGTTACTGCTGGGGTTATGTGAATGGTCTTCTCCATTTTCAGCACTATTATGATCACTATCATTTCCCTCATCTACACCATTTTCACAATCTCTTCCTTTTTTTATCTGCTTGCTAAAATTGCCACTACTATTAAAACTATTCATGTTGTTCGTTATACAATTATTGCCTTTCCCATGACTGGGATGGTAACTCGGATTCATACTCATGTCCTTATAATTGATATTAGAAACATAGTTTCTTTTATTTCCTGTATTCTTACTCATCATTGTGTTGTTGTTCATATTGTAATTATTATCTAAATTATTTGTACTTTCGTTGTTACTATAGCTGTTCCTTCGGCTAATTCTTTCAAAATCATTATTTTCAGGATTTTCACCATACCAATGTCTATCTCCCATACTCATGTTGTAGTTGCTTCTATAATTTTCTGTATCTTCATCTACATAATTACCTTCACAAGTTGTTCCACATCCATCATAATTACCACGATTAATAATTGGCAACTCCATGGATTGTTGGTTATGATCTCCACTCAGTGGATGTGTGGAGTTGTTGTCTCTGCTTTTTCCCACACTGTATTGGTTATAGTATTCATTCATATTTCCACCAATATTGTTATCCCCACAATTGCTGCTATTGCTACAATCGTTATTACCACTATTATTCTTGTTGCCAATGTTGACATTATCATTCCTTGCGATGGGATTGTTTCTCCTCTCGACACTGCAACAATTGACATTACTGTAATCAACATTGCTGTATCCAACATTGCAGAAATCAACACTGCTGTTGTTCTGGTCTAAGCAACTATTGCTTCCTTGGGTTTCCCCTCCTCTGTAGTTAATGCTATTAGCACTATTGCCGTTTCGAATATTACTGTTTCGAATATTGCTGTTTTCATTACCACCTGAACAACTGTTACGTCCACTCTTGCGCTTCCTCTGAAATTGATGTTTCACCATACCTCTATTCGATGCATGTTCATCTGGGTTCACATGTGATGATGATGTGATAGATGCAGATGAACCAAATGAAGCACCAGATGATGATGATCCGTTATTTTTGGTGTACATTTTTCCATTATGATCATTTCCATCATTGTTTGCATTGTTATTTCGATCACTCTCTTCATCCTCATTGTTGTCCTCATTGTCATCTTCATCTTCGTTAGTATCTCCGTTATTATCACATCTACCAGTTCGGCTATAATGTCCATTATTATCATCATCATCATCTCGATCCCCATTACTATTATTATTATCATTACTTCCACCGTTTTGGGTTCTACTATTTGGATATCCACTCATGTTATTATTATATCCACTACTATTACTATAATTATAGTTGTTACTATTGGTTCCACCATTACTATCCTTATTGTTGTAGCTATTTTTACTGTTGCTACCTTTTCCTCCATTGTTGCTATTATTATTACCGTTATTTTGACTACTGCTATTTCCTGTCGTTTTGTTGTTGCTTGTTGACATGTTGCACTTTACATAATTCTCGCATGTGACACCATCTGATATGTCATACTTTATCTTATTATGATTAGAACTGCAATCTATGATATTGTTCCTCTGAAGGTTAATGATGTTACCCATGCTCCTTTGGTTTACATCTCTATTGATAGTACTGTTCATCCAGCTGTCTTTGCATCCCAAGTCATTGATGTGGTAGGAATCACTGATATCACCATAAATTTTGCTAACCATACATGCACTGTCCAAGGTTGCACTATCCACATTTGCACTTTCCATTAAGTTGGATAACCCGTTTCTGTTTTTGATCTTTTCCCACACATCTCTAATGTCTTTGTAGTTAACTTCTTTTCTATTTGCCTGAACGCGTTCATGCAGGTGCAAATTATTCATATTGGGGCTGGGATCTTGTTCTTCTTGCTTGTATGCTTTTGGAGAAAATTTCTGCTTGCCTTGTATGTGCTCACTGTTAGCTCCCTTAACACTTGTTAAGTATGTGTGGTTACTATTGCCATTGCGATTGCTGCTTCGATTACTACTGAAGCTCATGTTGCTGTTCATATTATTGTTCTCGTGGTAGTCCTTTTCTTTGCCATCACTCACATTGGGGAAGCAACGATTGCCTCTTATTCCTTTAACGTTGTTTTGAGCTCCACAATTGGAACTTGTACCAAAATTAGTCCTTCCCCCAACAATGCTTTCCGCGCTTTTCATAAAGGCGTTTAAATTGTTTGATAAATAGTTTATGTTCCAATTTTTCAAAAATCCTTTTTTTTCTTCGGCTTTATTAGTATCCATTCGTTTCAGCGATTTAAAAATTTGTTTATGAAAAAAAAAAGTTTTATATTTTAATGTGTTTGCATCCCAATTTTCGCTTATTTTGTCACTCTTATTGTATAATGTTTTTTTAACCTTCCTATTATTTGAAAATTTGTTGAAATTTCGAAATCGTTTTTTATTCTTTTTCTTCTTGTTATATTTATTCTTGAAATTTTCTTTTTCTCTCCTTTTAATTTCTGCTATACTATTCATTATATATGAAATCAGCTGTTTTTTTTTTTTTTTTTTTATTTTTATTTTATCTTTTCAAAAAAATTTTATTTTCCAAATTTTTTTTTTTTTTTTTTTTTTTTTTTCCCCCTTTTAACATGTTATAATGGTTTACACAGCATTTTTTTTACGCTTCTAATTTTTTGCCTCTTTGTTACTCTAATTTTGTTCGCTCGAGTATTTTTTTTTTTTTTTTGGAGAATTGGGGGGGTTTTTTTTTTTTTTTTTTTTTTTTTTTTTTTTTTTTTTTTTTTTTTTTTTTTTTTTGTTTTTTTTTTTTTTTTTTTTTTTTTTTTTGTGTGTTTTTTTTTAGATAAGGGCGGTGGAATTTTATCAAAATGTTTACAAGAATATATATATATGTGTGTATATTCCTTCGGCTGATTTGTACTTATAGGCATATGTGTACATTTACTTATACAAGTATATAAGGGATTACACACACAATTACTCATATATGTATATATATATATGTATAACACCCCCACCAAAAAAATATACGCATTAAACGAATGTACGTGGTGTGTGTATATATATAATCACAAAAAAATTGTCATTTGTCGGATTGTTCCTGTACAATTTTTATACTCAGTAATTTTGAAATATTTATTTATTCGTCGTAAATATATCTGCTATGCGAGTGTATATATATACATATACAATCGTATGTTATTTGTTATTATGCGTGCGGATAAACTTTTCTGTTTTTCTTTTTTTAATATATACATTTGTAACACCTTCACTCATACAAATGGATATTTCTCTCCTACTCTTACTCTTAATGTAAATAAACAATGTTTACATGCTTTTCCCCTCAAATCAATCCCACTGCTTAGGACGGTTTGCCTTTAACTCAATGTGAAGGTGTACTGTCAATCTCATGTATAATTATCGCATATGCAAAGAAATGAGAACACTTGACGCTACGTTTTAAGCTGTGTATACATATGCTGCTCGATGAACTGTAAATATTAGTAAAGCACGAATATTTATACATACGTGTTCGTCCATATATGTTTACATGTATAAATGTTCGTCCATATGTATAAGTATACACTCGCACATATACATGTGTGTTCATATGTTACCATATATGATTGTATAATCCTAGTGTTTCACATTTTGGGGTCTCCTTGAAGAGTAGCATAAAAAAAAAAAAAAAAAAAAAATCTTGAAAAAAGGAACTACATATATATCGGCAATAACACGTATGTACTTATGCAAAAATAAAAAACCCTGGTGAAACTAAAGTGAAGGGAAAAATAATGAAAACTGCAGATATGTAAATTGAAATGAAATCGTTAACGGAGAATAAAAAAAAAAATGTTAAAATGGAGGATTGTTGGAACCAAAAATGCTGCGAAAAGAAAAGGGGTAACATATATACATATACATAGTGTTGTACATATGTACTAAACATATGCATATATACCTACATATTCATACATTTAAAACAATATTTCTACGCATTTAAAAAAAAAATGTTAAAAGTAGTTGGTTTTGAAATACGCCCCTTTGCTTTTCTATATTTTTATTTTCTCCGTATACGCATAAATATATATACATGGTTTATGTATATAATATGTACGTATATTGGTACTAACATGTATACAAGCAAATATATGCTGCATATAATTCTTGGGTTAGTAAAATTTATACTTTTCTACCTTATGTTGGTGGGACATACATGCATGCATATGTACATAAATACATGCATACATATATATATACACATACGTCATAACTGTACATACAAATACGCACGCGTGGAGTATTTACTTATTGTTCTGTGGAACTCTAAATGAAAAAACATGGTAACCCCCCTCACCGCTCGATGAAATGTAAAATCTAATGGTGAAAAAATAAAAATGAAACAAATGAAATGAAAATTTTAATTAAAAGGGAACATATATATTTCATTTAAAAAATGTTTATTTCACCATTATGCAAAATGGGAGAAAAAAAACGAGAACACATAAAACAAAGATATATATATGTGCATGAGTACGAAATAAAGTGCGCGTGTATATATATGAATACGTTTGAATGTATGAACGCAATCAGTAATATAATGTACATAATGTATATAATATACAAGCATATACACATTCATTCATACTTAACACTTATATATATAACACAAACTGGTAAAAATAATAAAAATCAAAAATGGAACGAGCAAAAAAAAAAAAAAAAAAAAAAAACGTGTGCCATCTATATATGTACGGCAAATTGTTTTGGGTCATATCATGCGAAATTTATGTGAGATCGCTTAAAAAATGGATAAAGCGTAAATTTATTCTTCCGTTGTTCGTTCCATTTTGTTTTATTTCATTTTTTTTTTTTTTTTTTTTTTTTACCTTTACATAAGACCTATGTATTAAAAAGTTATAAAACCACAGGGTCGTTTATTTTCTACTTGAAGTAACAAATGCGCGATAACAATTTTGCACATAATAAGTGAAGTCTGAAAACAGATCCCCAAGCTTTTGAAGCACTTGTAAATGTGAAAAAATTCACTTAACATTATTGTACGCCGTTGGCATGTATATGTAGTAAACCGGGGAGCAAAATTTAGCCGAATTGAACTAAATCGAACCAAGTTGAACCAAATTGAATCAGGTTGAACCGAATTGAATCAGGTTGAACCGAATTGCAAAATTATATATACATATGCTTAGGGATTTACTTCTTCGAGCGCGCCACGCGAATATGCATAAAAATGTGAAAATTTTGCGACAAGTCCAGATTATGTGATTCCTACATATACATGTAAGAATATGCATGTGGAACCCTTCCTCCAACAATGCACATGCAACATATTTACATATATATACAATGCACGCGCGCCAAGTGCATATGTGTGCTGAGGCCACCATATTCTATAGAAGAAATAAAATCGAAGGATGTTGTAAATGCCATACCATGAATGTTTATATAATTCTGTTCCTGTGTGGCTATACTGATGAGAATTCATTGATGTTGGTTCCACGGGTTATGTCGCGTATGTACAAATTTGCCCTTATACCAATATGAGAATGTGGCCAAAAATATAGTATTAAAAGAATAGAATAAAATAAAAAGGCATATATTTTGTGTACACGCATATGTACCAAGTCGGGTGCAGCAAATTTTAAAATTGCAACCTCACCCACTCTTTTTTAAGAATTAAATGTTTAGAAAAATGTGTAACGAAATATGTATAGAGTAATGCAAAAAACCATCGCCATTTATTTGTGCATCCCCGTCATGGTGACAAGAAGTTTATATAATAATTCCCCTGCATATGCATATTACTGGTGGTGGTAAAGTTTGCAGTTAATTCCTTTGGGTTATGTGCAATTTGTGTAGCTTTGGTAGCCCTATAAAGTGCAGAATCGGCATAGCGTGATACAAAATTTTTCTCCTAGCACAAAGTGTCTCATGTTCTTACAAATTCATCTGTTGCAATGAGTTTTTTTCTTCACTCCATATCGTCATACACTGTTCAACAGATTCGAATCATATATATATATATATATGCACCGTCGCGTCGATTTATCATTGATCCCCAAGTACATAAAAACGAAGAACAACAGAAGCGATGCTTACAATTTAACGCAATGGCAAGAGGTCGAATTAAATGTTTCTCAAGTAAAATTTTTGCTTCTATACAATTAGGCACGAAAAAATGAAACATAAGCAAAAAAAAAAAAAAAAAAAAAAAAAAAAAAAAAAAAAAAAAAAAAAAAAAAAAAAAAAAAAGAAAAAAACAAAAAAAAGAAAAAAAAAAAAAAAGTACGGAAAAAAAAAAAAAAAAAAAAAAAAAAAAAAAAAAAAAAAGAACGAAATAATGTATTACCCTAGTACTTAAAACAATTAAATATAAAAAATTCTACTCCTATTTGTTGGTCCTATACACATTAATAAATAATGAGTATCCACCAATTTAATTTTACGAACATGTCTTCTTACCATCCTGCACTTCTATGCATCTTTCCCCCCTCCCTCCCCTTGGTCGGTCTTACGACGCTTCAAATTTTCAAAATAAGCATCTGCAAGTTCTTTAGGTATATGAACATTTTTATAATAATTCTTCTCCCCTGGGGAGGGTAAACCATCCAACTTAGTGTGTGCAAGTGGAGGGTATATGGGCATTGTGATTTTATCGACATGTTCATTGATAATTTTACTCCTTAGTGTGCTATCAAAAGTGGCAATATTTTGTATTAAATTGCGATACTTATCACTCTGTTTTTTGCATTCCAGTAAAAGATATTTGTATATCCATACATCTGGACTTATGTAATTATCGACTGCTTTAACCAAACCGTTTGGAAAAGTAATTTCATCCAATTTGTTATTCTTATCATTAATAAAATTATTTAGACTAATCAGACATTTCTCGTATTTGTACATTTCTTTCGTCAGTTTCCTGCAAATTCGTGAGTTCTTCTTTTCTCGATTGTTCTCCCCACTCTGTTCAGCACTGCACCCTTGACTATATTCTAGACTATTGTCATTGCTACGAGTTCGACTATGCGTTCTGCTATGTGTGTGGCTGTCCCCTTTGCTATTCTCCTTACTGTTCGTTATACTGTTGTTGTTATCACTTATATAGTTATTTTGGTCTTCACAAATACATGCTATTTTAGTCAATTTCGAAATTATGGACGTAATTTTTTCTTCAAGACGATCTTCCCTGATTCTCTTTTTGTGAATTTTGTAATTTTCAACATCACGTTTTTCACGTCCATTGTTGCAAAATTCATCATGTTCTTCTCTTCCATCTGTGTTATTTTTTGAATACTCTTTCCACCTCTTTGAGTCCTTCAAATTGATAACTTTGTTTTTCTCGTTTTGTGCTAATTGCTTTTTATTTTCATCATCATTTCCTAAATGAATTTTTAACATTATTCTCCCCTTATTTTCACTCATACTGCGGGGGTGAATTCTGCCACTTTTTTTTTGTTCATAGATTTTTTTTTTTTTTTTTTTAACGAACAGTCTAACTATATTGTGGGAGATAAAAACTCTCACTTTACTTGTATGTGTATGTAATATATTATGATAAAAATAATCCTTAAAATTTATTCTCATATCATGTAATAAAAAAGATATGTCATTTGTTTTGCGAAGATTAACACAAGTTTTGTTTTTTTAAGTCTATCGTTTTAACAGAAACTTTTAAAAAGTATTATTTTTCTTTTTCGAAGAAGAGAGAAAATTTCTCTCCTCAGTTGTAAGACTATTAAAATTGACTTTACACATAGTTGGAACATTTTTTATTTTATTCTATAGTGTTTTTTTTTTTTTTTCTCTTTTTAAATGTGTCGCTAAAATATGGTCATCCATATAGTCATGCTTTATTTTGAAGTTCTTTTGATGACCCTAGCTCTGGCAGAATTTGTTCCTCTTTTTATTTTCCAGGGAAGAAAAAAAAAAAAATATACATATATATATATATATATCGTTATTCGTATTTATCCACTTTTTTAGCAAATCCTTTTTAACTCCAACTGAAGATTTATTTTTAATGTGTCCTCCTTCACATCCACATCTCCATACTCATTACAACGTAGATAAATAAAATGTTGTTGGAAATCTACCAATGTTTACTAATTAAAAAGTGCATACATAGGGTGTAACTTTTTTTTTTTTTTTTTTCTATTTTTTTGTAAGTAAAAACGTTCGAGCAAAGGAAATGCCTTAAGTACTCATAAGTGGTGTGAAAATAATTGGCAATACAAAAAGGGGGGAGAAAAAAAATAAAATAAAATAAAATGAAACGAAATGAGGTAAAACGAAACGAAATGAGGTAAAACGAAACGAAATGAGGTAAAACGAAACGAAATAAAGTAAAATGAAACAAGGTAAAACGAAACGAAATAAAGTAAAATGAAACGAAAAAAGAGGTATAGTTCAAAGTATACAGATCTCATCTGGCATATCCTTTTTATAGCACATGCTATCCACTGATTGCAAAAATGACAAATGTGTATTTGTCTGTTTTTTTATTTTTTTTATTTTAGAGGTCTGTTGACGCAGTTAAAACAAAAAAAAAAAAAAAAAAAAAAAAAAAAATTTTTGTACCATTGTATGCAAAAGGGGTAAAAAAATCTTAAAAAACATACACCCCTAAGGTAAACGTAATGTGAACGAATGTAATCGTAATGTACGAGAATGCAGACGTGAGGGACGTTTAAAATGGAATGGCCAAATGGGTAAGGCCTTCGGATAATCAACTCGATGCACACACACAAAGAGACACACATAAAAGAGGGAAAAGAAATACTAAAAAAAATTAGTGTGCGGAAAGGTTCCTGTAAACAGATATTATTTGACTCATCTGCTTTTCCCAATAATTCATTTTATTTAGGGACTTCATAGATAAGTCAATTAAACTAATGCGATAAAATATTTTCTTATTTTGGCAGCTCACATAAGTATTTTCTATCAATTTTTGGAACTCTTTGTTTTCCTGTTTCATACATTTTCTTTTTTTTTTTTTTAAGTGAATACTTCTCAAGGGGTAAGAGTAACAAGTGATCTTATTTGTAGATATGTATTTCTTCTTTTTTTTTTTTTTAATATTGGTGGGGAAATCATTTTTGTATACACTTTTTTCATTTGTATTATCATTTGGGCTCTGATTTTTATTTCCATTATTTTCTTCTTTTCCCTTCTGTTTCTTTCTCGTTCCATTGTGATCCCCATCGTGGATATCGTTCATAGAGTCCACATTTTTTGCAGCGCTGCGTACCCTTTTCCTGCCTTTACTTTTATTCATTGTCAAGGGCTTGAAACGGTTGCTTTTCAACTGGTGCAAAACATCAGCATCATTGTATTTGTTATCTTCCTTTGCATAAATATTAAAAATGGTGCTATTGTCGCACAATGTTCTACTTATTAAAAAACGACATACGAAAAAAATCATGTTCTTGTAAACCCGAAGGGCTTTCTTAGTTATGTCGACTTTCTTTTTTTGTTTTACTGCAATGGTAGTAGTACTTTTGATTTTAGACATAAATAGTTCACTTGTCAAATAATGAAAATGGTCAGTTGTTATCAATGTACAATTACTCAACATTTGGCTGATTAATTTTTTCCTGTTTATTTTCTTTTTCAAACTGGACTTATACAATGGGTCAAATTTTTTTTCATACTGATTAATATTTCGGTAGAGTCCATAGTACAACTTTCTCGTGCAATTTTTCATTTCAGTTTTCACATAATTTAGTTGTAATTTAGGGAATTTGTTAATAATCTCTATTGCATCAATAACAAGTTCGTTCCCTAATAAAAAATGAACATTTTGTAAATAGATGAATGCTTCATATTTTGGATTTCCACCCTTCTGAGTGGACTTGTAGGAACCCTTCATGTCTTTCCTAGTCGTTTGAATGTCAATATCATTATCACCACTTGCAAACACAGACATTTCTTCTCCGCATAGCACAAGCTCAGATAACCGTCTAACTTTTTTAACATTAATGAAACAAGACAAATGCTTGTTCTTCATTACATAAGTGTTTTTATAAAGGGAAAAAAAATTGTCCAAGCTTGTACTATAGTAAGAAAAATTTGAAAATATTTCTTCACTATTTTTTAAAAAAAATAAATTTTCAAAAATTTTAATCAACTTAATCATACAGAGCACTATCTGAATTTGCCCAGCACTAAAACAGTGGAAGTAGAGCAGTTTATAAAACAAATATTTTTCCTTCTTTATGATATTTGTTAATATGACAAGATTTTCATTTTTTTCCTTAGAATCTAAATTTCTGTCTACTGTTATTAAATTTTTCTTGCAAAAAAGAATTTTGTTGAACAATCCTGAACAATCAACAATTTCGCTCTTTTTAAAATATGAATCATTACGTGTTTCAATCAGATTGTAATATTTATATTTTTTATTTGAAATAACATTCTTCATCATGTTGCTAACCCATGTCAATGATGAGATAACCTGTTGTAAATATCCCTTATCTTTACATAAGCTTTTCATATCTTTATATAAGTCTGTCAAGTAGTAATGGCATTGCTGAAAATACATCTTGGCCAGCAAGTTCAGTTTATTTGTTATCAAAAAATTGTAGTAATAATTAGTTTTCACTTTTTGATCATACATATATATAAATTCATTTTTGATTTTATTCACATGTTCTTTTTGAAAATTGTTGTGTATTTCTTTCCACGATTTTGTCTGATAATCTAATTTTTGCCTGAACATGGGGAGATAATTCTCATGCAATTTTTTCATTATACTGTTATAAATACCACATACTTCTCTATAATTTTCCTTAATTTGAGGGAACCGTTCTTCAAATAATTCATCCCATTTAATCTTTTCATATTTTATCCTATTAATGATCAAAAATATATCTCTTTTCCATGCTCGGAGTGAAGGTCCTCTTCTCCAAGTTTGAACAAGAAGTGAGGAATCGTGATTTTTTACTTTCCATCGGGCACTATAGCTAGAAATATTTTTTGGATTCCCCAAATTAATATTCCAAAGATTATTTTCCTTCTGATTTACACACTTGAGTAAATTGTGCTTAAAATATTTTTGGCCTATTAAGGAATATCGAGCATAAATAATATTCACTATATTTTTTAAAAGAGCTATTAAATTAACGTAATATATATCTTTATAAGTATCCAAAATTGTGCTGAATTTTTTCAAGCACAGATGATAGTCCCCTTTCTGTATAAAAAATATAATGCTTCGTATATCTCGACACAAGCAAGGATTTGCATACTTGAAAAAAAAATTATTGCTGAATATATAATTTTGGTATGCGTAATTTGTATAGGGTCTATTTTTACAGCAGACTTTACGATTAGTATATTCATCCACGACATTAGATTTCTCATCAAGGTGAATACAAATCTTATGACAAAAGTCCAAGATGTTATAATTTTTTGCATACTTCCATGATATCTTCATTTGTGTTTCATTCAACTCATCTATACAGTTGTTCATTGTATTTTCATCCACTCCATCGTTATTTAATTCGTTCATCATCCCTTTGCATATATTAGAGGAAGTAACACGTCCCGTAGATGTAACACCCGATAAATAAGAACCTTTATAGACCTCACCAGAGGGGTTCTCTATGCAAGCCGATCTGCACATCGATCTGCGTGTCGATCTCCCTACTAGTGCATCACTGGATGAAACTTTATTTTTTGACCCTTTGCTCTTAAGGTACGACAAATATGTCTTCCCGTGCTGTTCACCACAATTGGGCATACAGAACGAGCTATTGTAAAAGAAATCCCCACAATGATTGAACGAATGGAGAGTAGTGTTCATGTATCGATTGTCATTTATATACAAATTAATATTATTGCTTTGGAATAAAAAAATAAAATTCAAATTGCTAAATATATCCCAGTAATTAAGATGAAAAAAATTACTTGGGATATAAAAAGACAAGTTCATAAAATTTTTATTTCTCAATTTTATAAATTGTTGAATGTTATACCGATCAAACATATCATTGTAATCTTTCATTCCACATTTTAATTTTAATTCAATACTGATATACTTGTCAGTAAAATCATCATTTGATTTTAATTTGCTCTTATTATTACTCATTGCATTACAATCTGTTATGAGAGAATTGGATTTTTCTGCAACATCCTTGTCGTTTATAAGTGTGCAGTTTTCAGCTCTTCCCAAATATTTATTATTTTGACCATATGGAAGCAAATAAGGAGGAATGGAAAATAAATTTTCCTCTACATATCCAATGCAATTTTTTCGCGATTTACTTCGATAAATAAAATTGTGTGCATCATATATTTCCTTAAATATGGACATTTCAGTTGTGATAATTTTTTTTTCTTTTTTTTTTAATAGTTTACAATTTTTTAAACATTTTACATATCGATCAAAATATTCTATAATGTTCTGAAGTATTTCTCTACGATTTGTTCGCTTAAGAAACGATTTCATATATTTGTTCATGTAATGCAAATTTTTTTTCTGTGCTATGAATTTAATAAATGCCTTCAAGTCTTGCCAAATGTTTTGTATAATGATGTCTGAATTTTCCATCATGTAAGCTATAAATTGATCATAATGCTTAATTAAATACTGTTTTATTTTTTCCATTTTGTTATGTAAGATAGAAGGAAATTTTCTTATAATTCTATTCGTAAATACGTTACAAAATGGATACCATTCTAAGGAGTCTTTTACAAAATTGCTGAACTGAGGATTAAAAACTACAAAGTTGTTGTTAACAAGAAAAATATTTTCAAAAATCTGCACATTCTTATAGCATATTTTTTTTAACCAATAATGTTGTAATGTTATATTTACATTCTTTACTTCATTTTCTTTCATAATTTTTATAACTGAATTTTTTAAAAATATATAACTATAAAAATGTATGTGCTTAAGTATGTTAAAATAAGACTGCGCTGTAAACTCCTTTCCATAACTTAACATTCCTGATTTTATTCTTCCCTTGGAATAATTAAAACAAGTTTTATTCTTCTCTCCATCATTCTGTTTCATCACTATCATTTTGTTTCCCTCCCCAATAATTTCTAGGGAACTCTCCATTTTTTACTTTATTCTGTTATGTTTTTTTTTTTTTTTTTTTTTTTTGTGTGTTCCAATATGATATTAACTGGGATTTTTTTTTTTTTTTTTTTCCTTTCGGTGTTTTAAAAAAAAAAAAAAAAAAAAAAAAAAAAAAAAAAAACTCTTATCACTGCGTGCTGTATATATATGTATACATCTGTTTATTTGTCTATACAAGCCTAAACCGTTGCTCACATACGTTCATTGAATAAAAGTAACATCCACAACAATTTACAAAACGTAAAAATGGCGAAAGTTGTCTGAAATTGGCATCTATAACAAATTAAGTGCTGTATTTTCTTGATCTTTCTGAATATTCTTCCTCGATTGTGAACTCTCGTTCCGTTCGCTGAACATGTGCATTTCTATTTTTCCCCTATTGTTTGTTTACTTGTTCGTGTTTTTTTTTTTTTTTTTTTCTTCTACCTCTTTGTGGAGTTACAAAAAGATGTAAACCTATATTTATTAAATGAATGTATTAATGCTGCATTCAGAAGTGAATACTAATAAAATACACATACGTGAAATTCATTTAATATTGAATCAAATTTTTGTGAAAGCAAAGAAATGGGAGTGAAACAACATATGCCTTATGTAAATGTGTGTCATGGTAAGTGCAGCTGTTATATATGTTATTATCATCATTAGTGTATTTACTGGTATATTCATCTGTATATTCATTCATGTGTGCATAGGTGTGTGCACTTATATGTGATTCATCATGCCATCTATGTACATATGCTGCTTATAAAAAGAGAAGGTGCGCTGTAAAACTATTAAAAGTACTCCATGTTCTGCTAACAGAAACGTAAATAAATGACTAGGTGAAAAACCAAAAAAAAAAAAAAAAAAAGGTGTGTGGGGGGGCGTGTTAAAAGAAAAAAAATTATTACTGCTAGCACGTAGCTTTCTCACATGCAAGTCGTTTAAATGTAAAAGAGGAATGATCTCTTTATCTTTTTTTAAAAGAAAAAAAAAAAAAAAAAAAAAAAAAAAAAGCCAGTTTTCTCATGAAGCGTGACTTTAAAATTTCGTACACGAACAGTTTGAATGTTTCTTTTGAGAGGGTTCTTTAAATTTTCGCTGATGCTTGAAAGGGTCGAGCGAAACTAAAAAGCAAAGACGAATGACAAAAAGGGATGACAAAAAAATGACAAATATGAATGACAAATAAGAATGACAAATATGAATGACAAATAAGAATGAAAAATGTATGACAAAATAATGGCAAAAGAATGACAAAAATGAAATAACAGCATGCTCAAAAAGGGTAAAGGGCAAAGGGTAAAAGGCAAAGTGAAAAAGGCAAAACAACAATTAGTAGCAATTTCAGTGTTAATCCTTTCTTGTTTAAACATTGCAAACTCAAAATATTTATGAAAACCCCTTTCGTAGTAAAAAAAAAAAATAATAATAAATGAAAAAAAAAGAAAAAATGTAAACAAACTCGTAACAAGAATTACAAATGATCATGAACAAAGATCATATTCCTTCAGGAATTCATTGTAATTCTAAAATGATTAAAAAGAATGAATAATTAGGCTGCATTTTTTTTTTTTTTATTTATTTATTTATTTTTTTTTTTTTTTTGCGCACTGTTCACAAATTTCGCAAAATTGTAGTGCATAATCCATGAAACAATTAGAATACCTTTTTACAACCATTCTGTTGATTACATAAGAATTTGCATAAAAACACAAAATTCCAAAAAAAAAAAAAAAAAAATGTTTGGTCTAGATTAGTTCGATCACAGAATGACCAGAAAAATTGTTGTTTGTCTTGCTAAAGAAGTCGATTGGGTGGATAGTAGATAAAAAAAAAAAAAAAATGTTAGCGTAAGATATATATATATATATATATATATATATATATATATATATAACATAACATTTAGTATAATATTTAACTAAACGAACGTGCGCCTTTTTAGGAGTTTTAAAAATTTTCTCTTCTTATCTTGCAAAAACGGAAAAAAAAAAAAAAAAAAAAAATGGCATTTTGCAAAGACATATAAATAACTACATTAAAGGTAATATAAAAAATACTCTGGTCTTTTAATCAACGTTTCATCGTGAGTGATCCGTCAGAAGCAGAGACACTCTTGTGAAGCGTTAATAAAATTGTACACACATGTATAACTATATATATAATTATGCATATATAACTATACATATGTAAATACAAGGCTATACATAATAAACCTTCAAGCATATTGGAGGACGTCTGGGATGCATACTAACACCTTCCATACCCAAATATCTGATCAACCCCCATACGTGTCACTACGTGTGAATAACACCCACACATATGGAGACATATACTTATACATTTATGTTGAAGTTGATAAAAAAACATATCTTTGCTTTTTAGCAAAGATGTGCTAGTATCCATAAGCATGACAAAAAAAGAGGGGGAGGGGGAGGGGACTCAATTTTACATTACTATTTTGGATTTATTCTTAAATGAATTTAATTCTTTTGAATCCCCATCTTCATCATCATTCAGCTGAGTCGTCATGTTTGTTGTGGTATGTGTGTTGTTCCGTGTCATATTCTCCCTCCCCCTCTCTTTATCTTCAGCGCATGTGTTTGATTTCCCGTGACTCCTCGAAGTTGAGGAAGTACCATCCGAAGAATCGTAAGAATTAGATGTAACAATAGTCCTTTTCATCTCCATTTTCTCGTCATTTTCAAAAGAATTGCTTAAATTCCAACTAACGATTAAATCAATGAGATCCTTCGAAACAACTTTAGAATTACTACCGAAGACACAGTTCTGTATGTTTAAACATAGTTTGGAAATTTGTCTACCTGACAAGCCGACCAATCTACTAGCTAAAACGTCCAGGTAGATAGAATCTATAGAAGAATCTATAAGTATGTCATATTTCTTTAAAGGAAAAACATATTTATTAAAATAAAGCGAAAGCATTTTCTTAATTTCGTTGATTTGTGGGAAATCGAAATTGTACTGTTCATCTATTCGATCAATTACAGCCGGATCTAAGATATTCCTACAATTGGTGGCTAAAATGATGCAAAACTTTTTTGATTCTGTTCCTGTATGATAAAGAAATGTAGCTAACGCATTTCGAAGACTTTCAGAGAAATGTGCTGATGTTTCATTTCTTCCTCTTCTTAGAAATGCTTCTGCTTCGTCGAAAAAGATCACGCATTTTTTATTTTTTCTTCGTTTAACAAAATCGAATATTTTATTTAATTCTACAGATGCATGTACTCCTAATGCACTTACATCCCCCCCATTTATTATTATATAATCAAAATTGCTAAAATGAGACAAAGTTTTCGCAAATAATGTTTTTCCTGTACCTGGAGGACCATGTAATAATATATTCTTCAAATAAAGATCATACTTTTTCGAATTCGTTAAGCTATTTATAGACCAAGTTAATTTTTCTTGCAATTCTTCATTTAATACTATATTTTCAAAAAAATTGGTACTTTTTTTATTTTTGTTTTTTAGAATTTTTTTTAAAATATGAAAATTTTTTTTCACATTAAATATATCAAAAAATTTATTAATATGCCAAAGTGATGTTTCTCGAATCAATTTTGGTTTTCCTAATTTTGTTTCAGCATAGGATCTAATTAATCTAGTTGTATGTTTCGTTGTGTATATACCTACAGACGTAAGAGTAACTACTAATGCAAATCTATATAATTTTTCCTTATCGTTCAGAAATATAAACATGGAATTATTAAATTGTTCAAAATATTTATTTATACTTTCTAATTTGGTTTTCCTTTCTTCATCTGCTTTTATTTTTAACGTTTTCAAATGTATGTCTAAATTCTTTCTTTCTCTTTCTATGAGACCCTTATTTTCTTCCTGTATTTTTGCCTTCATATTTTCTCTTTCCAAAGATTTCTCTTCTCTTATTTGTTTCATTTTTAAATTTAACAATTCCAATTCGTTCCTTTTTCGAATATTCTCTTGTCTTAAGTATTGTTCATGTTGATTCCGTAACCATTCTTCATTTTGTTTTTGTTGATCTAGTAGTTTCTTCTGGTATGCTTCTGCTTCTAGTCTAGTTTTATACTCAGCTGTAATTCTCTCTTGCTCCTGTTGATAATTGATAGTTTTCCTTTTTTCTTCATTTTCAATTCTTGTTTTGTTGCTAAGATATTGTGCCCGTTGTAGGGACAATTCTTCCATTTGTTTTTCATATTCCTTTTGTTTCGTCAGTTCTTGTAATTTTATCAATTCAAAAGCTTTTTTCGAATTTGAGGATTGGTCAAGCTCCTTCAAGGCCTTCGCTCCTCTTTCCAGGGCTGTGGGATCGAAATTTCCTGTTATATATTCTCCTGTTTTCTCATCCCCTAAGTTCTGTTTGCTTCCTACCCCTACAGGAGGGGGGCTTCCCATCATTTTTGAAATATTCGGGAAGTTCATTTCGATACTGGAAAGTGCAGGTTCAGTGTATGCCAAGGGGACGGAGGCGAGGGATTGCTGCTGCTACAGCTGCTACAGCTGCTATTGGTTATATCACTTCTTTCACTCTTATCACTTTTATCACTCTTATCACTTTTATCACTTTTATCACTCTTATCACTTTTATCACTCTTATCACTTTTATCACTCTTATCACTTTTATCACTCTTATCACTTCTATCACTTCTATAACTTCTATCACTGCTATCACTTCTATCACTTCTATAACTTCTATCACTGCTATCACTTCTATCACTGCTATCACTTCTAACTCCTTTACTATAAACAAATGTTCGGCATCAGCATAGTTTCCCCTTTTCCACCTATATCATAATAAATTAATCTCAACTTGTATCGCGATGTAACCAGAAAAGAAAAGCCACATATTCTCTTCTCCTTCTCATAACATGTGCACCCTAGAAGTAGAGCAAAAGTGGGTTCTGTAGATGCCTAATTCTTGTTCTTGGTATCATATATATATATTCAATCAAAGAGTCATGCAGAAGTGACTTCAAAGGATTCAGCAAAAGGTTAAAGGTCCCGTATCTGCTTAGCTATATTACACGTTCGTGTATGCATATAAATGTGGAAATGCATTTAGAGCATTTTTCTCCCCCCCCCTTTTTTGGTGCATATACATATATGTATATATTTGTTATTTTATTTTATATTATTTTAGATTATTTTATATTATATTATTTTAGATTATTTTATATTATATTATTTTAGGTTATTTTATATTATATTATTTTAGATTATTTTATATTATTTTATTTTATTCTTTTTTTTTTTTTTTTTTTTTTTTTTTTTTTTTTTTTTTTTTTTTTTTTTTTTTTTTTTTTTTTTTTTTTTTTTTTTTTTTTTTTTTTTTTTTTTTTTTTTTTTTTTTTTTTTTTTTTTTTTTTTTTTTTTTTTTTTTTTTTTTTTTTTTTTCTCTTTATATTTTCCCCACCGTTAATGTGATGTTGCACAAAATAAGCTCAATTCGATCAAGGAAATTCCCTCATATTGTTTAACCAACAATCTCACTTTTTTTTTTTTTCTCATATTTATATAAATTGTGACATAAAAAAGGGAATCGCCAGAAATGTCGTGTATGTAGAAAAATTTTTATTAAGTTTTATTATTTTCCAACTTTTTATAATAATTATATTATTTTATTATTTTTTTTTTTTTATTTTTCCTCAAATGCCCCTTTTTTTTGAGTGTTTTCTTGTTAACTTTTCCTCTATACGACGCTCCCTCAATAGTCTTGTAGTGCAGAATGAGAGAAAAAAAAAAAAAAAAAAAAAAAAAAAAGTTTCATTCAAAGTTGTATCTTCAAAAAAAGGGTAATTATTTCATATTTCCCGCTATCCTTTTTGTCACCTTTTTGTTCACCTTTTTGTTCACCTTTTTGTTCACCTTTTTGTTCACCTTTTTGTTCACCTTTTTGTTCACCTTTTTGTTCACCTTTTTGTTCACCTTTTTGTTTATGTTTTTGTTTATGTTTTTTTTTTTTTTTCACTACCCTGCATCTACTCCTTTTTAGAGAAGAAAAATCTTCATGTGTTTCCTTCTATTCCAACATTTTTCCAATTATATGCAATTGCACAATTCTCATTATTAAAGTTCCCTTTCGCTAGCTGAGCTAAGTCATCTTCATCGATGAAAACCCAACATCAATGAACAGAGACTAAATTTTGTAGAAAAAAAAAAAAATTGACGTTTCAGAATGGAATGTGGCATTAACAAAAATATTCTTTGTTACATATATACATGCGTAAATACATGCGTAAATACATGCATATCTAAAACCATTAAAAAAATTCTTTTAAATTTCATGTTTTGTTGAAAACGGGAATGCCTGTAGGAACATATTCCATACCTCACTTTGGTACGTCCACACTTTCAAATTTCTGTACTTCCTCGCTTCCGAATCGTCAACGTAAACATCATGTCACTTTGATAAGCCAATTTCCAATCTGTGCATGATATGTGTGCAAATTTATAAACAAAGAGAGAGAGTACTGAAATAATGGAACTACTGAATTGTTTATAGAATTTGTAACTGCTAAAATCTACATACACAGACATAAATATATAAAATATAGCACCAAGTTAATCTAATATATGCGAAATAAAAACCTTGTCTAAAATATGTAGAATTATCATCCGATTTTCTAAATGATTTGAAACAAATATGTAACTCATTAGATATTTGTTACATAGAAGTTATTATATACATATTATTTCATTGTATGTAATTAATTTTTTTAAAAAAATCGCAATGTGTAGGGAAAAAAAAAAAAAAGAAAAAAAAAGTGGGTAAATAATGAACCCAAAAGAATGGAGGCTATAAAATAAACAGCAAAAAAAAAAAAAAAAAAGGAGTAATAAATAATAACCAAAATGACAAAATCAAATCGAGAAAGAAAAGAACTATTAGGGTAACAACAGACAGCAACTAAAATAAAACAAAAATTAAAATATATAAAGTTAAGTTCTAAAATAAAAATTTAAAAAAACTAAAAAAAAAAAAAAAAAGAAAAAAAAATGCGTTAAAATTAGGACAAAATTTTATGTACACATAAAGTTCCACATTGCATATACGGGTAATGAGATTTTTGATTCTTAGACAGATCCATTTTTTTTATCCTTTCAGTGCATCTACTAATTTATGTACATATTAAGAGAAGACATAATTAACATAACTCTCTTCTTGTGTATGTATTTATATTTTCTGTTTACATTGTTAGGAAATCTACTAAAGCTTAAGTTTGAAAAAATCATATATTTGCTTAACAGTTTTTTTTTTTTTTTTTTTTTTTTTTTTCCTTTGTTTCCCCTTTTAACATTTATGTTTGTATCCCTTAATTTATAATATATAATAAGCCAATAAGTAGTAATACTACCGAGCTGATAAATGAGGTGCAACTACTTGATTTTCCTTTGTTTAGATCTGTAAAAGGAAGAGGGGGAGGGGAGTGGGAACATTGAAAGAAAAGAAAAAAAAAAAAAAAAGATGGATAGATAGGTAGATATGCAGAAATATAGACAGAGGGATATGTGAATAGATAGGCACAGAGAGAGGTAAATCTAGAGAGAAAGTTCTCATTTAGTATAAACAACTTGTATATGTTCTTTCTTTACAAAATTGTTGAACACCATATAGAGGTGTGAAATTGAAAAAGCGTTTATTGTACTTACCAACATCCACTTCTTCCGTTTCGACAATAACGGAGTTTCCACCTGTTCGGGGAGGGGGAAAAAAAAGATGTCATTTCATTTCAGTGAACTTTACAAAATTGTAACACAAATTTGCAGAACAGCCTATCATAGTCATAAGGGTATAAAGGAGTTTGCTTCTGCTGGGTATCACATGAACGGAATATATACATCACATATAAGCAGCATGAACCTTGGAACATTACGAACAGTTACCTTCTCCGTTCTCTAGTTCGAGTAATTCATGAGGTCTTAATTTTTTATCTGCTATAATGTAGGAAAAAAAATTGGAAATAAAAATATTATTATTATTCCTTTCACTCTGTTGATGTTTTTCTCTCTATTTACATTTCCCCCACAGCTTTATTCCATTTTTAATCCTCTTCTTGTTGTACCCAACAAAAGCATGTGTTTTAAATTTGCTCGAGAACTTACCCAAGGCATCCACATCCTCTGTATGATGTTTATTATTTTTATTGTTCGTGGAAGATGTATGCTTGTATGGAGAAATGTACACATCCCGCTTTTTATGTGGAACCATTTTTGCATTAAAAATCATGTTGTTATCATTTAATAGGGTATTTTCATTAACTCCTTGGTCTAATAAATTCTCGTCTAATGATTCTGTCATATTTTCATTTTCTGTCGTTTCTAAATTGCCCCCTTCATACGAATCTGCAATGACTTCTTCGGTGAATTCATCATTGAATAGATCTTCATTTGTCAAATCCGTTTGTCCTTTGTTAAACTGACTTGTATTATTTGCAACGGAATTAGTCTCAGCATTATTCAATTCGCTAGGTACTCCTTTTCCAGTTTCTTTATTTTCAGCAATGGAAATATTTTTATTTTTTTCTGAGTTTCTTAGGATAGTTTTATTCTTTTTCGTATCTAATTTAGATGCATCCATGTTTTCTTCCATGAATCCATTTATTTCCTCTTCTGATAAAAAAGGATCTTTGTCTTCAATGTTCTCCTCGTCAAGTAGGTTCGGTTTATGTATTTTCTGCTTCTCAGTTTTATTGGATCCTTTCTTCACAGCATCCTTAATAGTTTCGTTATCATCTATCATTTCATCAATGAATTCCATATCTTTTTGTAGGAACGAGTTAACATCACCGGTGCTACTTATGTGGTTCAGGTGATGATTGTCGAATGCCTCTTCGTTGGAGTTTTCTTCCTTGAAGTCTACAAATGGGGACAGCAAAGGTGAGACGACATTGAAGGTAAAAAAAAAAAGACTAAATAAATAGGTAAAAAAAAAAATAAGCACATGAACGAACAAACGTAATTTTCATAATAATGTGGGAAAATGCATATAAAAAGAGGCATGGAAAATGAGGAGACATTTGTTTTCCTAAGATAGAAAAAAAATGGCTAAAGCAAGAAATTCGTTTATTTATTTCCGCATTTTCCACTTTTTGCACTATTTTCAAATGTGCAAATCTTTTTCATTACTCACCCTCATCCTCTGCATCGTGCTCATAATAATCATCATAAGGACTTCCAATTTTCCCCCTTTCTAAAAAACTATCTTCATAGTCATCAAAAGTATCATCACTTTCATCATCATCATTATGATTGTGTGAATCACGTTCTAGGAAACTATCTTCATCATAAATTTTGTTATTGTGCTTATCATCAGGATTTTCATCATCCAAATAACTAGATACAAAGGTGCTATGTTTTTCATCCATTGAATTTGATTGCTCATTAATGTTTTTCTCTAAAAAGCTTTCGTTTCCTTTAGTTTTAGATTCCTTCACATTTGTGTTTTCTTTTCTGTTAACCCCAATGCCAACTTTTCCATTTGATCCATTTGACTCATTTGATTCATCTGATCCTACATACTCATCAGGATAAGCCTCATCTGGTAATTTATTTTTATATTCTTCCTTGTATTCTTTTCCGTTATTCTCATTATTGCTATCATCATCGTCGTCATCATCTTCTTTCTCGAGGAAGCTTTCTCCATGTTCTTGTTCTAGTTCTTCTTCTTTATCAAATTCATCATGTTCATTATCTCCTACAGTATCATATTGATCTTTTTGAAGAAAACTTTCCGCTTGCTCTTCATCAAATTCTTCGTGTTCATTATCTTCTACATCTTCATATTCCTCTTTTTCGAGAAAACTTTCTGCTTGCTCTTCATCAAATTCATCATGTTCATTATCTTCTACATCTTCATATTCTTCTTTTTCCAGAAAACTTTCTTCCTGTTCTTCATCATATTCATCATGTTCTTTTTCCTCTTCATTGTCATTATGTGTTTTTTCATTTTTGTTCTTTTCAAGGAAGCTATCCTCACTATCGGCACTATTGGCAATATCGTCACTATCGTTACTATCGTTACTATGGACATTTTTCTTTTTTGACATGTCCTCATTTAATTTTCTAGACAACCTGTTTGGTGACACATAGCTAGAAGAGTTTCCTAATATTTTCATGGATTCATTATTTCTTAAAATATACTGGAATGGGTTCACATTCTTAGATGTACTCAAAAATGAATATAACTTTTTCATATCAATTTTTTGATGGTATAAATTGAAATATGAACAACCAACATCACTACTTTTATATCCATCTTCTCCTTTTATGTTGTTCAAATCGAGTGTTCTATTTACAGAGTCACATTTTGCTTTATCTGTGATAGGAATGGCAATGTGTGGGTAATTAGTAAGATACAAAACGAGAAAAAAAAAAAAAAAAAAAAGGGTGCATATACATATGTGTATGTATAATGTTTCCGTGCCACGATTACTTCATGCAGTGCAAAATACATGCTGATTTTTCTCTCACATGAGTATGTATGAATATGATTTTTTTTTTTTTTTTTTCTTTTGAAGTAATTGTTATATGGGAGGAATGAACTCCGATTCTCATTTCTCTAAAATAGGGTCTCACTCTGTCAGTAATAGTTCTCGTCGGTATTATTATTATTTTTTTTTTTCATTTTTTTTTGTCTTATTTTTTGTGTTATTTTTTTTTATCTACCTTTAACATACTGAGTATTAATTCCATTTTTGAATTGCTCAAAATAGGTCGTAATGTTTTGGATGATAAAGAAGGACAGAAAAAGGATATTCATGATTAACTTCAAGTAGGGAATAAAAAAAAAAAAAAAAAAAAAAGAAAAATTTTATGGAGGTTACACTTGTAAAGGAGGAACAAATGAAGCTATACACGAAGCGAAAGGTAGAAAATAAAATGCAGAATTACACTTTTTTTTTTTTTTTTTTTTTTCTATAATATTTCCTTTTTTCTAATAAACTCATCACAACATTTATCAAATATTGAAAATGGATCAAGACAAAAATGCAACTTTGGGAATTTTTTTTTTATATTAATGCAGTGTGGTTAGCTTAATTCTGCATTTATTTCTATCGGGGAATACATATATATACTCTTGCATATGGACATGAATATTCACTTATGCATGTACTGCCTCCATGTAAATATGTGTATTTCATCTACCTCCAGTGTAACTCGAGTTGTGCAAATTTTTTATAAAAGGTGCTCGTTGTAATTATGCAAATTAAAGCGACAAATGCGTAGGGAAAAAAAAAAAAAAAAATAAATAAATACATAAATAAATAAATAAAAATGGAATAAAACATAAATAAACAAATAAAACAAAAACAACAGCTCTCGTAACATTCGATTAAAAAGCAAAACAAATTCGAAGAACTAAAACGAAAAAAAAAAAAAAAAAAAAAAAATTCTCCATAGATTGTTGTTTAGACTTACCGAACAGAATTATTCGTCAACAAAAAAAAAAAAAAAAAAAAGTACTTTTTCCAACAATACTCTAAATAACGCTTCTGCTAATAAGATTTCTGCTAATAACACTTCTTCTAGTAACGCTTCTTCTAATAATACTCTTTCCAGTTATCGTTTTTCTTTTATTTAACCGGTTTCACAAAATTAGCTAATATTCCTTTTATAACAAAATAAAGAATTAGTTTTTTTCACTACTTCGTATTGTAATATATATATATATTTTTTTTTTTTTCTATTTTCGCTTCGTTCATTTGGTTTCTGTCTTTTTTTAATAATTTTCTGCACTGAAGTGTGTCACATTTGTTTGGTTATATTTTTACAACTTTGTATTTACTCTTCTTTTTCTTTTCTATTCTTTTTCTTTTTTTTTACGCCCAACGTGTTACATACGATTTTATTATAGTTTAATTTATTGCTTTCATTCTTTTACACTTTATTGCATTTTTTTTTTTTTTTTTTTTTTTTTTTTTTTTTTTTTTTTTTTTTTTTTTTTTTTTTTTTTTTTTTTTTTTCTCCATTTTTTTTTTTTTTTTTTTTTTTTTTTTTTTTTTTTTTTTTTTTTTTTTTTTTTTTTTTTTTTTTTTTTTTTTTTTTTTTTTTTTTTTTTTTTACTTACCTCAATACCCCATATAAGCGTTATTTTGATTATGCATTCGAAGTGCCTAGACGATATTTGAAATTTACAATTGATCAGAGTGTGAAAACCGAAAAAAAAAAAAAAAAACGAAAAATAAAACGAGGAGGAAATAGAAAAGGAGATACCAGTTCAGTGTACATGTCTGTGCGAGTAGTTATCCAATTTATTCATCATATGCATTGTATATGTGTAAACATTTATTCACATGTGCATATTTGCTCGTATATATATTTTATCCCCATGTGCGCAACGTATTTTTTGGTTGCACTGGTGAGCACAGTCTACATTAGTTATTTTTTTTTCTTTTTACAATCCCTCCTTCTTATAACCAAATGTGTATGCATAATACATACATATTTGCATAATGCATACATACTTGCATAATGTATACATACTTTCATGCATTAGTTCGTGCCCAGGTACATTTGAAAAAACATTTTTATGGACTTGTTTTCCACTTCCCAAACAACCAATAACGTGGCAATTCAAAACAAATATACACTCCTATCAATATATATGAATCATTATTATGAAAAAATGAACATGTTGGAATCTTTGTTACCACATTATGGTTGCGTCACGTGTGGTTAATTCTACATTTGAATGGGAATACTAGTAAGCGTGCATGAACGTGTTCATACAAACATGTATATATAATATGTATATATATATAATATGTATATATATATAATATGTATAAAAATATACATATGTATACATATATATATGTACGTATGAATATGCAAGTGTACAGTTAACGTTAGGATGGGGTATGCACCTGCATATGAGCAGGAACACACTCTTATTCTTCTTAGCCATGTGGTAAGAGGGGAAAGTTGAACAGAATAAATGCATACAGTGGTTTTCCCTACATAACTGATGTAAAGATTAAACTTCATTAAATGCTAGTAAAACGAATGAAATGAAGAGAATAGAATAGACACATAATTTAGAAATATAAAAAGGAAAAAAAAAAATATATATAAATTTCCCTTTTAATTACAAATATGTACACCTGCAAAAAGGTTGTGTATGGATTTTTTTACACGCAGCACCTTAACGCATTCATAATTTATGTTCTGTTTTGTTTTGCCTTATTTTTATTTTATTTTTTTTTTCCCTTCAAGGTTTTTACATCTTTGGCAGAAAATTTAAACAAATGTTGCCTTTATATATATTTGTGTTTTACATGCAGAAAAAAAAGGGAGGACAAAACATACACTATTTATAGCTATTGTTTATAAGGTATTCCTTTTTTTTTTTTTTTTTCACTTTTTAACACACTTCTTCCTACATTCACCTGTTTATAAAATAAAAAAGAACTTGATATCACTTTTCTTCGTTTCAACAACAAAATATGTCACGTTAACAATATATAATGAATGTCTCTATCCCTATCATGTTCTTACTGATTATTTCTTCTTTCTTATGAACAATTAAATAAATCGAAAGAATTGTGTATAGGGGAAATTATGTAATGCTGTGCATATGAAAATTAAAAAATCAGAAGAATATTCTCTTAATTATATGAATAAATAATTAACTATTGTTTGAGGTGACAAGGCATGTCAACAAGCGATAGTGCCGAGATTTACTCAGTGTGTCTTAATCTCATCATATTCCAATTTTTCAAAAGGGTTGCATGATAAAAAAAAAAAGGAAAAAAAAAAAAAGGAAATTTTCACGAAGTAGATATGTCAAACACACTATACCAAACCAATGAAGAAGTGTAGCAATTCTTCTGTGAAATAAAGGGTACTATTTGAGAGACTTACAACAAATAAGTGCATATCAAAGGATTGTGTAACGCCGGCATGTTGTTCCAGCAAAAGGCGTGGAAAAATGGTGCACAAGTTTTTTTTTTTTTTTTTTCACAAAAATGAAAAAATATTATTCTTGCAAGGAAGAGAAAAGGATAGCATTTCTTAATTTTGCAAATTCTGCAAATTTTGTAAATTTTGTAAATTTTTTTTCATAACCCCTTTTTGTTCTTCGCGTTTCAAATATGGGAACATGAGATGTATATGTACACGAACCTTATGCATGTTGAATACAAAAGCACTATTTTATTTGCTCTAATATATATATATGTGCATGTTCAGGCACTATATCCCTAGAGCATAGAGAATTGGGTATCTGCAATGAACAAACTTAACGGCTTCCCTTTTGATTGTTAAGCATAGAATCTTCTTGCGTAAAGAAAAAATGTAAAAGAGGGTTTTAGGAAAAGGGCTTATTGAAATCCTTTCATTCAGAGTAATAATGGAGGGGAAAACAAAAGATACAAAAAAATGATATAAAAAATATGATACAAGAAATATGATATAAAAAATATGATACAAGAAATATGATATAAAAAATATGATACAAGAAATATGATATAAAAAATATGATATAAAAAATATGACATAAAAAATATAATACAAGAAATAGGATACAAAAAATATGATATAAACAAAATGATATAAAAAAAAAATTAAGGGACTACCATAATAAAAAAATGTAACAAATATAAAAAATAACACATCATGGATAAAAATTGGGGAACAAGTGCCCAATAGAAATAATCGACAATTTTATCTAAAGAGAAAAAGATAATGATTTGTTTTTATTTTTGTCGACCCCCTCATTCATTATCTTTTGGAACGTTTCCAACGCCCCCTACTTCTTTGTACTCTTATATTACTAGATACACACTAACACATGCTTCTTTTTTTTTTTTCTGTTCAAACGTCTGATATTCACATTAGATACTACCATTTCCTTCCACCGTTTGCCATGTCATAATTTGAACTGCTAATCTTAAAAGGAAAAAAAAAAAAAAAAAAAAAACCATATTAAAAAATGGCATATCACTTATTCAGAAGGTTGCAACAAGCTAGCGTAAAGGAGAATAAGCCTAAACATGAAAAGCCAAGAGAAGACATTGAAAAATGGTTAAAGAACATTTTTGATGTGTTGGATAAGAACCTCGTTCAGGATGAGTGTAAGGAAGAATCCAATGATATGATTCTTATAAGTGATTACATAACTGTGGTTAACAATGTTTTGAAATTTACAGAAAATGCAAAAAATGGAAAGAATTCAAAAGATGGAATAACACATGGGAAGGATGAAGAATTAGGGAAAAGTGACAAAATAAACGACGTAGATATGGATGATGAACATATGGCCATATCACGAATCAAACAGTTTTGTAAAATTTTGGGCATTGTTCATATTTTTGAAAAGCTAAAAAAGGGTTCATCTGCTCCATCTCAATCGTCTTCTTGTGCAGTAACTACCTCTGGAAGCTCTGTTCGTGTAGATCAAGAGGACGCAAGTAAACAGATAGATGATGAAAAAAAGAACAAATTGAACGAGTTTGAAAAAAATAACTTGTGGAGATTATTTGAAGATATAATCTTGAACAGTCTTGAGTTTTTGAACAAAATTATTTGCCTCAATAAAGATATGTTTCACAAAAAAAATTTAAAAATTGATTGTAACATATTGAAAAGATACGTAAATTATTTAAATGTGTTACTTAAGGAGACGAATAATTCTGAGTTATTGTTCAGAATTTTTAATTTTGAATTGGAAAATTCCATTTTTATCATGTATGAAATTGTACTCCTTTTGCAAAAATTGTACACATATGACAACATCAATTTATATCTTTGTCCATATGACAATGTTGTATATTCAGATGATGTTTCCTCACCTTATTACTATAACTTGTATGATATAAAATGTTTTCAAATACTTTATCATGAATACTATTTTGAAAACAAAGTAAATTTGAATGAAAAAAATCAGTTTTGTGGAAAATTTTATGAAAAATACAATATAATTATAAAAAATTTAAGAAAAAAAAAATATTTTTACCCACATTTGATTAATTTCCCATTTAATTATTCGGAAACGAGATTAACGTATAAAGATAAAAACGAACATTATTACATCAATAAGGAGAATGAATTTTTTTCCATTTCAACAAATAAAAAATTCAGATCATCTGTATTACTCCACGATGATGATGCTGATGTTGAAATAAAAAAAAATTTAAAAAAATTAAACTATACACAAGAATGTTCAAAATTTAAAGCAGAGTACGACTCATGCACGTCATTATCTGTGTATTCCAATGATCTCAACACAAGTGAGGATAATACTGATTTTAAGACAGTTAGAACAGAGGAGGGAAAAATCATAAAATCAGATGATACGTTATCCTCAGTTCTTCCATCTTCATCTACCAATGCAGCATTTATCGAACCAGTTATTCAAACCAAATGGAATGGGAAATATGATGTTGATGAGAATGGTAAAAGTGGAACTAACAACAACTATAAAGACCATACGAGTAGCAGATGTGCTTCCAAACAAAAGAGCAAAATATATAGCAGTGAAGATGATGAGGACGCAACAGATGGTGACTATTTTTGTTCAGACATTTCCAACAATTTTATAACTGCGAATGAAGAATTAGATGATTTAAATAATAACAATAATAATAGTAAGAAGAAGAAGAAAAAGGTACAATTTTGTGAAGAAAATATATTCCTAATAATGCATCGAAATGATCAGATAGAAAATGTTAGAAAAACTATTGATAAGTTAATATTGAGCAAAAGTAATTTTATTTCAAAACTTCTAAATGTAATAGAGTCTAATGAAGATGCTTATCTGATAAATGAAGTTATACTGCTTCTACTCCTTGTAGTAGAGTATAATGTAGAAATTAGGAATATCATAACATATGAAAGAATTATAGAAACTGTAATTAAAATTATCAAGGATGAACACATATACTTGTTTAAAGAAATTTACGATTTATTTTTTTTGTTTGACGATTGCAATTTTGGTGTTCCAAAAATGAAAGCCAGAATTTTCCCATTCTCTCTCCATGCAGAGAATCAAAAAAGAGATAATAAATATTTAAAAGCAGGATTAAGTGGTAATAAAATGGAGGAAATATCATACAACAGATTGTTAAGCACATCTGATGTAGCAGATGGTTATGAAAATAGCCATAAGGAAGATGAAAAAATGGAAATATATTTAGATAACATAACTATAAACATAGATATAAAAAGCAGTTTATTACTTCTGAAATGCATCATAATTAGTAGCGAATTTGGTCTTAAGTACATTTTCGAATTGAATATATTAGAGCAGTGTATTAAATTGATACTTAATATGTATAATATTATTATTTACATTTGTAAAAATAACTTATGCAAATTTTTCAATAATTCATTTTTTATTTTGAGCATATTTTTAGATGTTATAGCTTGTACATGCAAAGTAAGCACTAAGAACAATTACATAGGTTTGTCGTGCAAAAAATTCTTGCCCATTTTTCAGAAAGAATTTTTTTTTCAAAGTTCTTTTTTTTTTTTTTTTAAATTTATGTACTTGTATATGAATAAATATGCCAATAATATTAATCGAAATGTTACTAGACTACCTCTAAAACATCTTCAAAATCAGAAGAACAGTCGCTCCAATTGTGAAATTATTAGCGACACTCCTATGTTAAACGAATTTAGTATATCTGGAAATGCAGATCAGCATATTAGTAGTAATGTTATTAGTGTAAGTTCCAGCGTGAACAGTAGGTATCAGAACAATGATAATCTCTGTGGAGGTCATATAAAAAGCAATCGAATTGAAACTAACAAATCGGTAGACAATAACATTTGTAGCAACATTGCAAGCAGTAACAAGGAAAGTAGCAACGAAGGTAATAGCAATATTGGGAGTACCACCACTCTCTTGAATGAAAGTGATAAAATCATCTACACTTTCAAAAACACATACTTTGTTACAATCCTGAATATATGCTGCAAGTTTATGTTTCAAGATGAAAAATTTTGCATAAATTTCTTAACAAACTGTTTTGCTGACAGTAGCGGGAGTAGCAGCGGGAAAAATGGGACCACATCTCAGGTAGATGCAGACACTGTGGAAAATAGCTTTTTAGAAAGTTCGTTAAAAAAGAAGAAATACTTTGATTTTGAACATGTGTTGCTACACTATTTGAAAAATTTGAAGCAAGTTAAATACATAGACATGCTATTGGTTATATTCTTTTACGACAAGAAAAATATTTTTCGCAATATTATATATGAGTTCTTTTTATGCTTGTGCGAAAAATATGTACAAGTGGCGAACTATTTAGTAGAATCCATTTTTGTGCAGAACACTGTTTTTAAATACTACATGATGCATATGGCTTGTAGATTAAGGAAAATGTTTCTTAAGATGAAAAAAAAGCTTGAGATGAGAACAATGCAAAGAATTTTGGAGAAAAGGAAGAATAACATGGTAAATAAATGCAACTACGACGTGATGGGTTCACATGTTAACGAAATAGTAAAGAAGGAAAAATTTTTTTTGAAATTTACAGCAGGGTTAGAATTTTTCCTGAAAATATGCAACATGACAAGTGTAAACGGGGTTCAAGGGGAATCAAGCAATGCGGACGAATTTTTAAAAAATTCGAAATTAATATATGAGGAGATTATATACTACAATTCTTTATTTATAAATGATTACAATGGTGTTGAAAAATATCATTTGAAAAAGATAAACGACAATTTAAACGAAATTGTATTAACGTTCAGAATTAATTCTATTTTGCACTCAACAAATGTGTGTAATAGGATTGACAAATTTAAGTTTGTACTAAGCATCCTAAATGACAAATGGGTTAGTAAAAAGACAAAGTGCTTGATATGTGTATACATAAGTGTTTACTTATCTAAGTTTAATGAAGAAAAAGAGAAGAGTAAGTTGATTAGAATGATTATGCAACTTGATCTTTTTAATGTGATATATAATTCTTTGAATCGTTTTTGTAAATATACATTTAATGAAAAATTTTTTTTTTTCATTTCTCTTAATAAATGCAAAGACATAGATGAGAATATAAAAAATGTTTTAGAAATGAAAAAAAATAAATATTTTTTTAATCATTCAAGGAAATTTTCCATATTTTGCATTCATTTTATATATTCTAATTTTATTCATCACATTATCTTAACATACCTTGTGGAGCAAACGAAAAATTGTGTCCATCAGATGAACACTAAAAATATGAGAAAAAATATGTACACTAAGGAAAAAAAACAACTAGTGAGAAATTTCTCTAATAAATCGAGGAGTAGCATTCGTAAGAGCAAAGATAATGTGGAGAAGTACCATGAATTCCTTTACTCAGATTCTGATGTTATGGAATCTGCTCATGATGTTAAAGAAGAAGCATATGAATTGGATGATGATGATATAAAGGAAGCATATGAATTGGACGATGATGATATAAAGGAAGCATATGAATTGGACGATGATGATGATGATGTTAAAGACGGCGATTATGACATAAGCTACCAAAGCAGCAGAACAAACGAAGATTCAGAGGCACATTTTCACGCGAAAAAGAAATCTGATTTTTCTTATGCAAAAGGACGAGATGAAAACGACAGAATTAGTCATAAAAATAAAGGGAAAATGATAAAAAACGTAAAAGATAAATGTAGAGAAAACAAATCACAAACTATAATAGTGAAGAAAATTAATGAAGAAGTTAAGTTTCTGAGGAATAAATTAAATGAACAAGAAATGTCATATTTAGAAGAAAAAATTTATTTAAATAAAATAATTGAAAAAAAAAATGATATAATAAATAATGTCTTATACTCATATTTAATGCTAAAAGAAAAGTGTGATAAAGTCGAAAAAGATTTACTTAGAGTGAAAAGTGAGTTGTTTGTAAAAGAAAAGCAGTACCAAATCACTGCATGCAATGACATGAATGAATTGAAAAAGGAACATATGCATTTGTTACAGATTCACGAAAAAACAAATAACGAAAAAAATGATTTAGAAGCAAAATTGGAAAAATTTACAGACTTGTTAATATTTTTATATGACAATGTCTCTGAGTGTCGAAAGTACATGCAAAATATTGATGATGCGAATTTTTTTAAATATCCCGAGTCCAGCAGTAAGCGCGCCGAGGCCATTTTACCAGCTGAACCGACTATCCAAAATGAGGCCCTTGCAAATAATAGTAATGCTCGAGGCGGTGATAGTACTAGGTGTGCTGTTGATAGTACTAGGTATGCTGTTGATAGTACTAGGTATGCTGTTGATAGTACTAACTGTGCTGTTGATAATACTAACCATGGTGGTGATAATAATAATCAGATTAAGACCAGCATGAATGCGAGCATATATTCAATCGGAGGAAAAAACAGGGGTGAGTCCGAAGTTGCAAATGGGCAACTGCACGAGGAACACAATAAGGAAATATATGAGAACATGTATAACTCTGCATATCAAAACTGTAATGTTAGTATGTATCAGAATTATGCAAATATAGGAGTAGATCAACATCTACACCAGAGTAATGTGAACACCTATCAGAAGCAGCAGATGGAAGGATGTCCAAATCAATGGACGTCGCAAGAAATGCACATCCCTTATAATGAACCGAATTGTGAACAATCATACTCAAATGTAATAGAACAAAATTCTAGACAAATGGAGGGAAACTCTAATGTACACATGTACAACTACCAATTGGAAAAAAATGAGAACCTGCAGACGTATAATCAAATATACTTCCAAACACAGCAGCACATGCAGAGCAACATGTATTCCCATTTTAATAATCCAAATGGAAATCAAGAAAATGGAGAAATTAATAAATCTGCGAGCGGTCAAGGGTTCTTTAGTGAAACGGTACTAAATCAGCCATCGGAGCAGCGAGAGAAATTGGAGCAGTGGGAGCAACTTAAGCTGCCTGAGCAATCAGAACAATCGGAGCAAACTGTGCAAAATGAGCACATGTCTAAATGAATTAAATGGTAAAATTAAAAACAAGTGGGACATGTTAAAAAAATATATTACTAAAACGAAGAGGCAATTTAAATTTGTTTAAACTTCCTCATCCGTCTTTGTCATGTTCTTGTAATTGTACGACAACTTCGAGAAAGATGAACCATAGAGTGTTTAGAAAAAATGCACGCCGTGGAGAACAGGAAGTAATTAAATGAACTATACTGATGCTTTTTTTTGTTTTCTTTTTTTTTTTTTTTTTTTCTATTTTTTATGTGTATGCAAAAAACTTGTACAGTAAATTTTCAAAGGCATGAGCATCAATGATGGAAGATGCACGAATTGTCACTTCCATCTTAAAAGAATTAGTTATGAAAAGTGAATTTCTTTCCTCTCCAAAAATTATGCGTTCTATGTAAGCTTATTTAATATTAGTTTTTCCCATCGTGGGTTGCATAGTTTATTTAATTTTTTTTTTTTTTTTTTTTTTTAATAATAATGATATAAGTACATTGAAAACTTTTAAGTGCATTTTTAAAAAAATTAACAATTAGGCCAAATTTATTTATTTTTTTTTTTTCTCTTCTTTCAAAATCCTGAATCACACAAGTTTGCAATGCACTAAATAATGCATGCAATAAAGGGGAAGTATACAATTTTAAGGCGACTATAATAAAATAATAATATTATATGAATATTATGCTCTCTCTTCAAGTGCCTCTTTAGCTCAGTTGGTAGAGCGCCAGACTTTTAATCTGGTGGTCAGGGGTTCGAGTCCCCTAGGAGGCTTAACAGAAAAAGAAAAGGAAAACATTCTCTTTTTATATATATATATAAAAAAAAAAAAATCATTATTATTATTGAAAAAAATATATACTATTTGTAAAAGTTATATTAAAAATAAAAAAAAATTATACTTAAAAGAATTTCATAAAAATGGTAAATATATACTTGTTCTTATATTTTAGTACCATTATTAGACTGAAAAAGAATAAATTTTACTCAAGCTATATGTATTTCAAGGAAAATAAAAAATTAGCTATATATCTCTTTTTCGAAAAAGTACTATACTATGGCCAAAAAAATATTTAAATCGGAAACGAAAAAAATTGGTTGAACGTAGATGGATAAAAAAAGATCATAGAGAAAAAAAATATTATAATATAATTTTTTTCTTTTCTTTTTCCTTACTTTTTGCATTTATGGGGTTAAGTATTTATTCTGTTTTGTTATAAATGCAATAATAATTTATTATTTATTTATTTATTTTTTTTTTTTTTTCTTTTTAGCAAGTCTAAAATGAGTTTAATTTCACATATTTTCTTTTTCCAAAATTTTGATCATAATAACCAAGGAAGAACTACACAAGTTGTTTAGTGTGGGTTATGTATATTTTGTTATTATTTAGAAATTTTAACATATATATTTTAGTGTAATATTAAACAATATATTACAGTTGCTTTGCTTTATAAGTTGTTATACATCATATTTGGAAGTGTCTGTCAGAAATGTATGTTTTTCTTTTTTTTTTTTTTATTTTCAATTCACGTAGGAGATTTTTTTTTATATTGTACCATTTTCGTCTAACATATTAATATAGTCAGAAAAAAAAAAAAAAAAAAAAGGTACAAACTTGTTTTACCAATTCGGCAGAATGATTTTATACATTTTAAAAGACACAAGCAATTTTTTATTATATTTTTTTATTTTTATTTTAAAATGGGATACACCTATTAGTGTGGCTTCTGTAGAAACTTTTTTGGAAAAATGGATAAATTTTGATGATATTGTCTTTTTTAAATATAGTTGAATAGTCACAGCATAGTGAAATATTTACTTGGTTCATATTTTGCGCACAATATAAATTATTGTACCAAAGTAATATTTTATTTTTCTCAATAATAAAATTTCATTACATAGGATTACATTAAAAATGATGGATATTGAATTCTCCTATCGCTCAATCTTATTAAAACCTGTGCAGGTTCTTATAAAATCCCCGCTCTCACATGAGGAGAACACAAATGTTTTCATAAGTGTGTATATGCAAATGTGCATGTATATATGTACCAGCATATACGTACATATGTACTTATTAAGGTGTATACATTGTTTGCACAAAATTCTGTCACCTAAGTTAATCGAAGGAAACAGAAAAATTTAAGCATTTTCTATACTACATAGTTCTAAATAATCTCCATTTTTGTTTCATCTTATTTAAAAATTCAGATGTCGTTATTATACAATTACTTCTTGTTCATGCTTTTTTTTGAGAAAATGTTTTACTCCAAAATGAGAAAGTTTGATGATCATTCGTTTATGCTTCCTTCCATATTAGAAATTATATTTTATAAATTATTAAATATCTTATAAAAAAAAAAAAAAAAAAAAAATTAATAAGTATAAGAAAACTTTTTATATAATTAAATATATTATATAACGTTTAAGGAGTAATAATATAATTACTATACTTAGCAAATGTATAATATCGAAATAATACTATTTATTCTAAAGATGATTAAAATTATAAATTTTTTTTTTATTTTTAATCTTAATAAAAAAAAATTAAACTTTTTTATTTCATATAAAATGTTTTTTTATATTTAAATATTACAAATTTCATTACTATTGGTTTTATTATAAAGCTACCTAGGGGGCTCGAACCCCTGACCACCAGATTAAGAGTCTGGCGCTCTACCGACTGAGCTAAGGTAGCATTAATATTAACTTTCATATTTTTATTAATATTAAATCATGAATTAGTTGCAAAAAAATAGTAAAAAAAAAAAAAAATAAATAAGTAAAATGATGGAAACATTTGAGAATACATTATATATATATATTTATCTACATATGCCCATAAGTGCTTCTTCCTTTTTTATATGTATAGCAGAAATCATGGAACCTCTATTATTAAGCTCCTTTTTACAATGATAATTACGGGTACGTAAAGAATAATTAAAAAGATTTAAATGAGTTCAAAATTGATAAAATGACCTCCCCAAATTTGCGCTTCCTCATGCACATAATATCACATACAGGGGCATAATAACGTCATTAACAAAAAAAAAAAAAAAAAAAAAAAAAAAAATAGAGCACATTAATAATATTTCATACATATTTATGTAAATTTTTTCTTCACATACACATATAAATTTGTACATATTTTTGCCTTCATTCTGAGCTTTTATCTTTTTTGCTATATAAAGATACCTTTTTGTGGCTTATATTCATTTAAGTTCAGCTTATTTCCTTCTTCTTTCATTTTATTATAAAAGGTAATATTTTGTGATGTATTGCCAAAAGATGGCATAAAAATCAATAGTTTCAAAACTTGAGCTCAAATTAGGTCTTATGGTTCAAATGTCGAAATATTTATACTATGCTATTTTTCAAAGTAATGGATGTAAAAACAACGAACTTAAATGAATTTACAAAATTTTCAAAAATTTTGTAAAGTTCATGATATATACAGCTCTTAGTGTAACTACATAATTACATGGTAATAATATACCTGAGAATATGCAAGCAGCTTTTGACATATATGTAAATGTAAGATGTCAACAAAACATTTCAGCAACTACAAAATTTGTGTTGTTTTAAATTTTTTGGAATATGAAATTTATTTTAAAAGCAGTTCATCATCCCTCGGGTGGTAGCATATTGTGTTGAGTCCTTTTTGCTTTCTTTCTTTTTTTTTTTTTAAAATGTTCGCATGTGCTATAATATATACACTATACAATTTTGTTATAATCTCAAATTTTATAATTTTTTTCAAAAACGAATAGAAGTATTGGAATTATATAAAGAATAGAGTGACTACAAACATCGAAAACATTAGAAATAATAAAAATAATATATATATATTTTAATTAATTTTTTTTATTTAATGAATTTAAGCAATAGTATGACTGTTAGAGTAATAAATTATATTTAATGTCCAAATCGTCTAGTGGTTAGGACTCCACACTGTGGATGTGGCAACGCAGGTTCGAATCCTGCTTTGGACATTTTTTTAAAAATTTTTAAGATACACAATTTTTTCTACATCTTTTGTGATTTTTAGAATGTTACATTTTTTTGAAAAAAAGGAAAGAATAAAAAATTTAACAATAAATATAATATATATTATATATAAATATTATGTTATATATAATTTCTGTAAATGGGTTCTTCTTTTATACAAATACATAATAAACAAATTTTTTAACAGCTCCATAGTGACAAAAACAATTATGCTAAAATGCTAGCATATTTTTTCTAAATTAATTAAAACAATTTTTTTTTTAAGAAATAAAAAAAAAAAAAAGTACTAAAAAAAAAAAAATAAATAAAATAAGTGAACGCTCCTTTTCCTATTTTATGAGATTTTTCTAATTATGTATATATTAAAAGCAGCTGCATTTTCTTTTATTTTTCTGATTTAGTTGCATAGTTGTTCTTCTATCTCATAATGTACTACACCCTCACTGGATTAAATAATGGCAATCACCCATCTTTTTATGAGGGTAGGCTTAAATTGGCTTATTTTCTTCTTCTGTAGAAATACAGTGTCCTAGATACCATAGGTTATAAAAGTGTTTTTTTTAACATTGGTATTATGAACATTTTCTTATTCGAATAACCATGATTTTGTTTTTGCTGTGTTTATGGGATGAAATGTTTTTTTATTAAAACGTTCTGCTGATATTTTAACACTTCTGTTATATATATATATATATATATATATACATAAATATATAACGAAAGAAAAATTGGGAGCTCCCTAAAATTAGCCTTTATGCATTCTTGTCAAAAATAAGGATTTATTAAGACAAAAACAAAAATTGTGCATTAAAAAACAATATAAATAAAATAAAAGCTGTTTCGTTTTGAATTGTTTTAAATCAGAATTAAATTATTATTTTTTCTTTTTTCTAATAGCTTGAGCAATTTCTTTTTTCTACTCTCACTTAAATTAAAGAGAGATACACATATACTTTTTTTGCAAAAAATATTTTACACGTTCTTCGTAAAGATTTTAAAAAGTTTTTAAATAAAAAAAGGCTTTCTAAAAGTAGAGACAAAATATTATTCTTTTTTTTTTTTTTTTTTTTATTCCTTCGTAAAATTCCCCACATTACCATTTTCTATACCAAATTAATATTTAACTTAATTAGTAATAAATTATGAAAAAAAAAAATGTAAAAAGCCTACAACCGGAGTCGAACCGATGACCTTCCGCTTACTAGGCGGATGCTCTACCAACTAAGCTATGCAGGCATATGAACAAAATTTTATCTCTTTCTCTAAAAATATTTTAATATGCAGAAAATCATTTTTGTATAAAATTTAAAAAGAAAAAAAAAAATATATAATTGTATATATTATGTTTGAAGTTATCATATGGGGTTCTTTCCCTAAATGGTACTATTGCCAGAGTGCTTGTATATTTTATCCAATTTTTATTTAACTCAGTTTTTTCCTCCCTGTGTGTACATAAATTTTATTTTTGTTTTCATTATAAATTTTTGACACTTTAAGTTTTTATATACGATGGTAAAAAATACAAGTCGAATGATTATATTCTCATGAGACTTTTCATAACACTGTGCAAGTCAACAATTTTGCTTTCAGTTATGGAGAAAAAAAACAATAAAAAAGTAAAAATCAAACGTTTCGCGTTAAATTTAGATATATCTTTTAAGCATTTATTTGGAATTTTATAAAAAAAAAAAAAAAAAAAAAAAAAAACTTAGATAAAAGTTTACTGCACAAGAATGTATAACTTTTTTAAAAAGATCATTATGCCATTACCTCAAATCGATGATTCAGTTGTACGAGGTAAATCTAGACGAGACGCATTCTTCATTTGATCTGTGTCATTGCCAAAAATGAACAAATGTGTTGGTAGTAAATTATTCCCGATACACGCATATATATATTAGGCAGTCTTAAGGGTAATTCATCCGTTGTGGATATGGTTTTCTTATGCTTCCTTAACACAGCTAGCGTTACATCTCGTTCAGCACCTCTCTGAGAAGAACCCTGTTTTGTTTAGCTTGGAAAATGAATTCGGCTTCATTCGCGACTGAGAAAATTTGCTTTATCAATTGGTGACTACTATTTTGTGCATTGGTGTTTTGTTGATCATCTTGATTGTTGGTTTTTAATTTTGTCCGAAAATAATGTCTGTTTTCAACTGATTCTAATTCTCTAGATTTTTCGAAAGCTTTGTCAATAACACTTTTTGGTAATTTTGCAATTTCTGCCACATGAACTCCATAACTTTTATCAGCATATCCTTTTTTAATTTCATACAGAAAAGAAATTTTTTTTTTTTCTGTATCAATTTTAGCACCAACATGATTGTTAATACATCCATCATACTCATCTTCCAAATTGGACATTTCATGAAAGTGAGTAGCAAATAAACAGAAGCATTTTATTTTATTAAGTATATAATGAGCAACAGACCAGCTGATACCAAATCCTTCATAAGTGGAAGTACCTCTACCTAATTCGTCAATAATGACAAGGGCATTTGAATCTGCATTCTTAATTATAGCTGATATTTCTATCATTTCTGAAAAAAATGTCGATATACCTTTTAGCTGTATATCAGATGAACCAACTCTACACATAATTTGTGAAAATATTGGCATTCTTGCATAAGTGCATGGAACATAACATCCTATTTGAGCCATTAAGCATATTAAAGCAATTTGCCTTATATATGTACTTTTACCACCCATATTGGGTCCAGTAATTATATTTAATCTTTTACTTGTTTTATTCATATGTACATCATTTGGTATAAAATTGTTCATTAGTAAGAAATTGGATTCTACTAGCGGATGTCGTGACTGTACTAGATGTAATACCTCTCCATTAGTTTCTACAATAGGTCTCACGTAAGTTGATATGCTAGATGCACTTACAAATGCGAATGAACAGAATACATCTATTTGTGCAATAATTTTTGCCAATTTGAAAAATGGTTCCCAGTAGGATGAAGCTACTTGGATAGCCTTACTAGCTAGTTGTTCTTGTGATATGTTATAATTGTGCAATACATAATCATATCGTTTGCACAAGTCTTTCAATTTATTCGTATTAAACAATATTTCACTTTTATTCATCCTAACTTGAAAATATGTTTTTTTCCTTTGTTGAATTGCAGATATATCTTTTTTTACTGCACGGAATAGGAATGTATTTGCATTACAATCTACTAATTTTATGTCTTCTTTTGAATTATTTTTTTTGTTCACTCCTTTTAAATTGTTAATATCTTCTTCCACTTCTATTCGATGTTCTTTTATCATATGGAATATTTCGTCTTTTTCATTTGCTAGCTTTTCTAAATTTTCATCGAATTTTCGTGAAATTAAATAGTGGTTATTGCACAATTCGTCAAAATCTACTGTTAGTTCAATTAGCTTAACAAATGAATCCAAACTTATTAAAATTTCCTTTAAAGGAGTTAAAAATTTATTTTCCAATGTGTTTCTATATTTACCTGTATAATCATTAAGACAGTAGTATATCTTCTTCGACACAAGGACAGAATCATACAGTTTCACTAACCCTTCAATAGTACATGTATTTTTTGTGTTCATACTTTTACACCCTTCCCCTTTTGTAGTCATGTCTGAAATGGTACTATTCACAATTTTCAATTTTTTAATTATAACATCTAGATCACTAACTTTTCGTAGATAATCAGATTGAATAATGGATCTCATAACACCATCTTCTTTCAATATACTAACCATATCTAACCTTTCGTTTATTTTTTTTTCATCTCTTATTGGATGCATCACCCATTGGAGTAATTTTCGAACTCCAATTTTTGTTTTGCATTTATTCAAAAATGAGAACAATGTCATTCCGCTTCCACTACTATTGCTTTTCTTTTTTTCTCCTATATTATTTTCTGTGTGTACATTAAGAGCTACTACAGCTGCCATGTCCAATTTTAGGTATTGATTTATATTATAATTTTTTATCGTACATTTGTTTATAGCACTATAATCATTAAGTAGATTCATATATTTTATGATACTACTAAAGGATCTACATGCTATTTGCAATTTGAAGAATGATATGAAATTTTTTACATCGTCTGTTGGTTTCAACAATTTACTTAAGTCATTTTCCATTGATGAAGTGTTATAAAAATCATTTTTTGTTAATTCACGTGATTTAATCTCACACAAATTTAGTATTAATTTTATTCTCTTATCATCTATTTTGTCACTGCTTGTTAAAAATAAAAAGCATGCTGGTCTACACTGTATTAATATCGATTCCAAAACGGTAAAGTGTTCATTTTCTATGTATTCACATAATGAGAATTCGTTACTACTCATATTGTAAATACATATTCCAGCATATTTAACGTTATTTCTAGTTTCTGTGTTGAAACTCACTATTGTAGAAGTATCCATTTCAGTATTTTCCATTGTCTCCTTATTACCTTCATTCATTTTTCCAAAAACAAAATAAAAATTAGAGATTCGAAATAGGATTATCAGTGTCAGTTCTAAGCACAGCTCTTAAAAACAATATATTCTCACATATTTTTGAAATGCTTATTATTTTGAATAATCTAGTGGTTTCTGTTCCAGGTCTAATTATGAATTAGTATTGTAAGAAAAGCAATTACTCTATTTTTTTTTTATTTTTTATATCTCAGTTATATGATATCATTGGGTTATATTCGAGTGGAAAAAAAAAAAAAAAAAAAAAAAAAAAAAAAAAAAACTATCACTTTGATTCTGCAAAATTTGGAGACTTGGAGAGTGCTAACATGAAATTAAATTTTCTTTATTTTATCTCACACTAATATATGTGTATGTACACATATACATGTTAAAATTACTAGAAATATATACTATATATATACAAACATATGTATATATTTTTTTCCTCCTAATGGTCCCCAATTATTATAATCAATATGGAAAAAAATAAAGCATTGAAATGTTTTCAACATTTTCTACTCCATCAGTTCATGTTAACATGATATTTTTTAGGGTACTTATTTTTCTACAAATTCGCGATTGAGATATGAAGGGGAGAAAAAAAAAAAAAAAAGAAAAAAAAAAAAATGTTTTTGTCTTATTTTTCGAATGTGATAACAAAATGTAGACAGTTATTTAGTCTATTTTAAGATTGAACTTATATTCAAATATATGCTCCGTTTGAGGTTAATGTAAATTTATAATATTTTTAAGTTAGGGGAGTTAAAAAAAGAAAAATACGTTTTCCTTTTCTTTAGCACAAAAGGATGCCTAAGGCATATGCATTGGATGCGGTAAAGTCATATTCTCGTATATTTAACCTTATTTACATGTGCACACATCTGGCACAGAATTTTCTCCTTCGCTAGGGTTGATATACTTTACTGTGACTCAAATGCATGCTCAGAATAAGGAAGTAAAATAAGTGACCTCACAGAATTATCGTTAGTTCATTGATTTCATTTCGTTATTTTGCGTATTTGGATATCAATTGTGAAAAACAGGGTATGAATATTTTCATCACAGGCATACGCAAAATTGGGAAATCGTTTTCTTAAATAGTGTTGTAAAAAATAAAAAATTTCTTTTTCTAACTCTGATCTTTTGTGGTTCCAATTCATGTCATTTTTATTTCCTTGGTATGGGAGAAATGTGTAGTAATGTAGTATTTTCAAAAATGGGTAGTAGGCATAGTTAAGAAAATTAAAGTTCTTTTTTGTATATAATTTGGTCAGGATGATGTTTATGCTTTTCAGAATATCATCACTGCAAGCATCCTTTGTTAGGTAAATATTTCTGTAGATGGTATAGTTATTCATAATTTTTATCATCTGCATGCATATATCAAATTGCTCGTTGTTGCTACATATTTTTGATATGTTGCTCATTTCTTCGCTAAATTTACTGTATTTTTGTGCAAACTGTTCGGGCATATTCTGAATAAGGTCGTTTATTATATATACCAATAATGAACACTTTTTGATGAATGATAATCTGAACAAATGTGATTTACTCCTCTGTGCTACTAAAATAAAATGGTGTGTTTTTATATGTTCCAATGGAACCGAATCATAAGAGGACCAATTAATGTATGAAAAATGGCGTTTATATAATATTTTAAATAGCACTAAAGAGGTGTATGCGCATAACATAATCACAGGAATCTTCCTTTCTATATTCTTCATTATATATGAAGAAGACAAGAAATTTACTATGCTTACTATGAGGTTATCTATATTTTCTTCCTCCTTTTGTGAAATATTATTTTTAGTTTTTAAATATGATTCTAATGAATTTTCTATGGGTGCATCATTCAATCGATGCAGATAATCTAGTATGATGTAAAAGTATGCTTTTATAAAAGATTCATAATAAAAATGTAAATCGCCCTTGGACAGGTAAAAAAGCATTTTAATAATTTCATGAATTGTTGAGAGATTGCAACTTTTACCGTTGAACAAATATTTTTTTGGCACTGATGCAAAGGAGGATTCTTTGTATAACAAACTGAAGGTGATACATTTCGAATGTGGTCTCGAAACATGTTTGCATAAATATAAGTAGATGTATTTATTGAAAAAGGGGAATGGATGTATGTTGTTCACAATGAAACACTTGTACACTTTTGATAAAAAGTGCATATCACAAAATATAAATTTTTCACTTTGATTTTCCCTATCATATTGGATTAAATGATCCCTTCTTGCATCACAAAATTTATGTAAATTTTTTAGTCTTATTTTTTTTTGTTCTTCTTCATTAAGTTTCTCCTCAAAAACGGAAGGTGTGCATAACTGGAGGCAACATAACAGTAAACTGTTATGTATAAAATAGTAGTACTCGTTTTGAAAAAAACATTTATATTTATAAATGTTACATTCATATAAATGGTTAATTATATACTTTATTTCAAGTTTTAGTAGACAATGAATGGACGCGTTGCTAATTATGGAACATATATGCTGCATTAATTTTTTACTAAAAAAACCATCTTTGTTTTGCAAATAAAAAAGTGCGAAGGAGTCTTCAATGGAAATGAAAGAAGAATACTTACCAAAGAGATAATCATAATACGGAATACAGTTAAAAAATTTATTTTTCTCCTTAATTTTGGTAACTTTTTCAATTAAGGCTTTTAAAATTGTATTTTTCTGTCTACTAACTTTTGGATTCACAGAGCCTTTTTTAGTCGATGTCCCAACACAACTTATCCTCTTAATCATTATTTTCCGCCTTTCCCCCTTTCCTCTTTTCCTCTTTTATTTTTTTTTAATTTTTTTTCTTATTTTGTATATTCCTTTTAATGATAAAGCGTACAAAGTAATTCGTCATATTTTCGAACTTTTTTTGTGTGAACATATATGGTGAATGTGCACATTGTTGTAGTAATTCTCATCAAGATATAGGCAAAAAAAAAAAAAAAAAAAAAAAATCTATACATTTGGAATTTTTAATTTTATTATTCATCTATTCAAATCATTCACAATTCGGTTGCAACAATTAGACGTATTTGATATATACGTCCTTGTTCGGAAATTTTAACCAACACGGAATGATTTCGTTAACTAATTTGATTTGTTCTACATTTTGATTAACAAGGAGAAGTAAGAAAAAAGGTTATTATGGATGAGGACATAAACAAAAAAAAAAAAAACATATATAATAGAATGAATAAATGTTGCAACAAGCGGGGTTGCTCCTTTTTGTATTCCCCATGAAATAGGGGAAAATAATAAAAATGAAATATGATCATAAAAATGGATAGGCAAGTGAAAACCTTTTATGAAAAACTTACTAACCCATCATGCGTTTTTACAAAAAAAAAAAAAAAAAAAAAAAAAAAAAAAAAAGAAATCGCCTAAACAAGTCATGCAGATTGGCAATTATTGAAGTAGATGTGTTATTGTTATCATGCATGGGAATTAACTACATTTATGTTATACATGTGCTATATATTAGCACAGCAAAAATACTACTTCAAGAACACTGATGTCATTTTCCGAATGTTTAAAAATATACTGAGAAGATGTTTCTTACTTTTAAAAATTTTTTACACGAATAAATTTCTTTAAAAAACATCGTTCCATAATTGAATAATTTTTAAAAAAGTAATAATTGGGACAGAAAAATAAAATAAAGTATAAAAATAAAAGCAAAAAAAAATACAAATATATTCCTAAAAAATGGCAAATAATTTTTTCCTGTAATTTGAAAGAGGAGAAAGGGGCCATAAAGTCGCCTAAAACAATTAACCAAATAATGCACGCATTTTTCAATAAAGTGAAAAAAAAAAAAAAAAAATGGTTGCGCTTATTTTATTTTATTCTATTTTTTTATTTTTTTTTTTGTATTCTTGTTAATTGATAAAATGAGGAACTTAACAGTTACAGTGAGATGCTTTTCTAAATGATTATTCTTGTGCATAGGTATATTTACGTGTTAACAATTTTGCTGCCAAAGTGGACAAATTAGTTTTTCCTTATTTTACACAATCGACGTGCGTTTCTTGCATTTAACATAATCAGCGTTGTTGTATAAATGCATACATTTTTTATTTTGCTTTAATTTTTATTCTCACATTTTTATACACATTTCAGTCATTGTAATTTTAGGCTTCTTAAAAGGGGATAAAAAAAAGAAAAAAAAATTGTGCTAAATTTTATTCCTTTTTTATCCCTTTTTTATTCCTTTTTTATCCCTTTTTTATCCCTTTTTTATCCATTTTTTTTTTTTTTTTTTTTTTTTGTGCACCAAATTACAAACATTTTTTTTGCGAACAACTCATTCGTTATAATTTTTATTTTGAGCGTATTAATTACTCTTGGACACGATTAATACCACTGCTAAATTATTCTCTTTGGTACAATAAATTGGTGAAGTTGTTAAATCGTTTTAAAAAAACATTAAATGTAGTGTAAGCATTAAGCCATAGGCAATTAAAAAATAATGTCCCAAAAGTGGTTTAAACGAAAAGGTAACTACTTTTTTCTGTTTTTCTTTTTTTGTGAACAAAGTGTTATATGTGTTAAAACTATGCCTCAAATGCATCTTCTACAAATTAGATAATGAATTTTATGCGTATATTTCTTTCCCTTCTTTTTAGAAGTAAAATATTTATTAATCCCTTGGAATGTAATCAGTAAGTACAAATTCTTTTTTTTTTTTTTTTTTTTTACGTAAATTTTTTGTCTTTGAATTATATATATTTACTTAATTTAACATGCCTTGTGTACATTTTTATATGCAAAATGTGAAAAAACATTTTTTCAACACTTTTTCGGATGAAATGAGAGAAAAAAGGGGCAAAAAGCAATACAATGTGGACAATCATGTAACAGGTATTACTTTATTTTACGCAATAAAGTATGTACTTAATAGGTGTTTGCACATATAAACAGTTTAATCACATACATATTTATGATGCTCATTTTTTTTAATAGGTTATTTTATTTTTAAAATTCCCCGCTTTTTCTTCGTAACAGAGTGTTATTGTTGTGCTTTATGCATAAAAAAAGAAAAGGAGGGATAGAATTACAATTTTAAATGTTTTTTTAGTTAATGGTTACCGCTCACATATGGCTGTTATATTGTTTTGGGCTACACACATATATTACATACATACCTATATGTCTCTTTTTTAAAATGATGATTTAAAAAATGTTAACTTTTCGACGCTACCTTTATAGTAAAACTGTTTAACGAATATGCATATGAAAAACAATTAATTCGTGTTGTTAAATTGGAGAAAAAAAACTATTAACATGTAGTATTTTTATTTTTATTTCATATTAATATGACTACTAGCTGTTATTCATGATTTACAATTAATTTGTGCAATCATCAGTGAATTATACGGACATTTCTGGCAATATATATTTATGCGACCTTAACCTACATATGTTCATATACACACAGATTTGAAAAGGCGTACATCCCCTTACAGGCGAAGCCAATCGAATGAATATAATACAGAAAAAACGTGTACATGTAATACAGATATATATACCCATACCTGTACTACAAGTATTATAAGAGCACGTGTGGGAAAACATTCCGTATGTACACACGAAATAATTAAAAATTGCATTATTTTGTGCACCTGTAAAAAGAAGCAAACGCGGACGAAACCAGCAAATGATGTCAATGGTTTGATTCGAAAAATTGACAGGTGTAATTAAGTTCGTTAATGTTAAACAAATATATATACTGTACTGCCCTAAGATGCGTTGTTTTGTGAAGATATATGTGTAATGGATAAACAGTGAATGTTGTAACGCATAAAGGTATAAAAAATTATTTTTGTTGTAAAACATTTTCTTTGTAATTTTTAAAATTTACAAATGAAGTGGATTTTTTTAAAAATTTTGTCGCAACTGTAAAAAGCTCATTTACTTTGACTCAGAAGTAATGCTCTTTTGTTTTTTATTTTGTTGTTTCGCTGTTTTGTTGTTTTGTTTTTTCCTACGACTATTTAAAACCATTGGGTTATTTATTTATTAATTTTTGTACTTTATTTTATTTTTTTTGTTACAAATATATCTTATTCATTTCTTTTGTTGTTATGTGTACCAATTTATGATGCCCAACTCCACTTCGCCCACTCTCTCTATGAGAAATATGTGATATGTTTTTTTTTATATTTTCACGCAGACCTAATTAATACAGTGAATATATTCGTATGTACTGTTTATATATATGTACACATATTAATAAGAATCCCGTGATAATATTTGCTTTACCTGCTTCCTATTTTTTTACAAGCTTTTAGAACCCCTTGGGCGCTTTCAACCTTTCGTACACTTTAAAAATAAATTAATGCAATTCATGCAGTTATACATACAATATATAAATATACAGCGTACCTATTTCAATAAGTATAATTTCAAAAAGCAGCAATTAATTTTCTCTATGACAATTGTGCTAACGACAAAGGGGTATGTATAATTAAATATATATATATATATATATATATATATATTTTCCTTTTTTTGATCCCATGAATGTTATTCTTTCAATTCATATTTTTCAACCTCATTCACATCGATACACATATTATGCATATCATTTTTATATTTTTCAAAGTGCATATAAGCGCATTCACATTTTAATTTTTCCATCAATAAAATGCATCATCCTCCAGGGGATGTTTTAAATGTTAAGTACGTTTAAGTCGGCCTGCATTGCATTTTTTCCAATATCGGAATTCATTACAACATTATCTATAGGTATTATGTATCATCTATAGATATATATATATATGTATAAATCATTCAAATACTCATTCATATGTTTCCAATAAATATACATATGCACATCGTACATCCACACTAATATACCATAAATAAAAAAAGTGCAATTCATCCGTCAATGAATATTTTATTTATACATAATTAAATTTATACTTTATTTTTTATTTAATTTAAGGCACGTTCAGCTTTAGTATTATATCTCTACCCCCTTACATATAAACGTAGTATTATATATATATATATATATAATATACAAATATTTATAAATAATAATATATTTAAGCATATAGATAGAGTAAGTGTGAAATATATTAAATCTCCAATTATTTTTCAAAATCCTTATTATAATTTTGTTTGTTTTACTACTATATAGTTTTTTATTCTTATACATGCATAAAAAACTCTCGTAGAAAAAAAAAAAAAAATTTAAAGTTTAAGGAGAAAATAGCTTAGAGCACAGCAAATATATCGTTACCATTACATATATTTACACATGTATGCAAAAATATGTACAGTAACCTTAGCCCAAGTACATGCGTTAACCTATATAATTAAGCAAACCATAAGGGGTGGCATTATTCATAATATATGGCACACAATGAACATCCTGTTAACATACGTAGAAAATGTTTGTCGATACTGCATGACTTTATATATATATATATATATATATATATATATGTTATTCAATCTGTATATACTTTAGAGCCAAGCTCATATAAAGGAAACAACAGGGTTTTTTTTTTTTTTTTTATGATGTCGATTAGTGCGCATATAATATATGCACTAGTAATTACGGACAAAAATAGGCACAAACATTTCGTGCATGGTTTAAGATGGATACCTAAAATTGCTTTGCATTTATTTAATATAATAACTATTTTAAAATTTCAAATCAAAAAACAGATTCTACACTTCATTAAAGGAATGAAATTGACCTGCACATTTTCCTCATGTGTTTATGTACATACATATATATAATTTATACATTGTGCATACATGTTTGTTTGTTCCTGTATACGTAAATGCTCATTTTATACTTGAGATATTATATGTGTAACATATATTACATGCTAAATATATGTTGTGCATGTAATATATTTACTAATGGTACCATTTTTATAAATAACAGACCCCAACACTATGTGAGCGAATAATAAAATTATACTTAAAAAGTAAAAATTCGTACAGAAATTTTTTTTTTTCTCTTTTTTATTTGTCATTTAAAAAAAGAAGATACAACTTCGGATATTTTTTTTTTTTTTTTTTTTTTTTTTTACATATCCTTTCATGAAATAATAGGCAATATATATATATATATATACGTATACGAAGCTATAAACATGCAATATATATACATAATAAATATACATATATATATGAGAAAAAAAAAAAAAAATTAAAATAAAAAATGCTTAAAAAAATTAGCATTATATTTACTGTATATACGTATTTAGCTAGTAGTCATAATATATACATATATATTTACAATATATATGTTGATGGCTTACATTATACCTAAATTTACGTACGTAAATATATAGATACATGGATATATACACTCCACTCCTATTTTGTTAAATTAGTGCTGAAGGTTTAATTTACCAATCGGAAATTAAATTTCGATTTGAATGAAGTTAAATCACGAGTTATGAGATGTTCAAGCAATAACTTATGATTAATTTTTTATTGGTAGTTAAATTTATTCATATACATACAAAATTTGTGAACATCAAGGGTGTTTGTAAAGATATTAATAAGTTTATATAGTGGCGAATGCGTACGCACATACGTATTTGCGTATATATATGTGCATATACAATATACATATATATATACATATATATATACATATATATATACATACATATATGCATATATGCATATGTACACAGTTACATGGTATGAGTGGCATAATTTTGAAAATGTTTAACCATAATAATGCTTACACGGTAAAGCATTTAAGTTCAGCCATATGTGATAAGTAAATTATAATGATATATTAAAAGAGTTAAAATTAACAGATATTTACGTATGCGTGCATGTATACGTATGTTTTAATATATGGTATATATACGGATTGAAAGTTCAGTATATATATTGTGTGGCAGTAAATTATGTATAAAAATATAATATGTATAATATATTAATGACTTTATGTAAGCATAAGCGTATACTTTGGTGCAATCCTTACTCTTTACAATTAAAAAAGGAACAAGAGTAATGTACCAGCCAATCAGTTAGTAAGCCAGGTAGCCAGCCCAGCCAGCCGACAAACTAACCCCCAAATTAACCAACCCCGACTATGCTTCTCTGCACGAAATTTTCTTGTTTTATCACTCATATAAAATGAATGAGAAAATAAATCAACAAGTACGCCTTTGCATATGTATATTTGTATATAAAGGCCAAGTACACATTCACGCGCAAGCATGTATAAATATATGCATACATATATATATGTGTATATATGAATACATATATAAAGATATAATATATATACATGCATATGCACATATGTACATGTATACAAGCGTACACTATATTGCGCACATTTTTTTACATGCCCTTTCAAATGTTATCCCCGTGCTCCTATTACACCAAACACAAGAAACGAATTGTTATAGTTAATAGGAAGAAAAAAAATGTGTTAATTTATTCTTGCGCCTTTCTTTCAGTAACATTGTTTTTTTTTTTTTTTTTTTTTTTTTTTTTTTTTTTTTTTTTTTTTTTTCACTTTTTTCCTATTCCTTTTTTTCCATTTCTTTCCTTTCTTTTTTTTTTTTTTTTTTTTCTTTATTCAATTTTATGCGTATAAATTTATAAGCATAGAATTTTATGCAAAATTATAAGTTTATGTAATGCATAAAGGTACGATGCATTTGTAACCTCCCCGTGTTATAGTCCATTCGTACGTATAAAACTCCGTACACAGTAAGTCCCGAGTACGTCCTTACTGTATGAGCATATATCATTTACTGTATGTTTAAAAATATGTGTACTTATACATGTGAGAGGATCCAGTGCCAGTACGTGTACATATGCAAGTATATTTACACATGTGTATATGTGCACATGTATGTATACTTGCAAATACGTATACATAAAGCATCTAGGCTTATCTGAGAACCTATGTCAACGTGTATATATGCCACCCATTGTCCTTATTCTTGAATGTAGGAAAGGTGTTTACATTTACCTTCCATCAAATTGTTATATTTCCCAAAAAAAAAAAAAATAAGAATAATAAAAAAATAAATAATAAAGCAGAACTCAAAAAAATTAAAGAGATTATGTGTAAAAAACCAAAAACTCCTTTGTTATGTTATCCTCGTCATACAACTTATTAATGATATTTTAAAAAAAAAAAAAAAAAAAAAAGCAAACAAATTAATGGTTTCCCCCCTTTATTTTAATATATACCTCCATCACCATTCTTACTGTCCCATATATGCACAAACAATATACACGCATTTAAATATATTCATCACTGAAAAAAATAAAATAAAGAAAAATCACACATAAATTTTAAAAAAAATTCCACATGGAATGAATTCTCCCACCTCCACCAATATACATACGCACCGAACTATTTTATTCACGTTCATACATAATCATCCATATGTCCGCACATGTGCATATATTCACACATATAGGCAAAATCAGTTCACGATTGCTGCCATTAATTGTTCACGCATGTGTTATAATACGTATGCAAAAAGACAGCACACGTTTGAATTTGTATATGAATTGAATTCCTTGTTATGTTAACTCGAGTGCATATATTTATGAACGTATGTGTGTATACCTATGTGTAAGTACAAACAAATGCATAAGTATTCTTAGTAGTTACATGTACGTATATATATATATATATATATATATATATATATATATATATATGTACGTATTTTAGTTCCTTTTTTTTTTTTTCTCGCAATCCCGTAAGTGTATATATACATATATATGTATATAAATTTTCTCATATTTTGTTGTTGTTTCATATTTAAAACAAGTTTGACAATCTTTTAAAAAAAATATTAAAAAAAAAAAAAAAAAATGAGTAATATCAAAGAAAATAACAGCACAAGTAATAAAAAATCTGTAAAGAACAACAATACAACAAAAAGTAATGTTGAAAAAATGAAGGAAAATGGAAGTGTTAATGAAGACAAGTGCGGAGAGAAGAATGACATAGAAGAGAATTATAAAGATAGGAATATATCAAAAAATTTGAGAAATGTAAAGAATGAAGATGACAATAGTACGGATAGGGATTCACATGCTGTAGTTAATAGTCATAATGCTTGTAATAATATTAGTTTTAACAACGGGTTGGAGAAGGGAGAAGAGGAACAGCAAAAAAAATCAAAAGGTGAGGAAGCAAAAGATGAGGAAGCAAAAAGTGGGGAAGTGAAAGGTGAGGAAGCAATAGGTGGGGAAGCAAAAAGTGGTGAAGCAAAAGAAGAGGAAGCAAAAGAAGAAGAAGCTAAACAAGATGATAACCAAAAGGATGAAAAGGAGGAAGAAAAGAAGAAAAAAAAGAAAAATAATAAGGCAACAAATTCTGGAAGTGTCGAATATTGTAATAGCGGAGTAAGGAAGAAGGAATATCAAAGTGCAAAGGGTGGTAGCCACGAAAAGGTAAAGACAGAAGATGGAAATATTGTCTCAGTGAATAATGGAAATGATAACAATAATAACATGAATTTGAATAGTAGTAGTATCAGTAAGAAGGATGCTGGTGGACATGAGCATGGAAAAACCATAAAAGATAAAAGGCTAATGAACAAGGGTAATAAAAATGATCCAGTAAATTCCTCGTATAATAACAACCCTAATAGTAACAATGATTGGAGGAGTGGTAATAAAGAAAAGCAGAATGATTACAATAATTCGGGTATGAAAGATTTAAATAAGAAAAGGAATTTTAACAAGAATGAAAATAAAAATTTCGATGGGGGATATAATGGAAATATCAGTAATACAGGTAATATGAACAGTTATGTAAATAAAACAAATTATAAATATGATTACAAAAATAATAAGAACAATTATAACATGAAAGGAGGGAAAAATTATAAAGTTCCACCACCAAGTATGCATCATAATAGCAGTAACAACAATAAGAGTGCTCTGAATTATGAAGGTTATAATAATAATAATAATAATAACAGTAACAATAATAATAATAATAGTAGTAATAATAATATTAATAATAATAATTCTAGTGAGAATATGATGGTGGAATCTATGAATAATATGATGATGTATAATAGTAGTAACAATTCTAATTTTAGTTATTTACCTAACTATCCGTGTAATTATCCATATAATTATTATCTAGATGAGAATGATACTAAAAATGTAGATTTATCGAATTATTATGCATCTAACAAGATGTATAACGCAGTTGCTGCATCTGGAGGTGCATCTGCGCTAGGAGGGATAAGTGCGGGTTCATCACCAGGAGCTGGGCCAGCAGTAAGTGTTGGACCGAATGGAGCAGTTATGCCAGATGGTTATAATAATGATGGTAATTATGATAACCGATTTAATTACAACAATATGATGAATGAATTTTATAATTATTTACCTTTTAATTATTATTATTATAATATGAATAATTTATACTTTGGAGGCACAAATTATGGGAACAGTGCTCATAATTTATATCATGATAATATAAAAAATCGAAAAAATAAAAAATATTTATATGATAAAAATAAAAAAAAAAATTTTAAAAATATGACACCATCAAATATGTATAATGAAATAAAAAATAGAGTAATCGATATTTTCAGAAGAGAAAATGTTATGACAGATGATTATTTATTATACTACATGTATAATAATGTCAAATTGAGTATTGATATAATAGCTAAACATCCTTATATTTCTCCCCTTGTTAGTAGTACGAATAATCAGAATAATATGACCATTCTAGCCAATGTGTTAAACGATTTGAAATGCATTAATTTGAATAAAAAAGAGGATGGTTCTCTTGGAGATATTGATAAACTCGCAGCAGATCCCAGTGCATCATCAACTCTGCAGGCATCTCCTGAAAATGGAAAGATTAACCAAATTTCCTCGGATATTGTTTCCACTGATAAATTGTCAGTACAAGGTGGAGATGTGCTAAAGAAGGTTAATGATATCAGAACAAATGTGGAACAAAACGAACAGAATAATAAGAGTGATGAGAAGGAAAGTGCAAAAATTTCTGAAGAAAATAATGATAAAGGAATGATAAATGAAAAAAAAATCAAAGTTGAAATAACATCTGGAGCAGTAACAGATGTAGATACAGCAGGAAACGATGAAGCCTCTTCAACGAGAGGAGGAATGGGTTCTGAAGATAAAAGAGAAGATGACGTGATCAAAGGAAATGTAACTGATTATGACAAAACATGTGTTGCAAAGGAGGAGGGTGCTGAAGAAGGAGTAGATAAAATTATGGATGATACTGAGAATTCCATTAAAAACAATGAAGATGTAAAAGAAAAAAAAATTAGTGGAGAAACAGAAACGATGAAAGAATCAGAAGAAAATGCTTTACATGCAGATAAAAACAAAATTAGTGATAACAAGAACATGAACACTAAAGCTGCAAGTATAAACACAAACATAATAAATGATGTGGATAGTAGTAGTAATGTGAAAATTCCGTTTGAAGAAGATAACAAGAACTTTTTGCTAAATTTAAATAACAAGAGAAACATTATCATTGTAAGAGACATAAATTCTCATTATATTAACACAATAAAAAGTATTGTATTGAACAGTCCAAATATTCAATCGAGCGATGTTTTAAATATTCGAAATGATGTCAATAATACTATTTTCATAACTTTGAGGAATGAAAAAAAAACAGAATCACTAGCACAGTATTTGAAAACTAAATCAGTGAACGATAAAAAATTAAATGTGCGAATAAAAACATCGCAGAGAATTCAAAATATTATTGAAAACAATATTTTTAAATCAGGAAGTAGTATTATGGTCAATAGTAGTACTAGTAATAGTAATATTAATGGATTCCCCCAAGGTAATAACATTAGTGGAAATATCAATACAAACACATCATCCACTATAGGAATAAATGCAAGGGGAGTTCACAATATGGCAACAACTAATTCTACAAATGGAAATAGTACACATGTCGGTGTTGGTGCCAATGCTGCAGGTGGTAGTAGTAATAGTAATGGTTCAATTCCTGCAGCTACTACAGCTTCTGCAGCTGTAACGGGATCAGCAAATTCAACATCATCAAATGTTGTACCTATGTCTTCCTCTTCAGCTTCTGCAGCTGTTGTTTCTGCTGCTTCTACGTCTAATGCAGGAACTGTGACATCGAATGCTATACCTGGTGGTGGAAGTAGTGTACTTGGTCATCTTAATATGATGGCAAATTCTGGAATTCCCATGAGTCCAAAGGATTATATTAATTTTAATAATATGTATTATCTCCCCAATGCAATGAATGGCTATGATAATAATATATATGCACAAAGTACTACAGCTAGCAATCCTGCATCTAATTTTGACATGTACATGAATTATTATAACTACAGTATGGGAAACGTACCGTTTAATGTGTTCCCCAATATGAATTCGGCTGATTCTTTTAGTGCAAATTATAATATGTATCCGAATTCTTATGATCAAACAAATGAAATGAAAAATAAGCATACATATAACAAAAATAAAGCAATTAAATATGTTCGGGTAGGAGGAAATGATGGAAATAATATGATTAGAAGTAATGATAATAATTTTAATAACGTAGTTGTTGGTACAGGAATACCACACGCAGGGGCAGGTGGATTAGGAGGTAGCGGCGCTGCAATAGCAAATAATGCAAATGAATATTATGCCAATGTTTATAACAATTACAACAATATGTACAACAACATGTATAATAATATGTATAGTAATAATATTCATAGTAATATGTACCATGAAAATGGAAATAATAATAAGAATGGTAAGCATATGGATGATTTCAGAAGATATCATCACATAGACGGGATGAACGAAAAAGCAGTACCAGCTGCAGCAGGAGCAGGAGGAAATAACAATGGTGGTGGTTTACACCATCATCGAATGAACAAGAATCATAAGGACAACGATTACCATAAGGGAATCAATGGATCATTTACCACAGGAACGAATGGAAGCAATGGAAATAAGAATAACAGGGGTTCGACTAATGATAACAGCGGTAGCAGTAGCGTCAACAGTGGGAATAACGGTGGGGAGAAGAATCGAAGCAGAAGCAGCAGCAATTGCAACAGCAGCACATATAATGGAAACAACAACAACAATAACAATAACAACAATAGTGGTAGTAACAACAATAGTGGAAGTAACAACAATAGTGGAAGTAACAACAATGGCAAAAGTAACAACAGTAGCAGTAATAACAACAATAGCAACAGTAACAACAATGGCAACAATGGCAACAATAACAATAGTAGCAGCAATAACAACAGTAGCAGTAATAACAATCATAACAAGAGCAACCATAGCAGGAACAACCATAGCAAGAACAACAGCCGTGGGAATAATAATGGACATAACAACAATGGCACAAGTAACGGATACAATAGCAATAATCGAAGTAACAACAATGTTGGTGACAGAATTGTAGGTGGAAGCACAAACATCACAAGTCGTATGGGTGGAAATGGCACTGGAAGTAGTAATAATAATAAAGGTACCATGAAAGTTAATGAGTATAATAAAAAGAACAATAAGAGCAATAAAACCAGTAACAGCAATAATAGCGGTAGTAACAACGGAAGCAACAACGGAAGCAATAACAAAATGATAAATAACAAATTTAACAAAAAAGAGCTAGCTGTGTGGCATGATAATAACAATAATAATTTTCCAGCCAAAAATGAAAACAAATCAGTGGAAAAAAAAAATGGAAAAGTCTATTATAATAAAAAAAATAATACAAATAAAATAGCAGAGAAAAAAAACGATTACCTCATGGAGTTAGGAGGGATGGAAGGAGAGAAAAAAAAAAAAAAAAAAAACGATAATAAGAAAAAAGATGATTCATCATTATCACTCCATGCTACTGATTTTTTTAATGACAGTGCCGTTAAAATGAAGGATAAATGGAAAAGGACTAATCCAAAATTAAAGTATGATGATAACTGTAAAGAAATGGGAAATCATCATGAACAGCAACTACGAGTGAGAGATGGAGTAGCTCATGGAATTGATGATGAGGATTGTGTGTATGATGTTGATGTGGCAGGTAAAGAGAATCACTCTAAGCATCGAGATGAAGACGATTGTATATTCAGTGGAGGAAATGCAAACCATGTGGATGATGATGAAAAAATCGACAGTGAAAAGAAGAACAGTGACAGTGAAAGACCGCAGAAACATTTGACGAATGGAGAACAAGTAAGAAAGGAAGAAAATAACAACACACAAAAAAATGATGATGAAAAACAATCACACATAGAAAGAAAAAACAAAAAGGACATTAATGATAAAAATAATCAACCAATTAGTAATGATTCCAAGGATCAGAACAACAAAATTGTGTCAAGAAACAGCCCTGCAAAGAAAAATTTTACAAATAAATTTTCTTCAAATAAAGACAAAAATACAATTAATTCGGAGGAGAAAAAGGCACTTAAGAATAGGAACAACAAAATGGAGGATGTTGACGGAAGTAGAAATGTCAGTGGAAATATTAGTGGAACTATTGCAGGAAATGATAATCCCATGAATAATTGCAACACACAAAACCGTAAGAAGTATTCCTATGTAGATATTATGGATTCATGTAAAAAATTAACAAACGTAGATGCCCCTCCTGAATGCATTGACAAGTTGATGAAGGAAAACGTTTCTCTTTTTAGAAAGCGGGACGACAAGTTTTGTTGGAAGCTAAACGTTTTTTAATTTTACTATATCATGTAGAATATAGAAGGAAAGAAAAAAAAAAAAAAAAAAGACCACTTTTTAATCATGGAGAAATAATATCCTACATCATTTTAAAGGTTTTCTCACGTTGTGAGGCATAATAATAATTCATAGTCCATTTTTACTTTTTTTTTTCCCTTTTTTTTTTTTTTTTTTTTTTTTTTTTTTTACCTTTTTTTCTTTTTTTTTCTTTTTTGTTCTTGCGAATTTTCCAAGTGTTCATTTAAAAGCGTCATGGAGTAGAACTCCATGAAAAAACACCTAATCGATACCAAACTGAAATCAAAGAAGTTTTTAGTTTAAGTACATTGACAAATGTGAGGAATATATATATTTTTTTTTTTTTTTTAACGTATCCATATACTGAAGAGATATCTATGATAAGCAACAACTGTCCAGATCATTCATGACGTGTGACAGATGTGTGTATATATATATATATAGTTAGAGAAAATGCAATTACAGCTGTTATGATATTTACAAAGTTTCTCGAACACGCATTTTTAGGATATTTTTGTTTTCTCCCAGCCCAGTCCTCTCTCCCCCACAAAATATGTAATTTTTTATATATTTTTAACCACGCCACATTGGATAAAAGCTCATATTATGTGTTAGTCCTTTTTGGGATTTTGTTTTTTCCATTATTATTCTCTTTTGGAAACTAATTCTTGTAGTTTATTTATGGTTTATACACCTTTTTTTTTTTTTTTTTTTTTTTTTTATTCATCTCTACATTTGTGTGCTAAGTGAAATTAATAAAAAATACGTAAATGAATCGTTTTGTTTTTATTTTGACAAAATAAAAAAAAAAAAAAAATGTGCCGTCTTCATAAAACCATTTTTTTATAAAAAAATTCCAGTGATATAAGGGGAGGGGTAAGGGCAAACATGTTTGAGAATTTTTTTCATTTTTTCCACAAAATATGAGTAATTATTGCATAGTAAATATTATTATTTTTTTCTTTTCTTTTTCTTTCAAATAAATTTTTTTTTGCAAAAATTGGAAATTACGCATATAAATAAATATATGTATTTATATATATATAAATATACATATACATGTACCCATGATACACCTTGTGCAAATTTGTATACCCATTTATCAAGGGACGTTTTCTAAAAAAAGAATGGAACAAGCGTCCACCATCAGTTTTGGGGCATTCAAGGTATGTGTATACAATGTCCTGCATTCTACTCCATTAAGAGGAGGAAAGGTGCTAAAATTAAATAAAGGTATGATATATATATATATATATATATCGCATCCCCAGCCTCCTTTTGCAAATGGGTTTAAACATTTAAGCAACTTCTGCACCTAAAATAATAGATATATATATACATACATACCTTCACCAAGCACTTATTCAGTATGTATGCCTACTTTTTATTTTACTATTATCTCTATGGGGATAGATATATGGGTTGCCAAAAAAAAAAAAAAAAAGATTTACCCCATAGTCATTTTTCTTATGAGGAGAGAACGTTTCCTCTTATTTATGTATCCGATATATGTATATATATATATATATATATATATATACCATATCAAACATAGGCCATTTTTTTACTCATTAGTGAATATTGTAAATATTTATTATGCACCGTTTGCCCGCTACACGATTTTTTTTTTTTTACTGATATTTCATAAAAAGCGATGAGAAAAAGGTATAAGAGAAAAGGTTGGGGAGAAAGGCAAAGGGGAAAAAAAAATGTTGGACGGTATAATATGTGTTCTATTTTAATATAAATATGCAGGGACTTAATTTGTAGATCGTTTTGCACATACCACTACTGAGTCCTTATTCTTGTACTTAATTTTATTTAGGTGTGATTTATATCCTCATCCACCTTGTTTAACTCACCACACTCTGCCACAGGGTCGTAAGTAAACTTTTTTTATTTTATTAAATGAATAAAAATAAGAAATGTATATATACATGCGTAATAATATAATATGTATATTTTACGGGCGCTGCACCATAGTGTAAATTGTGCATTTCTTAATGAGCCGAAAAAGAGTGCGCAACACTTGTAGGTTAAAAAAATGTAAATAAAAAAAAAAGTACATAAAAGGGAATAACAATTTGGGTAATATTTTTTTATTGAATAATATACATTTATATGTACGTAATATATGTACGTAATATATGTACGTAATATATGTACGTAATATATGTACGTAATATATGTACGTAATATATGCACGTAATATATGCACGTAATATATGTACGTAATATATATTTATGTATACAGATATAAATGTACGCATTATATACACTTATATATATACGTACGTAGGTAAACACTGTCAAAGGCGCCTTCTTAACTTTCCAACTCATAAATGTGAGTGATAATAAGTGTACGAGTGGCTATTTATCATTTTCGGCCTTATGCACTCTTAGAGTAAAAAAACATTAACCCCACAATAAGAAACAAAGGAAGCAAACGTATAATATTTTATATTTGTGTATACGTAAAATGCTCAAGGAAAAAGGGTTTAAAAAAAAAAAAAAAAAAAATATCAAAATTGTTACTTATGCTTATACGCATTTTTAGTGATTTCCCTTAAGAATGCGCAATATATTGTACAACTAAAAAAAAAAAAAAAAAAAAAAAAAAAAGGTTGAAAAATTTATATATGTATATACTTTTTTATCAACTTAAGAAGAGTAAAATAAATATTGCTTTCACCCTTATTTTTTAGAAAACAAAATAAGGAAATATTTTATCAAGAATATATCATTTTTGTATATATATATAATATATATGTATTATACATACAATAAATACACCGCATACATATTGAGCATTAAAGAAGGTCATTTTTTCACAATTTCATCAAATATATATTGTCACAATAGTAAAAAATGGGTAAGGCAGGAAAGGGAACAGGATCCTTTGGTAAACGAAATGGAAAAAGTCATTTTCTTTGCATAAGATGTGGAAAAAGAAGTTATCATTTACAAAAAAAAAAATGTTCTTCATGTGGATATCCAAGTGCCAAAAAGAGAAGATTTAACTGGTCTGTCAAAGCCAAAAGAAGAAATACTATGGGAACTGGTCGATGTAGATATATTAAAACACTTAGGAGAAAGTTAAAAAATAAATTTACAGAAGGAAGCACACCAACACCTAAGCAAAGATAATATCAAAACAGTTGTCACACGGAATGGAGTTTCCTATACAACTAATAGTGTTTAGAACAAGTGTCCAGTGTAAATGCTTTTTCATGCGGTAAACGTAAAAAAAATAGAGATGTTTTAAATTATGCTTTATTATGTGTGTGCTTTTTTTTTTTTTTTAAAAAAATTAGTGCATTGAAGATTGTGAATATTAGAAGCACAAAGTGATCTAGCTATTTATTCTTAGCACATTCCTACGTCCTATGTATAATCTTACGTTTGTATCCACAAATACTTACACACATCTTTATGCACATATGTATAAATGTGTGTTTATCTATTTGTGAACTACGGATATGTCGTTATCATGGATTCAAGGGTTCGGCTTTTACAGAATGAAGGAAACGAAGCCAATACTGAATATTACTGTCTATGTGTGAGATGAACAATTTTAAATTACGCCCAGATGGTTTTGTTTCTTCGTGGTTTTATATATATATATATGTAAGAACATATATTGATATGTATAGGTGCATATGTGTATATATATACTTATATAACTCCCGTGGTCAAACGGGATAACTTTTTTTTTTTTTTTTTTCTGCATTTTTCATGCATATTACATCTATTATTTTTTAAATTAACACATTTAAAAAACATAAAAAAAAAAAAAAAAAAAAGAAATCAAAATCTGTATAGAATCACAAAAAAAAGAAAAAGAACATGCATTGACAAAGGATGGTAGTGCGTTCTTTTGACACGATAACGGCATTGCAAAAAAAGAAAATAATAAAATAATAATAATTAACAAAATTTCGTAACAATTTTATAAGGAACGAGAAAATCTTCATAAACCATGTGTTCTTCAAAATGAAACAATATGTAATTTTGTATATGTATATACAAGAAGGTGAAAAAAGGTTCATGTTTTCTTTTTTTAAGGGTTAATAAAGATAGCTACATAATATATAAGATTTACTTCAAAGAGTGTTCACACATGGAAAATTGTTAGTCCTATTCTGTTATTACTTCTTATCTTTTATAAATATGTAATCCCGATGGTCAAACAAGTGCTTGCAATTAATTTTATAGTCTTTTTTTTTTTTTTTCATTCCGTTTCATTCTTTTTCATTCTTTTTCATTTTTTTTTTTTTTTTTCTAAAGATCTGAAAAAAAACTGACTTAACATTAAATGGATAAACGAAAACGCCACGTATAGGATGTCAAGTAGCGTGCTATACCAGTTCATACAGGGGGGAAAAAAAATAAAATAATACAAAATATAATAAAATATGGAATCCAAAATAAGGACATATTAATATATTCAGATAGATGCGCAATCTTCCTTCTTAGTTTAGCGCTTTTCACAAATATAAAAAAGGCTGTAAAGCATGAATTTTATGATTTGAATTAAAATAATTTCTTAAAACGTGGGCAATAACTACGATTCTGCTAAGAAATTGTCTACTGTGGTAATTATCATCTTCATTTTTCTGAAAAGGACAACAAAATATGAACAAGAAAATTTACTGAATCCAAATGATTATTTTTTTTTTAGGCACTTTAGGAGAAAGTTGGAAATGTGGCAATTTTCAATCTACACAGTGGGGGGGAAGAAGTCAAAATAAAGAAATGGGTCAAAGTAAAAAAATGAGACAAGGTAAAGAAATGAGTTCAGATAAAGAAGTGAAAAATCAACATCGAAACAATAGCACGTGCTGTCAGGGTAGAACAAAATAGCACACAAAAATGTAACCTTCCTTGCATATTTTTGATGAGATAGTTGATAATGGCAAAAAAAAAAAAAAAAAAAAAAAAAGGAAACTTTGCACATGTAAGTATACATAGTTTCCTCCGCAGGTGGTCTTATTTTACTCTTATTTTTCTTTTTTTCTCAAATGTTACCTTGTCTATGTCATAATCCCGATCAAAAAACCGAACTTTGTTTGAATCCTTGAAGTACTCCTTTTGGTTAGTCTCCCTACGAACGCCATTTCTGCGTGAGACACTTTTTCTTTTTTGACTGGCCGTCAGATCCTCGCTAAAACTATTAGAATTTATGATAATTTCTGATATCTTTTCTTCTTTTCGTAGAACTTTTTTTCGTACATTTATTATGATTTTTTTTTTTTTTTTTTTTTTTTTTTTTTTAACTTGCGTAATGTCGTCCTGAATCTGTATATCATCGTTAGATTTAGTGCTCATTTTGTGATTTTCAACTTTTTAATATATTTCTAAACAGATAGAAGTGGCGTCACTTCAGCAACTTCAATTACTTAGTTCGCGTGTGTATAAGTGCAAGGGAGTATATTCTACATGGGACAGAAAGGGTTTTCAAATAGATACAAACGTCGTTATAAAAAAAGTAGGTGCGAGACAAATAGCACTCATATGTGCGCAAGCTTTGGATGTCTAAATAGAAGACTTTTAAAGAATTGTTATTTTGTCACAGAAAAAGAAATATTTTAGTAGAATTAACCTATTGATAAATTATTTAAAAGTTATTTTATTTTTTTCGCGGTTGTAAAAATTGCAACTTTTTTTTTTTTTTAATTTTCCCCATGCACTGTGCGTGTAAAGGCGTCGTAAAAAAAAAAAAAAAAAAAAAAAAAAAAAATGTGTTTTTAATTTGCAACATTTAATCATTTTTCATGTTCATATGTACCCAAATGAACATGTTAACTTATGAAAGTTTAACCTTGTCGAGAAAAAAATATTTTTGCAAAGGGAAGAAGAAAATCTACAATACAGCTACACAGACGAGATGTTTCCTTCCCCTCGCACGTGAAAAAAAAAAAAAAAAAAATTACGATCATTCTTTTTAGAGGTGTAAAATTAACACATGCGTGTGTATTATTACAAATATGTGTAAAAAAAAAAAAAAAAAAAAAAAAATTAAATGCAATACAGTACAATACAATGAAGGAAAGAAGTCATGAACGAATGAAGGAAAAGCGGAAGAACACATGATATAGTTATACAGACAGTTAGGAAATCCGTGGAAATATTTTCACTAATTAATTTTCTTGTAGCTACTTGAGCTGCCTCTTTTTTCTATTCTCCTCACTGTAACACGTGCGAAATTTCTTCAGTTCATCTTGGCATTTTGCCCATTTTCTAAGTGAAAAGATATCATGTATACACAGGATGAAAAGTGGGAAGGTCTATACAAATGGGTTATGTGCAGAAGAACGGGATCGTAAAATAATCTGTGTTTATTAATTACGCAAGTCTACCAACATATCCTACACATGTAAAAACGCGTTTCTGAAAACTATGGATTCTTTCATTTTCTCGACAATCGAACCTGTCATATGTGTTCAGACATTCCAATAGCATACTATATTGACTTTCACATTTTGTCACCTCAGTTTTGTCATCTACATATTCATCTAACATAAGAAGTAGGGTGTATCAGTATGGGGAATAATTAACACTGAGCGTGAATGCACATTTCAGGATGGAAGAAGTAATGAGAATAAAAAATATGTGAGTATAGCACAGAACAAATGCACAAAAAAGAAAAAACAACAACATCCAAAAAAAAAAAAAAAAAAAAAAAAAAAAAAAAAAAAAAAAAAAAAAAAAAAAAAAAAAAAAAAAAAAAAAACAAAAAAAAAAAAAAAAAAAAAAAAAAAAAAAAAAAGAGTTATATACACATAGTGCTAATTAGTTAAGCTAATAATGAAATAAAAAGGGAATAACTAATCTTATATGTAATATTACTTAAAAGTTCTTTCATTGTTTTGTTCTCTTTTTAAAAAAAAAAAATAAATAAACCTCTGAAACAGCAAAAATAAGCTGTGAAAACAACTTGTACAGTCCGGTTTTTCCTAGTCACACATTTTATTCTCTCAAAATGGGTGATAATTTTTTGTCACTGAAATGTTTTGGATTTATAGTACTCTTTTTCCTTCAAAAAAGAGAAGAAAAAAAAAAGAAAGTTGTGCTTGTGAATAAGCCTATAATTACCTATGCCTTATTTATTTAGGTTGGTACTCCTTATGGAAGATAAAATTCGGGTGTGCACATAATGTTTTTTTTTTTTTTTTTTTTTTTTTTTTTTTTTTAAATTAATACGCAGTATTCTTATTCGGGAAATTATTGATACAAGGGATCTGGTGTTCCCATTCATGCTTGTTCTGGAAAAAGAAAAGAAAAAAAAAAAATAATAAAACAAAAAAATGAATGAGTGAATGAACTCAAAACAGCATATGAAGCATAAAAATAACATAAAATATAGTGAGGTGCAAAAAAGAGAATAAACAATAAAAAGCGCATAAGAAAACAAATTACAACTTCCAGAAAAAAAAAAAAAAAAAAAAAAAAAGTCACTACATAGTGAAAGGAAATTGCACAAACCGAGATGTGCCCATTGAAAACAAGACTCTCTCATATAAGGATAATTTTGACAGAATGATAAAATTGACATAATAAATGTGATAGATGGTGTAATTCGATGTTTAAGTAGGAGAATAATTTTTTTTTACAAATGTGTGTAAATAATAACACTCTCTATTTTGTATATGAATGTAAAGTCACAGATTTTTTCCTTAATGAAAGTGAAAAGTCAAATGGAAGTTACATGATTGAATGAATATAGCATAATACAATCCTGTAGCACACACATGAGTGTAGGTTTATGTATATACATGAGTTCCAATCCTTTGGCATTCGCGTGAGAAGGTTTATCTGTAGTATCGCCTTATATTTTAGTACCTAGACATATATAGCAGCTGTGTATAAGCATCTTAAGAAGGCAAGGAGGGAGGAAAAGAGAGAGAGGAAACGGACAGGAAGGAAAAGGCTACTCGTTAGTGGGAAGAAATGTGATTGACAGTTTTCACATTTCTGCATAGAATGAGAAAAAGAATGCTGTTGTTGACAAACGGAACGTCGCTGCTCATGAGTAGCCCTAATCAAGGACCTCTTTTTTCTTGCCTATCACAAAATTGTAAGAACGAGGAACTTCTCGGTTATATGTGTGTGTTGCAGTTTATCACTATACAAATGAATCATGTATTTCTACCCTTTCCAGTTTACCCTTCTGGTAGCAGTTGTGATAAATTTCTTTTCTCACGCTTTGCGAAATTATAAGAAGTTTAGAGTGAAACCATATATACAAGTATGGAGAAAGAGTAAAAATCGTAGGTATTTTATTCAAAGGAGAAATAAAAAGAGAGAGTATTTTAGTGCAAAAAGAAAGAGGAAATTTAAGGGAGCCTTTGAATTATACAATGAACATATGAATGATTTGGGCGATATCCACGAGAACAATGGTAACAACAATGATGAAAGCAACAATGATGAAAGCAACAATGATGACAAGGATGATAATGATGAAGAAGATGAAATTTCATATGAAGAAATAGAAGAATATTTAAAAAAAAATAAAATAGAAGATAATTGTGAAAATTCTGATGGGAAAAAAGAAATTATAAATTTAATTAACTATATTCCAACTTTGAAAAATCAAGATGATTTTTTTTCCAAATTTGGATATTTTAGTAGTGAAAATAAATCGATGGAATATTATTTTAATGAAATGAAAAATTTGAAAGAAAAAAAACAAAAGAAAAATCACAATATTCTTAATTTTATCTTGTCTTATTATTTGAAAAAAAAAAATACAAATGATACAAACTCCTCTTTGAAGAATTACAAAAATATACACTCCTATTACTACTATCTAAACGATGTTATAAATAATCGAATCTCCTCTTTTCCCGTTTCCAGTGGTATGTCAATGAGTGCGCATGGAAGGTCGTGCAAGTGTATGCTATTGCATTTCTACGTGTGCAAAGATCCATGCAACATTTAACTACACTCAAAGGGAAGGATCGTCAAGGAACAGTCATCCCCCTCCCCTGTTCCCTTAGCTATGTCATCCAAAATGAAAAAAAAAAAAAAAAAAAAATATATGTATATGTACATGTATATGTATTGCAACTTGGGTAAATGGATACACGTATATATATGTACTTATATATGTTCTTGTATATGTGCTTGTATATGTGCTTGTATATGTGCTTGTATATGTGCTTGTATATGCGCTTGTATATGTGCTTGTATATGCGCTTGTATATGAGCTTGTATATGTGCTTGTATATGCGCTTGTATATGAGCTTGTACACGTATATGTACTACATGTGTATGTTTTTTTTTTTTGTTCACTCCTCATTTTTTTTTTTTCAGCCGAACCGGCGAAAAAGGACAACATATTTTCGCGGAAGACCTTATGCAACTTTATTTCCTTGTACTTAAAAAATGTAAACATAATAAAGTATGTGTCCTTTTTTTGCGTTAGTGGAATAATAACACTTTCGTTAAAGGTGCTTATAAGAAATATCAAGCTGGAGGATATTTTTCTTCTGAGGAATCATTTTAATTTAATATATTCATTTAAAAATATGCATGTTTGTAAAATAGGGATATTTTCCTTATTGTTGAATTTATTGTTTATAAAAAGTTATAATCAATACTTTTGTGTTACTGAAGATTTGTTCGGAATTTTATTTACAAACTATTTTTTCTATGAAGGAATAAGCAATTTAAATAAAAAAAAAATGGAAGAATTTATGGACAAATACAACTATACTCTAGATGATGTTTTGAATTCTTTAAATGATATATTTTCCCATTATATATACAATCAAATATATACAGTTGAAAAAATGGATCAGGATGATATTGTTTTTACTCTTAACTCTTTTGTGTCTCTATATCATAAATTATTTCGAAATAATAATGAAAATATAAAAAATATTATTACTCATGTCATAAATAAATATAATACATATTATGTAGACAAGGATGAAAAAAAAAATGAAATTCTTTCTCGTATTTTTTACATTTTCTATTTGATCAATATTATGTTTAAATATAAAATAGATTCAGTGGAAAAGCTCAACCTTCACAGGGAAAACAATCTCCAAATTCCATTTTTCGAAAAGAGTAACAAAATTTCAAGTTATTCTCTCTTATGTCACATCGCACAGCTTATGGGGGTGAGTTTATGCATTTTTGCACAAATTTAGAAATTCTACTTCTCCTTTTTTTTTATCAAGTTACATTTCTTCACAGTTTTTTCTTCTCTCTTAAACATCTTCCCTGGATAGTTCGGAAGTCACTTCACATAATTCCTTTGACTCATTTTTATATTTTCCCGCAGGTTAAAGAAAAATTTATCAATGACAAGATTCTAGAAAGGATGAAATCCAATTACGAATTTCACATTAGATCCATTCTAAATAAGAAGCAGTACTCAAATAACATCATAGATGATGTGAAAAAAATGAGTTTCATAACTCTTGATAATTCTATTTTGGAGCAAGTTCATTTTGATATTTTTGTTAATATGATTAAAAGTATTATTGAAGATGATAATTACGATCCCGTTTATTTTATTCCATCGCATAAAGAAAATAAAATTAAGTTGGCTCTGTCAAGAAATCATCATAGCAAGAAAGATAAAAATGACAAATTTGTAAATGTTGTGGATGTGGCAGATGAAGGGCCCGCGTCGAACGAACAGTCTGTGGAGTATAATAATTCAGATATAGGGAAGGAAGAATTGTGTAGAAATTCTGAGAAAGATACAGATTATTACATTTCTGATGACTATAGAAATGATGATGAAATCGATGAAGATGCTACTGAAATGGATGAGCATAGTGATAATGATAATGTGTATGAAGAGGAAAACGATTCTATAGTAGAAGATTCAGATGATAATATGTATAAATATCTGGAAAACATTGTGGAATATATCGTGAATGATGACTCGAGCAAATCTGAAGGTAGTAGTGAAAACAAAAAAGACAATATTGCGGAGAGAGAAGAAAGGGAAAATAAAGAAAAGGAATTATTTTTAAAAAAATGGAATGACATAAATTTTTTGAGAAAATATTTACATATTGACAAAAATTACACTGATAAGTATTTAGAAAAATATTTGTATGACTATATGTATAAGGAATATAAAATATTAATTAACAATTTAGTTTTTAAAAAACTGAAAAATAAAAATGATAATTTGTTCTTTTTAAAAAGAGGTATATCCATATCCAATCGTGCAACTGAAAATATTATAAAAAATATTATTCTCAATTTTGTAATTAAGACAAAGGAAAACATTGCCATATTCTACAAGTTGGAAAATATGCATAAATGTTTAAGACTTATAACCAATTTAATCAATGTTTATAAAAAAATAAAAAAAAAAAAAAAATTCTTAAAAATTGTTAGTGATGAATTTTTCAACCTCGACGACCTATTTTCGTGTAATTATTATAAACCACTTGAGCTTACGTATAAAGAGAATTCCATATTACGAGAAGGTGATAACTCATCCAGTAATCAGAAAGACAAACAAATTAGTGATAGAAGGGCTGGAGAACCAGACGGTCTACATGATGAAGTGGTAAAAGATCACATAGGAAAAACAGTGAATGAGGAACAACTTAATAAAGTAATAGATAATGATGTTGATATAGATCAATTTGAGGGACGTCACATGGATGGAAAACCTTTTGAAGAAGATTTCTCCTCGCAGGGGCAATCAGACGAAGAGGAATTTCTAAGAAGAATAATTAACAAAGATGAATTGAGAGGGGAAGAGAATGAAAAAGATATTATACTTAGCGAAATTGCTAGTAAAAGGTTGTACGAAGAATTTGTAATAAAGCATATGAAAAATAAATCAGAAAGGAAAATATTTAAAATAATTTTTAATTTAAATTATGATCAAGTGGACAGAGAAGTAGAAGATAACATTATAGGAAGATTTTTAGAAAAAATATGCACAAAATGTTTAAATAATTTAACAGAAATAGATGATAATTTAAAAATTATAGGAAAAGAAAACTTGTTTGATTATAAAAATGTTAATTTTAAGGGTTTTATAGAGAAGGAGAAATTAAAACGTGGTTACAAATATGAAAAAAATGAACCACAAGAAGGAGCTATGAATGCCAACATTACCATTCGAAAAGAAGACATTTTTGAACACATTGATGATGAATCATTTGAAGAATTATGTAAAAAAATGTACATTAAAAAAGTGAAAGAAGTTAAAAAAAATTTGTACAATAAGAGAAAAGAATTGTACTTTTACGAAATTATACTTAATATAAAAAATGCACAAGAAATTCATAACATATTCCTTATTGATGAGTATGAAAAAATGATTAATGACATTATAAAGACAAATATATTGAATAAGAATTATAAAAATATAAAAAATTTATATTTAAAAAAAATTATTAATTTTTTAAATATAACTGATGATAGGGCATCTGATGTTGAAATACACTGTATTTTTAATCAAACCAATGAAATATTTTCCGCTATCAAAGAAAATTTTTATATATACAGAAATGATTCTGATTTTATCAATAATATTAATGAAATATTAACTATTTATAAAAATTTTGATCTCATATGGGAAAAGGGTCCATACTATTATTACGTCAAATTTGCTCTCATAGAATCAAATTACAATTTCATCTATCGAATGATTGAACGATATGTCCTTTATGTTATTGATTTGATTAATAATGAAAATCGGACTCTCTACAAGGAAAATATTTTTAAACTGGTGGCAATTTTTCACGTGAATCACACAGTCATAGATGAAATTGCCACACGTATATACAAGGTAAGCTTTCTTAATGCTTAAAGCATGTAGGATTTTCCTCAACTGCAAAATGTGAGAAGCAGAAAAGGATATTATCCAAATTGAATGTATAACATCCTTTTCTGCTTCTTCAAAGTATTCTTACGCCTAATGGTACAATAGGTGTGGGGTATACGCACTCTACACCCGAATTTTTTACTTCTTCACCAATTTTACTGATTTTTTAGAAATATATCGAAAACGAAGATTTACATGGAATCAATAATATGGATTCCTTCTTTAGTTTCTTATTTAACATGAGCAAAGAAAGGCAGAGCGAAATGGTTTTGGATTTTTTAAAAAAGAAAGTAGATACTCATTTAACCTCCAGCGAAAGTTTCCAGGAAAAATTCCACAAAATGTACAATTTGTTCACGTACATAAACAACAACATGAATTTGAAAATGAATATCTTTGACTTGTCTTCTGCGAGTACAGATGGGGTATATTCTTTTCTAAAGACGTGCATAGATGAATACCTGCATGTGAAGAAAGCGGAAGTCTTCATTTCAGAACATCGTAAGAGGCATTTGTGTTTCATGTGATCGGGACATTTGCCATTGAGTCGAACTTATTTTGGGAATGCCTTAATAATTCCACACACACATATATATATATATATATATATATATATATATATATATATATATACATACATGTACATGCGTATGTATATATGGAAACGTAGGATGGCCTACTCACTAGATTATATACACCACATCACACATACCCATTTTGAATATCTCCTCTTAACTGATAGGTGATTACATAAATCAGCTGAACAATTTTTTAAGCAAAATTAAGACGCTTATAAAAGGGGATCAAGAAAATACACATCTGAATCACATCTTGAACCTTTTGTAAGATCCCACAAATTTCGTGTTCTATTTATTTTGCTAACACGTGTGACGATAGGGATCCGTCATGATTCTATAATATGCATGCACACGTCCCTGTGGGGATGGGGTGGGGAGCCATATTGGTTCTCATTTATTGTTATATTATTTCTTTCTTTTCATAATTTTCTGTTCTACTTTTCATTATTTTATTTTCTATCTTACATTTCCCTTATCCCTTTGAAGGAAGAAAGAAACTATTAGGAAAGCCATCGACCTTTTGGACAAATTTAAATATGACGTAAGGAATTTAATGGAGGGAGAAGAAGTTAAATTGTGCACCTACATTTGTATATATTACTTTGTCTAACTCGATATGATGAGCCGACTAGAACACGTCAAAGATATTTAAGTTATTTACTCTATGTGTGCGTTTTACAATTATTACCCTTGTTTGCAATCTTATAAAACCTGTGAACTGTGAACACCTTTTTTTTTTTTTTTTTTTTTTTTTTTTTTTTTCCCTCTCTCCCCATGATAGATTTGCGTGGAAGAAATTTACAACCTCATTAAATTGCAAATGATTGACAGTAACATTAACTTCTCAGATATAGATATTGAGAAAAGGAAAAAACTGGTATTGAAGCATTTTTTTTTTTTTTTTTTTTTTTAGTACATATGTTATACGTATAATCACATACATGAAGATTTTTCATTTACACAGAAAACATAAGAATTCTGAATATATTAATACAATGATAATATTTCCCTCCTCCTCTTCCTATCCCCCCTCCTATGCCCTTTTTTTTTTTTTTTTTTTTTTTTCATTCAGATAAATATATTTTCTTATCAAAACATTAGCGATGAGAAGAAATTTCTCTATTTGGATATTTTGAACAAGTAAGCATGAGAAATATGAGAAGAAACATGTCTATGCACATGCGTTAATCTTTTCATTATACAAAAATCACAACAGTTTTACACATTCCCAATTTGCACTCCTTTCTTTTTCTTTATAGATCCTTATTGTGATTGTAGCTATATTTTTCTAGGGTTTATATATAGCAAGCTCCTTGCAGTTGCATAGGCTTGTGTGTATTTTTTCCACGTCACAATGTGTGCTTGTTTGATTGTCATAAATGAGAAAAATAATCAAATGGTATGCGCAAACAGGGCCCAATTATATAGCCGTAAAAATGCACACTTATATTTGTTAATGGTAAATTTTCTAAATAATGCAGTAAGGGATCGATAATTCTTGTGGTACAAGTTTTGCATCTTTCAAATGTTCACTTCACAGTGTCCACGTGAATGTATATATATGTATATATGTATGTAATTTTTTTTTTTTTTATCGTGATGAAGGAAAAAAATGCTCTTTTTATAGTACGTAACTTGGGTATGCGTGACCAGTATGGGCAAAAGAAAAAAGGAGATTTAGGAGAAACTTAAAAAAAGGACTTTATTTTCTTGTTCCTCTTTTTTAATATACATTTTTACACCTTTAACCTTTCATATTTGCATATTTGACTCATCCATTTTATTTCTTTTGGTCGTATCTTGCATACATACCTGTTGGGATAAATATTTTAATCCCAATTGTTTCATTCGATTTTTTCCTTACAACAGTTTCGGTTTCTTCTTGCGTATCTGCATTTTGTTTGATTTGTTTTTTTTTTTTTTTTTTTTTTTTTTCTGTGACAACTTTTAAATGGAAAAGCTGCAAAGTGCTACATTCCATGGAAATTTTCTTCCCGTGAGGAAATTATTTTTTTATTTCAACTGTTAGTTGGTACTTTGCTGCATCTGAGCATTCAGATCAGAATCCACCAAATACTTAATTTTACCCAGTATTTCACTGTTATATATATTTTCATATTTTCCATAAAACCTGGAAGTTGTGTCATATAATATTTTAAATGCATTAATATCATCGAAAAATCCTTTTCTATATTCGTCATTGCTGTAATCTGAACAATCATCATCGTCATCATCATCATCATCGTCATCATCGTCATCATCATCGTCTTCATCATTTTCATTCATACCTACTCCTCCTCCTTTCTGAGTTAGTTGATCATTGGTATTTAAATGCTTGTTCATATTTTTGTGACTGTATGTAGCATTGTGACAAGTTTTGTCAGCAGAATTGGGATCACTGTTCATGTGTTGTTGTTGCACAAGTGTATCTAACTTGTTCAAGTCAACATTTTCTTTTAATTTAATTTTTAAATCGTTTTTTTTTTCTAAAGCTTCAATTGTTTTAATTAATTTGAATGCTTTATCATTTGTTGCATCTTCATTTTCATCAATATCAACTTCGCTATTTTCATCACCAGAAGATGATTCCGATTCAAATGATTTTTCAGATGATTCTTTTTGTTCATTTTTGTTTTCAAAATATGCATTTGCAATATTGACAATATTTACGATGAAAGAATTTGCTTCATTAATGTGCATGCTGATACTTGCATTGTGCATGTTATCTAATATGGTACTCATAGCTAAAATGTATAATTTTCTTGTGTTATTTGTTTGTACATCGGTTAAGTTTGATAGGAATGATAAAATATAGCTAGTCTTGTTCATATTGTTATAAAAGAGAAAAAATTGGTTCACGTCGTAGATTATTATGGAATAAAATAATTTTTTTATATATTCAAGACTCGTTCTACTTAGTATATCTTCATCATATTCGCTGCATATGCTATCTGCTCCATCTCTGTCATTACTACTAGGGTTAATGCTACTACTGTTGTTGCTATTTTCCATCATGGATTCATTTCTATTTTTTTTTTTCTGATTCATCAATGCAGATGCCTCATCATGCTTAAACAGTTTTAGAGAATATGCAGTGAGGACTGGAATGACCAATTCGTCTACGCCTCGAATTTTGACCGTTGCTTCAAATAAAATAAAAAATAATTTACAACTATCTTTAACTATTTTAGAGTGCAATGCAAATATACCTAATCTGTATATCATGTGGATGTATTTCATTCCATATCTTTCGCTGTATATGTTAACAAAATGTTCAGTGGCTTTTGATATGATGTTATCAAATACTCCTATGCTAAAGGATAAGTCAAATATAAAATCGTAAAAGTACATATCTGTGTTTTTATCAGAACGTATCAAATCGGTGCTTAATATCAAGTGTGGATTATTACGAATACAATCTAGTTCTTGCAATTTTAAATTTTCATCTGTGTTGAAGTAGAAAATATCATAGAGCTTTTCAAATCGCATATATATCTGTTCGTCTATATCCAAATAGTATGTAATATTTGTTAGAAGTGAAAGTGCTTCCTCCAAATAATCTATAGATGGAGATTTAAACGTTTCATCTACTACAATGTATAAATAAGGCATGGTGCTTTTATAAATTTGTTCTTTGTTTGCTTCATCTACTGAATCCAGTAGACTCAAAATAGCTGTCAAAATGGAAAGTATGACAGAATTTAAATCTAGTTCTTCATTTTCATGTCTCTTTTCCTTTTTACTGATATATTCATCATCATTCGGGAATAGATATTTATCCTTTTTCAATGCATAATCATTCATATGGTTTGACAAATCTGTATTATGTCTTAGATTATCCTCTAATGAATTGCGTGAATTTTCCTCCTCATCCTTTTTGTTAATTAGAAATACAAAACTTGTACACAATGTGATAACTACATCATTGACATATGGAGTTATATAGTCCTTATATGTGTAAGCTAAATTGTCGAGCGTCATAACAATATATTCACATTTTACCTCTTTTATTATATTCAATAAACGTTCGATAAGTATAGGAATTGATTTTATAATAACATTTTTAAGATAATCATTTTTTATTTTGAAAAATTTTTTAATATAAGATGCACTAGCTACGCGGATTAACAAATTAGCATTACCCATATGATTCAAAATAATTTCGTAATTGTATACAAGCCCGTTTACATCGTTAAATTGTGTTACCTTCTTAATAAAACAACAGTATGTGACAATCGATTGATAGCACAATAAAAGGTTTGGACTATTCAAATCATTTTCTACGTAAGTCTTTAGAAATTGTTCAATATTCATATTTCTCTTCTTATCACACAATCTACTGTATAAGCATTCCAAAATTTTAAGCGCTCCATATTTGTATTTGCAATATTCGTTTCGAAGCAATTCTTCCAAAAGTGTTTCTTGATCACATCGTCCTGAGGTAAAATTGTCGTACACGACATGATAGTTTTGGTTGTATGTGCTTATGACATTTTCACAAAGATGGAACAACTCTGAAATGTGCTTCATTCCTCGATATCTCGTTAGATCTTTTATAAAAGTAGTTGCACTAACCTTTTTATCCTCTACAATGTAAGTGTTAAAAATGTTCATTGTGAAGTCATACTGATCGCATAGTAATTTTTCTATATCATCATCATTATAACAAAGTAGTGGGAAAATGATATTTTTCATAAGAAATTCGAAATTGGTTTTGATATAATTTTTATAAATTATAGCATTTTCAACACCATACGATAATCCTTGAATGACATAAATCAAACATTCATCAGTTAACGTTTTTTTATTTTTATGATAACTTTGAAGGATAATTATGAAATCTTCAAAAAAGGGGCATAGCCATTTGTTTAAAAATGCATGACAAAATTTTTCCGTTATTTCATTGTTACATTTGTTATAATTTGTATTTACGTATCGAGAAAAAAGGCATGTTATAATATTTAGTACTATTCTTTTACATTTATATTGTGGTAATTTTTTTAAATAATTTTCATCTTCAATATAATTGGATATAACAATTTCATTTTTTAAAATAAAATCAAAGAGGCTAAAATAGTTATCCATATATTCTAATATGATGACTTCATTAATAAAAAAATTGTCATTCACATACTGATAAATTTTACAAATAATGCTGAGAATTTCACTCACGTCATTGTTATTTATGTCTACTGAACTTAGGTCGTACAGACAGTTAATCAACGGATAGAAATACTTGTTTAACATTTCTCTATATAATTCATTATTTTTTTTTTTTTTTATTTTTAGCTTTTTAAATATCAATTTCAGACAGTACAGGCTAACATACAATTTTCTCACATCTTTTCTCTGATTAATATCGTTTAATATATTGTCCAAAATTACGAAATCTTCTGGAAAACTATTATGTATTAATATTTTCATAATTTCAAACAATTGCGTGTATATTTGTTTATCTTTCATTTCAAGGTAGAGGAAACTATCATATATATCCTTTGTCAGCCCACATATTTCTTCTTTCTTTAACGTCTCATAGTTATTTTTTATTGTATTCTTTAAAAAAATCAAAGCACATATTCTTATATTATCATCCACAACATTCACACTCTTCACAAGTTTTAAAATTACATGTATGTACCCTTCAACTTTACACACCTGTTTCAGATACTCCTCACATTGTGTTCTCTTTTCCTTCGATGCACTTATGGATCCTTCCAGCACTTCACATAGTTTCTCAGTACTTAATATATCATTCATGATTCAAAGTAAGAATTATTCTGGGCAGTATTCGTGGTGCCCTTATGTAGGGGGAGAATACAGTAGTAAATGTGAATAAAAAACAGACTTTAATTTTTTCAGCCTCCTTTCAGGTGTATCTTATTTAGATGCATAAATTTAGAACACAATCTTGTTCTTGAAGAGAACATTTCTCTTACATGCTCAGGTTAATGCAATGGGTCACCTTTATAATATAATTTGCGAGGGAAATTTTCACCTTTTAGAAATTTTGTTACTGTAATAGAAAAAATGGAAATACTGGCGTACGATTAGCAGGGAGAGAAAGTTGTGCTATTTATAGTGAATGGATTACAAATACAAAAACGGAAGAACGCGAGTAGCTACTATATCCTTGTTTTAATAAATGCAAGATGGATTTAAAAAAAAAAAAAAAAAAATGCCTATTTTCTTCACGTATATGTAATGTACCATTCTGCATATATGTATAAATGCATACTTTTGAAAAAATAATTTTGGAAAAGCTACCAAGCACTTTACGGTCTCACATGCATAAATGTACAACTGAAACTTCTTCTATTTTGCTACACCTTTTCGCTTATTTGTTGAAATGTATGAGAAAACTATGTTCAAAATGGGTTTATAAATATGTTTTTTTGTTCCATGGTTATTTTCATAGTTTTTTTTTTTTTTTTTTTTTTTTTTTTTTTTTTGTGTATCGCGAATTTTTTCTCAAGTTAGCAAGTGGGGAGTAAATGCTGTGCAGCACAGTTCCATTCAGTTCAGTTGATGTGTCGTTTCCGTTTTTTCTTTTTTTCTGAGGTGTACTTTATTGTAAGTAAATTACATGAATATGTAATGAATTCTCAGTATATGCGCTTATTTCATTCTCACCATAAATAATGTGGAAAAATAGGAAAGTGCGTGAAGAAATAAGCCATGTTTCATCTCGTTCACCTGGGATTAACTTTTTTCAACATATATATATATAAATGTAATAAAAATGTAAGCCATTGTTAAAATATGTAAATATACAGCGGGGGTTGGGGGCGAGAAACGAGGAAGCGTAAAAAAAAAAAATATGTGTTTGCTTGCAGAAACAGCGGGAAGTTGGGCTAATTTTGGTACGAGAATATTGTGTGAATAGTTGTGTCATGGTAATGTAAAGCTCAATTTTTTTCCTTTTTTTTTAAAGCAGCTTGGTTTCTTCTTTTATACAAAATGGTGTATGTATGTATTTTCTGGATATTTTTTTTTTTTTTTTTTCGAGGGTTTTTTCGTATCCTTTTTGCGCAAATTTTAGGGACTTTTTCTTTGTACGCAAATTAGGATCATTTCGGTTCACCTAGGTATATTTTGTTCATTTTGCCACATTCGCAACATTTGCCACATTTGCCACATTTGCCACATTTTTACACATTTTGACACTTCAGGATTTTTTTTTTTTTCTTCTTTCGCCTCCAGCACATACATAAGAGGTGTGCCATAAAAAAAGAAAAAAAAAAAAAATTGATAAAATTAACGCCTGTTGCGTGTAGATAGATATTTCACCATGCATATATGTATTTATGTTTGCCACAACTGTTTTGAAATTTCCTTTCGAATGAATGTAAGATATATTTAAAAAAGGAAAAAAAGAAGAAAAAAAAAAAAAGAAAAAAAAAAAAGAACATTCTGTACAGAAAAGAAAACGTTACATCTATTTTATTTATATTTTCATTTCTTAAAGAAGCAAAATCAAACATATATTGTATATACTTTTGAAACACTTTTGAAAAAGAACCAAAATAACAAAGATAAACATATACAAAAATTTTATATTGGGAACAGAGAAAATATAGGCCAGCGAAGTAATATCCCTTTGAAAATATACACATATATATAATACAATATATATGCATGCTGCACACATATACAGGATTATATATATTTGGCATATACATGTTACATGAGAACTTATTTCCACATAAGAATAATTAACATTAAACTTTTTTTTTTTTTTTTTTTTTTTTTTTTTGTTCATTTTAACCTTTTGCTTTCACCCTTTACACACAACTATTAGAATACCAAAATGAATAAATTTTTTTTTAACACCCTAAATTCATCCCTTTTTCAAAACTTTAAATTTAAAAGCTCATTTCTGAGCACGGGGTATTTCGCTGCGAATAGAAACATCTCGACAAGAATTAGTGGCACTTCTTTTTGCAATGAACTAAATAAGCCCAATAGCTTTTTCAAGTATTATCACACATCTCCATTCATCAATAAAACAGTTAATACTGCCAATTACAATGCTCTCCTTCAGGTAAATTTCGAAAAAGGAAGCCAAATACTATTGGTTTAGAGGGACCGTATAGATAGGGGATTTTTTTTTTTTTTTTTTTTTACCCACACCTACCCCTGTTAGCTTGCATAATGTCTAAGCACAAGCGTTTGTGTATATTGTACCGTGGATACTGTTATGTGAAAAGTGTTTCTAAAAATTGTTTCTCCATTTCTACGTTTTTTCTTCTTCTTTTTCTACGTTTAATTTTTGTTATTACATGATGTGCTTGCTTGCATGTTGACGAATTTACACATATATTTTTGTGTGTATGTTTGTTATGTGTCCCAGTTTTCATGACACCCAGCAAGTGACACACCTTCTGTTTAGTCAGGGGTTGGAAAACTTTTTTTTTTTTTTTTTTTTTCCATGTTCTTCCTGTTATCCTCATTTTCCCCATTTTTATTTTATTTTTTTTTTTTTTTTTCTCGTGATCACCCACTTTTACATATATAAAGAAGGACGAACGAAGTTGTGTTAACCAGAAGCTAGGAGTTAGACATGATAGTGGAATAGCAAGTTTGTCTGCAGCAATTGCTCTGATGTCCGTCGGTGGGGTAAGTAGTCAATTAAAGAAAAGAGAATGAGAAAAAAAATAAATACAAATAAAACAATGGAGCATTTTTTGAGAAATTGGGATTTATTAGAATTAATTATGATAATATATCAAAATATTGCAAAAAAGAAAAAAATAATAAAATGATACATAGCTTTGGAGGAGGGGGGAGGGGAAAAAAAAAAAATTCTCAAATCATATATAACAACCATGAAATACACCAATTTTAAACACTATAATTACGAACTATCTTTTTTAAAAAAAAAAAAAAAAAAAAACACTTTTCAGGTTGCACAAGGTATCGGAAATTTGTTTTCAGCCTTAGTGTTAGGAACTAGTAGGAACCCGTCAATAAAGGATGAATTATTTACGTATACTTTGATTGGAATGGGGTTTTTGGAATTCTTGGGTAATGCCTTTAGTGTACTTTTATTTGCTCCTTTTTGCAACATTTTTTTGCATATATTGTTGCAGATTTATTCTTCACAAGGGTCTCCCTTTTTTTTGAAAATTTTATCTCCAATTGTACATGTATCAAAATGGGACACACGATGTCGCAGTGTTATTCCAGTTTTCATGTGAAAATATATTATTTTTTTATTTTATTTTTTTTTATTTTTTTTTTTATCAGGTATTATTTGTGTCCTCATGAGCGCTGTTTTGCTATACTCATAAAAACAAATAAGTTTTCTGGGAAATTATAACATGAAGGCATATCATATGTATACATATATTATGATGTATTCAAAAAGAATATACATAAGCAATTTAGCAAACCTTTTAATTAAATAATAAGTTAAATATTTTTTATTTAATCACTTAAGTCACGTTATGTGTGTAACTGTTTAAAAATGCCATAGTCCAGAGCTTAAGAAGAAGCTCATATTTTTTTTTTTTTTTTTTTTTTTTCCACTCACGACATCCTTATTTTTATAAGGGACGATTATGTTATCGGCGTATCTAACTACATTTTAAACTGTGACTTTATTGTACATATATATATGTATGTATATATACATTTTATGTACCATTATGCCACTCATGTTTGAATAATAAGAAACAGGACAAGACGAAAGTGCACGAAGCAAAATGTGGTGCACCTAAATAAAACTCATTGTTCCTGAATAAGACAAAGTACACTTGCACTCAAATGAAATTTTAATCGTTATTGAAAAAGGTAAAAAAAAAAGAAAAGAAAATTGTTATTAAATTCCTGAAAAAAAAATTCATGTATAAAAACTTGATTCGTTGTTTTGGCCATTTTTTCTTATTACGTTGGAAAATGGGAAAAAATAAAGAATAATAATAAATAAAATAGGTGTTTAACATTTTCCTAGCTTTTCTTTTACTGTATATACAATAGGTGAAAATGGTATAAACATATGTATACTATGCACCCTTTGGCTATTTAAGATAAAAAAAAAAAAAAAAAAAAAAAAAAAAGAGTAAATTTTATTTCGTACATAAAGAAGCAACACTTCCAAGAGATAATTTTATTTGTACAGGAATTCCCTCATTTCTATTCCATTTTCATCCACATATGTATATATGCAAGTATGTTTTGAGATAATTGAATACATATTTGTACATTTTCATCACTAGAAATGAGCAAATGTAAAAAATCTTGTAGTGTCTTATGAGGAAATAATAGCTCCTAATTTTTAAGATAAATTCAGGAGAAAAAAAAAAATAAAATAAAAATGAAAATAAAGGAAAATATAATAAAATAGCGTTAACAAAAAAAAAATATCCAATTACAATATTATTTTCTGCGCAATGTTGAACAAGAGTCTGCTCTTCCTTTTTTACGTCCTTTACTTGTTGACCTTTTCGGACACATCCTTTTGTAAAACATTGGGTGGAAGTTTTTGTTTATTTAATGTAAACTTGCTTCAAAATAGGGAATGTTTAAAGGCGGAAAAAGAAAAAAAAAAAAAAAAAAAAAAAAAGACAAAATGAGTCTAATGTAAAATTCCACCATTTACAACCCACTTTATTCTGTGTCTGTATTTTTCAGGAAGATTTCATTCGAGAAAGACACAATGAGTTGAGATTGAAACACAACGCGGAGCCCCTGTTTTGGTAATCTTAATTCTCTTTAATTGTATTTACATATTATTACCTGTGCGTGTGTTTGCTTGTATTTATTGTAAAAGTGACGTAGTGGATATCTATATATCTATTCCCATTTTTATATCCTTCCCCATGCTAAGGAGCACACAACTGGAAAAGGCAGCAGATGATGAAGCCAAACTGGTTATTAAACTATTTTGCTAAGTTGTATCTTTTGCACAGTTGATAATTCTCTCACAATCAATGATGAAATATGTAACATAAATTTATACATTTTCGTATTTCGAATCTGTTTTCGTATAAAAAAAAAAAAAAGGGTTACATATTACATATCTACACTTTGAACTTTCCCACTATTTTATAGATAAAGGAAAACTTCAATTGCATTGTAATGATAAAACAAATAAATACAAATTATTTTACTATTTCTCCGAATAGCAAAAATGAATCTGCTGTAGATTCATGGTATGAGGGAATTAACAATTATGATTTTGAGTTAGGTGAGGAAAAAAAAAAAAAAAAAAAAAAAAAATCTAGCAAAATGGATAAGAAAAGCTTTTAGGATATCTAAATGGACGATGTATTTTACATCTTTATGTTGTTTCTTTGAGTTTTGGAAAGAGTTGGTGGTACTTAATTTTGCATGCTTCTAACAAAATATATGCAAAAAAGAAAAAAAACGAAATGATTAGATATATGAAATTATGTAACCATGTATTAACATAAAATAGGTTTGCCTCCTTTTTGAAAAAATGAGAAAAACATTGATCTAATAAATATGTGTTAAAAAGCAAAGACAAAATTATGGCACTGTTATATCTACTCCCAATTTTTTTTGGTTTTCTTTTGCACTATTTCCGTTTCACAAGTCCATTTTGGAAACATCCCACTGAAGGATATTTTCATATACAAACTTTGTTTTCTCACCAGGACCCATTAACAGAGATGATGATAGAGTTTTTGAATTCACCAATATTGTGTGGAATAGCGCAGAGGTACTATGTACATGTGAATGTCCGTGTGCTTGTGCATATATTTATGTACATGTGAATGCCCTTGTGCTTGTGTATATATTTAAGTACATGTGAATGCCCTTGTGCCTGTGCATATATTTAAGTACATGTGAATATCCTTGTGCTTGTGTATATATTTATATACATGTACGCATATGCACACATGCACATATGCGCAATTTCAGTATACGTTAGAAATGTATAATTCAAAAAGGAAAACCAACAGAATATATCGAAAAAAAGGGTATCTTGTTAACACATGCATTTTCTTTTTAATCTTACAGCATATCGGTTGCTCTAGTGCCTGCTGCAGCAAGACGGGTGTCTTAATCTGTAAATATGATAATTACACGAACAGACCTGGTATGCACATTAAGTACATGAGCGCTAAAAAACTTTTTATTTATTTTTTTTTTAATAAGTGAAAATGGTGCCACGGGTTGAAGGAAAATAAGCAAATCATGGTTTGTGCTCAGTTATATTTTATTTTATATTTATTTTATTTATTTTTCTTTATTTTTTATTTTATTTGTTCTTTTTTCCTCTTTTTTTTTAAATAATTGAGCAGGCCATTTTTCTAATAACGTTGGGGTGATTGACGTAAACCACTTAAGCCAATAAAATGCATGGATTCAATTTTACAAAATTGCGTGATGCATTATTTTTTGGAGGGTCTATTATTATTAAGTTAACGGAGAATATATTCACTAATTGCTAATATTTGTTAGAAGATATTAAAAAGATGAACATATTTTTTTCTTTTTTCCCATTTTTGTAGCCAATGTTCATTTGGGAGGACTTTACTTTTGCGGCGGAAAAAAGACGATCAACTAGTGGTTAGGTCAAAATAGCCCCATCTTATTTTCCCTATTCTCATAAACAAATTCTTGTGTATATTTTTTCGAATAATTTAAAATATTTTATACACAAAAATATAAATAGGGAAATAAAATAAAAATATAACAAAAAACATATATTTAAAAATTTACTATTTGTATTAAGTATATATCATTTTATGTTGAAAAAAAAATAAAAAAAAAAAGGATGCTGCTTGGGATTATTAAACCCCCTCCCCCTCTTCTCTCACTTTTTTTTATTTTGTTCTTTTTCCACTTAAGTCGAAGCTACTCCAACTAGGTTAATTTAACTGTTTCACTCGAAAGTTTGTTTAATTTTGCTTAATTTTGTTTTGTGTATGTGTTTTTTTTTCTTTTTTTTTTTTTTTTTTTTTTTTTTGCTGCTGTTCATATTTTTTCGATGTAAAAGGAAAATACTCACCTTTGCTAATTATTTAGAAAAGTTTTCTCTATTGGTATTCCTCTTATCCCATAAGCAATCAGTGTTGGTAGGGGGAAACATGATTATACAACATTAATAGGTCCTCCCGTTTGTGTAAATATATATAAAAACATATGCAACATCGCAAGGCCCCTAAAAAAAAAGAAAATTCACAGAACTTTGTTAAAACTGTGGTTCACTATGTTTGTAGTTTTCCCTTTTTATTTTTCATTTTTTAAATTTAAGAATAATATATATGCTAATTTTCACAATTGTCGCCGTTTACCTACTGCACGGCAATGAGCACGTTCTGCCAGTACATATGGCATATAATATGTTAGATATATATGGATAAAAAAAAAAGGTTTACATTTATATGGACGTATTATGATAAAATAACACACCTTTGCTCGTGTTATTTTACTTAATTTTTTTTTTTTTTTTTTGATATTGCTGATTATGAAAATTTGTGCCAAGGATGTGGTATGTTTCTTCCCTCGCTCCAATTAATGAAGTGGAAACGTGTGTATATAGTAAATATTCTTTACTACGCTTTTAAAATTTTGCTCAGCATTGAAATTTCAACGATGAATATTTAATTTTGCGTATTGGAATCGGAGTGAATTGAGTTATAATAAATTGCGAATATGTTTTATTTTATATATATATAACCCCACTTCGTGTAAAATAGTAGTGATGCATTATAAGGGAATATGAACAATATTATCAAGTATTGATTTTTATATATTTATGAATATTAAAATTTATATAATAACACAATTTAAAAAAAAAAAAAAAAAAAAAAAAAAAATTTAAACCATCAACTTTGTTTCATTTCATTGTAAAAATCAAAAAATACAATTGAAAAAATTTCGCTGACCGAATATTTTTTTCCATATCTGTTCGTAAGAGCCAAGGGTATACTATTTTTATTTTTTAAAAAGGCTTTATTTAATTTAATTAAATTTTCTTTTCCAACTTTTTACTGTCCCTTTTTTTTAAAAAAATAAAACAATGGGTTGCATTCAAAACGTTCATCCGAAGAAGTACGGCCAAGGATCTAGGCAATGGTAAGTCAAAATAAAATAAAAAATAAAAAATAAAAGAAAAATGTATATATTGTATGACCTGTATATAAATATGGGATGAGGAGAGGTGTTGAATGAGGGAAGCTAAAACTGCTGAACTGAAGGAAACTGCAAAACAGTTGAAATGATTAAAATGCCGAAATGATTGAAAACGTTACAAATTGGCCTCGGCTATACTTGTGCAGAGGGGATGAGAGTAGGATGTCGTCTGAGGGACACATACCCCCAAACCAAGCAGCCCAACGCGAATACATATTTGGGAATACATGACACCATAGTATATATACCCAAGTGATGTGAGTGTATTTTTTTTTTTTTTTTTTTTTTTTTCACTTTGGTGTTGTAAGAAGATGCAGCGCGAAAAGGGGATGGAATTATGAGAGGCATATTTTACTATGCCATAATTTTTTAAGAAATGAATAATCGTATCATTACGAAAACACATTTTCATGATAATTAAAAAAATGTGAATAATTTGATGTTCATCATTATCTGTGAGCTCAAAGAAAGGGGAAAATGTCCATATAGAGTCTCATAACTTTTTCCCCCAATTTGTTTTCATACTTACTGAGTGCCTAATATGTGTATTCGTCCTCTTGTATTTCTCCACATAACGTTATACATATGCAACCTCTCATTTTTGCACCCGCTTCTTTTTTCTCCTATGCAGCCGAGTGTGCTCCAATAGACATGCCCTAATTAGAAAGTATAATATCAACATATGCAGACAATGCTTCCGTGAAAGGGCTGACATAATAGGTTTTAAAAAGGTACGTACCGCAATGAGAAGTATTTTCTTTCTTTTTTTTTTTTTTTTTTTTTTTTCTATCACTTGATATCAACATGATATTATGTGTACCTTATGCTTTTTTTAAAGTGCATATGTGCTGACGTAAGAACATAGTTCTGTTTATACACAAGCTTAATTTTTTTTTTTTTTTTTTTTTCCCACACTACAGTATAGGTAAATAAAAAAAAGAAAAAAAAAGAACAAGGAAAATGCTGAGAGTTTCTTCAGTTTCGTGTTGGAGAACTTACCCTAAAGGAGATATTTGATAGACGAAATAACTCTTTCCGGAATTTTTTTGAAAAACAAGATGAAGAAAAAATGCATATTACATATTATATACCTTACACATCCTGAGTTCATTAATTTTACGTATCATCTTAATGGGGAAGAGCAAAAAAAAGTTGAAAATGTCATTATGAAATAAGAAAAATTATTACATTAAATGAGGAAAAAATCGTATAGAAAGTTTTTTTTTTTTTTTTTTTTTTTTTTTTATATATATATATATGAAAATATTATACGTTAAAATTGGTTAGACCTGTTATATCTAATTACCACTGATACAGTTGTATAATAAATACACTTGAAAATGTGAGTCATGTTGTAAAATTCCAGTTTTGCTTTATTTCATTTTAGCTTGACGCACCTTTTTTTGCTAATATAAATTGAAGTGACTTTTTCAAAAATATTAATCAACATTTTTACAATTTAATAGAAAAAAAAAAGAAAAAAAATAGGTAGAAAATATTAAAATGTAACAAAAAAAAAATATTCGTTTAACCCCCCCTCCCCACCTATTCATATCATCGTATTTCATTGCTTTTTTTTTGTTTACTCCTGTTTTGGGTATATTGCCACACTAATAAAGCAAAACGGAAAATTTGCGCTCTTTTTTTAAGAAACTAAAATGAAAAAGGTGTATCAAAAAAAGAAAAAAATTCAACAGAAATAGGACTACTACTTTTGCACACATACTAGCTTTTATACAACACTCCTACACGCATCATTGTGTGAAAAGTTCATTTTACTTTTTCATTTTAACTGCTTCATCTTCATGCTATCATTTAATGGGTTAAAATAAAGAAAAATAAAATAAAAGATTTTTTTTATAAAACGTGGAGAAAGAACTAACATAATAGGGATCTTTTTTAACTTCATTAGCTTGACTGTTAGATGAAATTCATAGTCTCATTTTCTGACGCTACGCTAATCATTACTTTTACTGGTTTATGATAATAAGGGACTATCGAAAATGAAGTGCCACAAATGTATTAACATGCACACACATATGTATCATTATATATGTACATACAAACAATATACGAGTTGCCAAGTGGGTTATGCGTATATTGTTAAATAGCAATTTAGCTGACATCGGTACACGGTTAAAAAAAATGAAAAAAAGGCAGAAACAATGAATATGATTTGTGTGAAACACTTAAGTGTCGTCTTTCAAAATGCGACATACAGAAGTATTCATACTTTAAGAAAAGTAATAGAGTCAGGATTCTCCCCCGTTTCTTTATTTATTTTTCTCCCCTCTTCTGCAGCTATTATTTTTTCTCATATTTGGGGCTAATTTTTATTTACCCAATTATTCAGTTATTTTTACCCCCAATTAATGCAAAAAGGATGGCTAAAAAAAAAAAAAAAAAAAAAAAAAAAAAAAAAATGATAAAAAATTCTTCGTACATTCATAGCCTTGTAAAGAGGGAAAAAATAGTAAATTCTTGTACGTTTTTGTGCAGCATTTGTAGATCAAGGTCAATTTTAAGTAGTCGAAAATGGAATAGTACTATGACTATGGGAGGGGAATTAAAAATGGAAAGTGAAGGAAGATATTCTCGTAATTATAAAATAAGAACTAGCCATATTGAAGACGTAAAGATTGATGAAACCAGTTGGAATAAAACAGGGAAAGACAAAATAGGGAATGATGAAAAGACGAATCGAAGGAATGTCAGCAGAAGAAATTTGAGAGGTGCACATCTAAAAGAGGAATTACAAAATACAAGCTTCCTTGAATTTAACTTCAAAACGGACATCTATTTAAGATTAAGCGAAATGAAAATATTTACCCCTACGGAAATTCAAAGGAATGTAATACCATTGTTACTTCAGGGTAGAGGAGGTTGCGAAGAGCAGAGGAACGAAATGTTTGCTTGTGATGAAAATAAAGACATTTACAATGAAATATTGAAAAGTAGAATTCAGGTAAATGAGTACTTAAGAACGAACTTTAGGGAGAGGGATGATTTTTACGACATTGGAAAGTACAAAACGACTGGTGATGGTAAAGAGGATAGTAGATGTGAGAATGTAAACGGTTGTGCAGGGGGTGTAAAACCGAGTGGTCAATCAAAGGAATTAGGGGAAGGAAAAGAAAAATGCTTCAATGATGTTTATCTTATAGTAAGCCCTGATAACACGGGGAAAACATTAAGCTATTTCCTTCCAATTCTTAACAACTTTTACTTGAATAATGAAAAAATTATGAAAAATTTGTCTAACTTTTACCATTTCTTAAATAAATATAATTACAAAAAATTTCGAAATAAATTATTTCGAAAAAAAGAAAAATTAAAATGTCTTAAAAATAAAAATGAAAATTTATTTTTTCATATAGCATATGAGAAGTATAAAATACGAAATAGATACATATACATGAGAAAGTATAAGAATTATAATCTCAGCAGCAGTTATATTAAAAATAAAAGAAATAATCAACTTAATTGCTTGAAGCACAAAAAAAATGTTTTTTTCCCTTATGCAATTATATTAACAAACACGAGAGAAGCAGCATTTGAACTTTATTCATTCCTGAAATCTTTTGATATAAATATAGAACTGTTAACTGGAGGATATTTATATAAAAAAAAATCCCTTAAGAAATTTCATATTGAAACGTTGTCCCCATTGGATAGTAGAAGAAGAGATGAAGGTGAGTACGACACTGAAAATATGTTTGGAAATGCAAATATGAAGAGTGAATTTCTGAAGACAAATGATTTTTTAAAAAAAATTAGTAAAAATGTGAAGACAGGGACGAGAGTTATAAACTACAACATCGACATCATAATTGGAACCCCTGATAAAATTTTCGAAAAAGTAGACAATTGTAAAAATAAACATTTATATAATTTTAAATTTTTAAAATATGTAGTCGTGGAGCAATCCGAAACATTATGTAATGTATTTAACGAAAAGAAGTTACAGCTTCTGTTTAATCACATAAAAAATTACACCAACATGTACTATTTTAGAGGTACAAAAGCGGGCAATGTCTTACCAATTGAATACACTCATGATGAAAGCACAGGTCATAATGATATCCATTACGATCCCCCAGAATGTAAAAAGAAAGATGCAGATTTAGAAAATGAAGGGGTGCGTACAAACAGTAGGAAGGGGAGAAGTAGACGTAATCTTAGAGATATGGAAAAAAAAAATGTTGAAAAAGAAGAAGTAGATGATAAGGAATGTCTAGATGAATATAAAATTTGTCATATGGAAAAGGGCACTTTTGAAAAAAGTGAAAGAAAATGTGGACCTTCTAATTTTTCTGATGGGAACAGTATGTCGATTTCTGCATGTGATGAAATTCGAACAGATGAGAATACTACAGAATGTGGAAAAACTCCCGAACATAGAGAAGGCACCGACGTTTTTTCCTATGAAGCAAGTATTACAACCGAGAGTAGCAGATACAAAGAGGAAAGAACATGCAGCAGCAAAAAGAAAGGAGAAGAAAATGTTGCAAACATAATCCATTATACCAATAATGGAAATTGTGGAAATAGTGGAAATGGCGAATATAGCAAAAATGAAAAGAACACTCTGAATTCGAATATTCCGATATCAATATTCGTATCAGCAACGAAAACCTTCTGCATAAGTGAATTTCTAAGCAACAATGTGAGAAGTAAATATATCCAGCAGATTATAAACATGAAGAGTCACGACATCAGCTCTGAAATGAAACATGTTTTCATTAACAGCAAAAATAAAGAAAAGGTTGCCCTTCTTTTGGAGCTATTAAATAGTAAGCGTGTGAAAAAGTGTACAGGTGGGGTGTACCATTCTAATTTTTTCAATAGGTATGTAATTTTTTGCAATACAAGAAAGAGCGTACAAAATTTGAAAGACGTTTTATCAGAACTGAAATACAAAGTTAGCTGTATTCATAATGAAATGAATTACAAGGAGAGAAGCCAAAACTATCGAAACTTTAAAAAGAACAGAACAAATATATTGATATGCACCAATATTTTAAGTAGAGGGGTACAGTTCGAGAATTGTGAAATAATAAATTACGACATTAGCAACAATATAAATGATTATATTTATAAATCCAGCAAAGTGTCATGTAACAGTCATAATGGAAATTATAGCAGCAAAAACAATTCATTAACCTCCTTTTTTAACAAAAAAAACGTACCACTGGTTAATGACATAATTGAAAAAACGGTTGATAAGAAAAAAATAATTTTTCAAAATTTAAATAAAAAAGTAAGTAAAATGCTAAAATTACAAAATAAATATTACGATATTGTAAAAAAAAAAAAAAAATATCAAAAGAGGGGTGGACGAAAAGCTTTGCATATAGCACCCAGACGAAATTGTTTAAGCAAAAAAAATAAAATCTTATCCAAAAAATTATATTTTTATAACAAAATGAATCTAGAGCGTAAACGATTAATAAAAAAGGGAATTCTCAAAGGCCATGAAAAAATTCCAAGATTTCCGAATAGAAAAGTTGAGGTCTATGATAGTAATGAATATAATGCTATCCATAGGTTGGATGATGGTGCCCTACAAATTTTAGCTAAAAAGAGAAAAACAAAAAAAAATAAAAATGGAGATCGAACAACGTATGAAGAGGATACCATTGTTTTGGAAAACATGCCAACCTATGAGGATGAGACGAAAGCCAAGGAGAAGAGTCATCAAAAAAAGACATATTTTTAGAGAGACATTTATCGTGTGCACCAAATACTGTTTTATATACCTTTCTCTTCTTCCCCTAGAACATGCATATAAACCATGTAAGAATTACTATTTTTTTTTTTTTTTTTTTGTGTTAAGAAGAAATGGGGATGGTCTTTTTATATATGCTTATTATGTCAGCCTTCAAATTAATTAAAGGAGAAATGCATACACAGGAAAAGACCTCAAAACCAGGGTGCAATACATTTTGAATTATGCAATAAGATCGTTCTAGTGTAGCCAAATCTCAAGTTTTGTTTATCCATTCACATGTCACCCCTTTGGGATGCATAATATTGTAGGAAAAAAACAACAACTAAGCCGCACACATTGCCGTATTTTTAAATTGGTTATCAATTTAATAAAATACCAGAAATTTGTTCTTTTCATTTGCGTCCAAGGGTAATAGTTGGATTTTCCTTATATATATATATATATATATATATATTTTTCTTTTTTTTTTTCACATACACGTATCGAATTATACTGGTTCATAAGTTATTTATTTTATTTTATTTTTCTTGTCAAAAATATATAGCTATGCCTGATGGGGTAGAGAAAATGGTACTATATTTCTGGAAAATATTCTTAAAAGAACTCATCAGGGCTGTACCTTTTTATATTGAAGTTTTGTGTCTCAATCATGTGAGATCTTTTTTTTTTTTTTTTTTTTTTTCGATTTGCATAATTTCACATGTGGACTTTATAACAAATAGGGTTGTCTTGGATCTTACATGTAGAGAAGCGGAACAAATATAATCTTAAAAAAAAATAAAATATTTGTGTAATCCCCACATCCACATGTTTTGTGCATGGGTTTTGTTTGAAGGGGAAATAATGAGAGAGCTTCGATTCCGATGGAAATGCTAGGTTAATCTTTAATTTTTATTTCGTTCCGTTTCGTTTTTTTCTTTATTTAAAAAAAAAACGGAAAAAAACTTCAACGTTTTACAACATGTTTTAAAAGTGGGGCAAACCCCAACGCAGCTGTGATACTCGGGCTGAGGAAAAAATATGCACATGTTTTTTCCTTTTATTTTTTATTTTATGCTTTTTTTTGCTTTATTTTATTTTGTGCTTTTTACATTTTCATAAAATAACCCAAGAAAACATTTCTTAAGTTTTTCTTTCGTGAATAATATCTGTTTACATAGGTGCATGATTGAAAAGATATTTTTTCAAAAAAAGGAAACAAATAAAAGTTTAGCAATGTGGTCACGATCGGGTAAAATGCTAATAAAGAGCTATGATGAAATGAAAGGCATGATGATATTATCTATGCTTTCTTTTAAAAATAAAATACGGAAGGGAAGCAACAAAAAGGTATTACTTTTGTGTAGAAGATAAAGTTTTAAAGTTGCACAACTTATCAATGTTTTTTCTTTTTGCATGTATATGTTATAATATTTGTGAAGATTATTCGAAAAGGGAATTTTAAATCTGTTAACTATATATATATATATGCATATATATAATATGTGTGTATTTTACATGTATGTATTTTACATGTATGTATATGATATGTATGTATATGATATGTATGTATATGATATGTATGTATATAATATTATGTATTAATATATATGTTAAATACACACATGTATACACTATCACTTTTTATACCTTTTTTACCTTCATATAAATGTTTAAAATAGAAACATTACACATGAAGCATGTGCATAAAATCGAGTTTGTAGCTATAATTAGAGAATTTATTTGTTTGTGTTTTTTTTTAACTTTTCAAAAAATTTCCTGATCCGAGTAGACGAAAAAAAAAAAAAAAAAAAAAAAAAAAAATTTGAAGCATGGCGAAAGATTAACTCATTCGGAAAAATTTATGTTAAAAATGATAAGTATAAATATATATGCAATGCTTATATAAATTTATACATATTATTTTGTACATATTTACATACATAATTTTTTTTTTTTAAAACTCTTTTTAAAGATCTCAATAAAAGTTCCATTTTGTTTCCTTTTTAACCTTCACTTTATGAAACTTATTCATTCTCTGGAGTTTTTAATATACAAGTGAGTACCAAAGTAAAAGTGTTACAAACGTATGTACATTATATATGTAACTCATGTTCATAAAATTTATGCATATGTCCCACCACCACCCCACCCACATTGTTTCTGTTTTACATTGTGCGTCAAGGATGATATAAAAACATGTTCGTACCAATATATATAATCCATTCACTCGTGTACGAACATGTATGCACGTATTCAGTTGCTTACAATTGACAAACAATTCACATATGAGCAACATGAGAATTATGCACATCCAGTTTCCTAGTCTCAACATGCATACATACATCGCAAAACATATTTACGTGAACACAAATGTATATGCATGAGTACACTGTATATAAGCCTTCCGTAAATTCACTGCTATAATTTACTTGAATAAGCACATGCCTTTCACCACATACACACATACGTACACACGAGTAGGTAGGTACATATGCACACACACCTCGCATCCATGGGAGTATAACTAAAGGTGTTATACCTTTCCTCTCATCTGATTAATATATATCCAGGTATTGTGTATAATGCCCCCTTTGAAAGTCATGAACTTATTCCACAAGTAAAATTTGTTTTATGTTTTTATATCCAATAAAACCCATACATTTAATTTATCAAATTGAAATTATGAGATCAGGTTTAATGATCACTATTTTGTTGTACATTTAAACTTCTGCATTTAAAAGGAAAAGAGAAAAAAAAAAAAAAAAAAAAAATTCATGACAAAAAAGCTTATATAAAAAGAAAAGAAATGTCTTACTCATTTTTCAAGCATTTAGTATAATTGTAAAGAATAAATTACATCTGTATATGTCAGGGATAGTGATTTAATTTTGCACAACAAAGTGTATCTATTTTCATTGATCCCTGCTTGATTACTAATGTTATTTGCTTCATTATTTCGCGCTTATGTAATTATGTGAACGCACACATAGATACACACATTCGTATACATACACATATGGGTTAACAATCCTTTCATTTATCTGAGAATAAATCTTTTTAATTAACGCACAGATTAACGCTTCATAAGAACATTTAAATATACCATTTTATGAGGGCAATTTTTTCAGCACCCATCTGTGTATTGTACACAAAAAAAAAAAAAAAAAAAAAATACATAGGTCAATTGGCTGAGAAATTACAAAAATTTGCTCACATTATGCATATACATAACGTATATAGATATATATGGCAAAACAATAAATTTTATATAATTGAATTTTTTTGCTTCTGCTTAACCTGCTTTCGTTAACTGCCGAATTATTTTATTTTTTCTTTTTTTTTTTTATCATATACATTTGGTTTCTTGTGGAATGTTGGATCCGCTGAACTAGCTGTAATTCTTCGGTGCTAGGACGTTTACAGTTTTCCATATTATCTATCCCATATAACCAAAGAAATAACACTGATGAATGCATACAATACTGAAGGAAGGTATTTATTAATAATCTATGAAAAGGTATTTAAAATAATTTATATAAAGAATTTAAAAGACAACAAAAATGAGGATGTTAAAGTGCCATCATTGTTTATTTTTCGAGAAAGTGGGAAATGTTCGGAGAAATTGATAAATAAAGATAAAATTCGAAAAAAAGGTAAAAAATTTGGAAATATAATAAATGAATTAATCATTGATAATATTATAGGTACCATTGAAATTCGAAACGAATTATTTTTATTTGTTGTTGACAAATGGAAATTATTATGTAAATTTTTTTATTTAAATAAATATAGAAGTATATATAAAATAGAAAAGGTGCATTATATACCGTATAATATAAATATAGTTTCCTTAAATACAATAATTAATAATGCTCTGAATGTCGATGATAATTCAACAAATTATTTTATTAATCATTTGAGAAATCATGAAGATATAGGAAGAAATTTTGAAATCATAAATAACAGTGGTCACAGTCACACAACGAGACATGATCTTCATGAGCTCAGAGGTGAGAAGAACAAATATTGTAAGAATGATCAACGCATTCACAATCTCAATGACAGAATTAACAGTTCTGCCAAAAATACACATTCCAATGATCCTTCCCATGAACCGTACAGTTCAAACAGTGAAATTGAAAAGAGTTACCATATAGAAGATGATAATATATACAATAAACATTTTGTAAACCACAATGGAAAAGTAAATAATAATACAGTTATTAATAGACCTAACAAAATTTCAAATGAGTTCGAAATGGGAATTAATTCCATGGATCATCGAACGTATAGAAATAATAATTATGTTAAAAAAGAGGAGAAAAATAAAAAAATTTTAAATTTTAATACTGCAAAAAAATGGCTGACTAATCAGTTCAATCATAAAAATTTGTTAAATATAATTTCTGACATAACTAATTATGATGTTAGAGGAAACAGTGAGGGCACGGGAGTATCAACCTCTCGTGCACGGCGAGGAGGAAGTGTGAATAGTGGTCCTAGTGCAAACTATACACATCGAAGGATACAGAAAAATGAGGAAGAAACCATGAACACGAACTCATCAACTCTTGATGAAAACGAATTTATGATGCACATACTGAATGATAAGACAAACACATCGAGCAGGAACAATGAAAGCACAGTTAATAAGATTGACAGCAATCAGGATGTGCTCAAAAGCTTAGGTTCTAGAGATAAGGCAAATGGAAGTAATATGAACGATGCCCATACTAATGATAGCAATATATTTTTTTGTAGTAATAATAACATGAATAAAGAATCATATGGAAACTATGCGAATGAGATAAATATGAGACACAAAGATCCTGTTGATTCTCCAAAAATAAACATAAACCTAATTGATGATTTGTTTGAGGATAACCATAAGGACAATGAGAAAGTATCTATTTCTATGGTTGAAAATGATAATAAAGAAAATCACTTGAACAGTGTACTCTGTGATGACATGAAGGAGTTATGTTCCATGGAAGAGAGAAATTTCAAGAACCACCTTCAGGATCATAGAAATGTTCAAAATTATCCTGATCTGGGACCAGCTGTAGCTGAGCCCAATATGAAAGATGGTGGAATAGAAATAGGAATAGAAGAATCTCAGAATGAGACATACTCGAAGAAAAATAACTATAGTAATTACGATAAATTGATGTGTGTTGCCCATGATGATCAGAAAGGAGCACTAACTCTTTCTATGAATGAAAGTGAAAACTGTAACGAAATGCAAGAACAGAAGTATAAGTTAAATGATAAAAATAACGGAATGCGAAATGTTTCCGAAAATAATGCAACTGGAAAGGAAGGAAATATAAAGGACCTTATAAATAACTCTTACTTTAATGTAAGGAACAGCGTTGTAACATTAGATAATGTAGAAAATAATGAGAAGAGGAATTCACACCGTCTTAATTTGAAAAATCCAAATGATGAAAATATTAAAGGGGATGAGAAAAAAATGAATATTAAAATGGATATGCATAAAATGTTAAAAATGATTCAAAAGATTTTGACTATTCATATGTATTATTCGTATGATTATGACCTAACACAATGTATTCAAAAAAAAATGAAGAAAAATATTGAAGAGATAGAAGTACAACCCATACTTACTTCTTCAAGAACACATGGGAAAAAAAAATCATTTTTAAAAGTAAATGAAAAAAATTTTATGTGGAATTATCAAATGATAAAAAAAATTAAAAGTAAATGTAAAATAGATGATAACTGGTTTTGTTCAGTTATTCAAGGGTATATATCGTACACTTCTATTGAAATAAATAGAAGGTGTTTGGAACTACTTCTGATAAGTCGTCGTTCATCTGTCTTGGGAGGCACACGATTTAATAAAAGAGGAATAAACGATGATGGATATGTGGCTAATTATGTTGAAACGGAGCAAATTATCAGGATTAATAGTGGAAATATTAATTATTTGACTCGATTCGACAAAATAAATTTGATTGGAGATAGTGCCAAAAAGCAGAATGTAAATTTCGCCAAAGGAATCACTGAATTGGATACTCATAATAACATTCATGTTAATAAGTTTATGGAACTAGAAATTAACAGCACACAGGAGATAACCCAGCATGAGATGGGACATCACAGGAATGTCCATTCTAACATAGGAAAGGACTTGGAGGGAGATAAATCAGAACAAAATTATAGGAAAAGGTATAATCCATTGAATGAAGGGAAGAAAGGGCAAAATGAGAAGCGTGATTGTGCAATTGGTCATAACATCCAAAGCATTGCTAACGAGGCGATTAACCCAGTTGACAATAAAACATCATTTAACGATGTTCATAACGGGTCTGATCAGGCGAATAATCAGGCGACTACCTATGGCACCAATGACGGCTCCAATCACGGGGATAATTCAGAAAATGGCATTGGAAGCCAGGACCAAATGTACAGAGAGAGCAATCTCGAGAACAGAATAATATCGCTAGTCCAGATAAGAGGATCGGTGCCACTATTCTGGAAGCAGCACTCCATGTCATCTCATGTGAATATACAGAGATCATCCCTGTTAAGCATAAAGGCATTTAAGGAGCATAACAAGAAGTTAATCAACAATTATGGAAATAACATATACTACATAAACTTATTGAGTCAGAATAAAGGGAACGAAAAGAAGTTGACAAAAAAAATGATTGAAATGATAAATTATATTAAAAAGGATAAGTATTACAAGGAAAGAGATTTTATAAATTATATCGAATATGATTTTCACATTTCTGTGAAAAACAAAAGTTTTGAAGATGCTATGAACGATTTTATAAATAAAGTATTGCTTAAGGAGATAAAAAACGTGTCTTTTTTCATGGAACCATTGAGGAGTGCAGAAGTGAATGCAATCAATTTGAATGCAGACATGAGTAGTGGCAGTGCTAACAATAAGGACAATAATAATAAGAAGAACGACAGCAATGGGAGCAACATCGAAGGAAGCAATATCAAAGGAAGCAACATCGAAGGAAGCAATATCAAAGGAAGCAACATCAAAGGAAGCAACAGCAATAGTGGTAACAACTATTTGGGGAATAACGAATCGTCCATATATCAAAATGGAGTTTTTAGAACCAACTGTTTAGACTGCCTAGACAGAACGAATGTGTTCCAGTATTACTACACCTTATTTTTTATCCTTTACGTTCTGCATGTTTCGAAAAATGACATATTTTTAAAACCAGTAAAAAAATCCTACTTGTGTTTCTACAAAAATTTTAATACCATGTTTAATAATAAGAGTGTAACTATTCTGACGACACTTCCGACGGACAATTACTTGCTTGAATTTTCTGAGAAGTATGGCATAAATAATAATTACGAACATAGGAAGAGAAGCAGTAACAATAGTAGTGGTGCACTTGAAGAATTTTGCTATGTTGATGGGGAAGGAAGTATTAACAGTGGCAGCATTGCAAATAATATAAGCAACATGCACAGTCGTTGTAGCATGCACAGTGGTAGTGGCATGCACAATGGTAGTGGCATGCACAATGGCAGCAGCATACACAATGATAGTAGCAGCTATCATAATGGTAGCGAGAAGAGGGAATGTCTGAAAAATGAAATAATGAACCGAATGGAAAAAGAAGAAAAGCAACACCGAATGGGATACAATAATTACGAACGGGAAAATGAAAAAAAAATGAGTAATAGACCAGAACAATCAGATGAATATATACACATTTTAAAACATTTCTTTAAAAAAATGTGGGTAGAAAATGGTGATATTATTAGCACCCATTACACAGGAACAGGTAGCGTTTTCTCATCCCAAATAAATGTTGGAAGATCGTCATTAAGTACTAATATTGATCATGCAATTAAATCCATAGAAAGGTTTTATCAAAACAATTTTGAAGATAATTTTAGACAGGAATGTATCGATATTATATTATGCACAGGTAAATATAGCAAAACGAAAAGGAAAAATTTCATAGGTGGAGATTTTAATTATTTCTTAAATTATGGTAACTTTATGAATAAAGACACTTTTCTCAGTTTAAGAGGTAAAAACATAGGTCTCTCTATACCATATCTACCATATGGGAGAAGTTTGCAAATGAATAATGAAAAACTTCAGCATGAACAGCAACATAATAACTCTAAAAACAAGCATGAAAAGGTAAGAAGTAAAAATAAAGCATTCGAATTAAGCAGCAGTAATAGTGATTCTAGTGAAAAAAACACATATTCTAACAGTAGTGTTTTTTCACAAGACGACGAAGGGAGCATGCCAAGAGAAGGAAAAAAGCAGGTAAGAAGTTGTGCGAAGAACAAAAATGTTGACAAAAAAAAGTTGGAAGGAAAGAAAGCCAAAGAGAAATGTTTGGAGGAAAATGATAAAACGGGGAAAGATATATATTCCCATGATGGTGAAGTGAAAGAGAAGGAAGAGAAGGAAAATCATGAAGGAGAATCGGAAGAAGTTGATGATTATAACAAACAATTGCAGACACAATTATCACAACATTCTAAACATTTGACAAAATCTTTTAAATCGTTAAAGTCCTTGAAACGGGTCAAACTGAAGAAATCGAAGAAGAAAATTTTGGCGAATGAAATGCAAGATTCATTGGTAGACAGCGGAAGCAAGACGTACGAATTTGTTGAGGAGGATAAAAACACTCAGAAGCAGTCGAAGAGGGAAAAATCGCATGTGAAAAAAACTAAATCCACTAGCGATGTTAACACACGATCAAATGTAAATAATGACAGCAGTACAGATAGTTCGATAAATGGGAAGAGCAGTATTAGTAGTAGTACTACTAGTAACAGTAGTAGTACTGACAATAGCGTACAAAAAAGGAGGAAAAAGAAAATGAGAAGAAAATATAATAACAAAAAGAGTAAGGAAAAAAAGAACAAAAGCGATTTAGTGTATATGAAAAATTTATATAAAAAGAAAAATTATATATATAACATTCGAAATAGAAATAAGTATAGCGATTATTTAAATCATGATCTTATAAATCATTACTACATGGATTTTGACGATTCTAAAATTTCAAACTCTTATAGAAAAAAAAAAATGATGAATAATGATTATGAAGAGAAGATAGTAAAATTGTGGGCAGGTACTTGGAACTTGTGTGGAAATGATTTATATGAATTGAATGATATATCGTCATGGTTGAATCAGATTAATGAATGTATTGACATGTATGTATTTTGTTTTCAAGAAGTGGTAGAATTGACAGGGTTTAGAATTTTGATGAATATGAAAGACAAATTTAAAGAGAAAAAAATAGAGCAGAAAATTACACAATCTTTGGCTGAAATATCGCAAAGACAGAAAGAAATGTATATTAGAAGCAAAATTGGCACCAGTGCATACTTTGAAAATGGAACAATTAACAAAACGAATGAAAGACATATGGACAGTACTAATCACGGGGCGTACACTCCAGCCAACACCTACGATGACTATAAGTGCACTAACAACCACCCAATGAATAAGGAAGATTATTACGAAGATTATTTGAAATGTTTTAATGAAGCGTTCGTGTGTGATGGGGATCCTAGCATGGGAAAAGATTCCCACATAGGTATTGGCACCAACGGTATGCACAACGAAAGAAGAAAAGGATCTGAGAAAGAGGTAAGAAAAAGCATCGATCAGAATGGGGTCCTTGATATTTCTAAAAGTTGCTTTTTGAACAATTACTTTAACAATTTAGAGAAGGATGAGCTACAACAGGTGAAGCAGAATGAGAAAGAACAGGTGCTAGAGCAAGGCCAGAATAAGAGCATCAGTACGCCAAACTTGTATTCTCAGAATGATCAGAGGAAGTCGTTCAATCTGAACCTTATTGAAGAGGACCACTTAAATGATCAAAGGAAAAAAAGCGAAAATTTAATTTTTTTACATGAACATTCAGAAAAGAATGAACTATTGGAAAAGGCAAACTCAAAAAATAATACAAATAATAAACATAATAAAAGAAATCAAAGTAATAACATACTAAATCTTTTAGAGTTTCGGGACAGTAATGGTTGTAACCTTTTAGGAGATCATATATTAAAAAGTAATGATACTAATATTAGTTCCAATATAAATGAAGTTTTTGAGAATACATCTTTGAATAATTCAAATAAGAAGTTACACGATTCTTTATACAATAGTGGAGATATTTTTAATCAGCTTGATAATGGAAACAGTATAAATAATGATGATGAAGATGTTGCTGTTAAAGGGTCGAATGATAAAAAAAATTTCCATAATTTGAATCATGTAAATATGGACAATATAGGGAAGAATAAAGACGTTGAGAAATGTAAAATGGAGAGAAGACAACATAGCAATAGCAATAGGAAACAGGTTGTAGAACCCTGTGTTGACAATTACAAAAGATATGACAAAATGGAATATCAGAAAAAAAGGGGCATCAAAAGTTTTAACATTTCAACTATTCATGATGTTTTTGACGAAAGTAATAATTGCAACACACCTAATTTGATACATTTGGAAAATGATAAGTTTGATGACATACATATGGGCATGCATGAACGGGCCAACAGTGTAAATACGCATAATCATAGAGAAGGAAAAAACATTCAGAGGTGTGGCTCGGATGAATACAGTGGGTGTAGAAATGAACATGATGGTCATGGTAGTGCACCTTGTAACAATGAAAAAATGTCGTTAGAAAATAATGGCGATTTTTTGAAGAATGAATCAAACAAATACTTTTTAAATTTAAAAAAATTTAAATATGTGAAGCTAAAGTCAGTATCCATGATAGGATTGTTTATTATAATTTTCATTGATGAAGGGTTAGTTGACTATATAAGAGAAATAGAAGTGTGTAAGGTGAAGGTTGGTTTAAAAGGTAATACAGGGAATAAAGGAAGTGTATCCATAAAATTTCGATTAGGCTTTAACTCCTTCTGTTTTAATAATATCCATTTAGCATCAGGGCAAACAAATATTTTTGAAAGAAATAGCCAGATGCAAAGTATACTAAGTAACAGTTTTCAGAACCAAGAATTAAATAACTTATTTAACTTCGATTATTTTTTTGCGTGTGGAGATTTTAATTTTAGAATTAATAAAAGTCATGAAGAAGTTTTCAACTCAATTGCAAAAAAAAAGGCAAATCAGCTATTAAATTATGACCAGTTCATATATAATAAGTTGTATAACATTCTCCCATTTTGCCTTTTTTATGAGCACCCTATTATGTTTAACCCGACCTACAAGTACAAGAAAAATTCAAACATGTACGACGTGAGGAGGACTCCAGCATGGTACGTTTTGAGATGACGTGGTGCAGATCCACCCATCCATCTTGCTAGATCATCCAGAATTTCTGTGCCTATGTTCGTATACATATTCCCATTTGCATGTGCACACACGTGGTTACTCATGTGTACTGACCTTTGGGTCACGTGACTAATTTATCTGTATATATTTTTTTCGAACGTGCTTCCCCCACTTTTTTTTTCAAAAATAGGTGCGATAGGATATTAGTAAGCGGGAAATTAATACATCTGTCGGAGATGGAGAAGAAGAGGAAAGAACATATGGCACAAATGTTCAATTCTGAGAAAGAAGACCCAAGTAAAGGTGCACATAGAGACATGGATGATCATAGGGACAACAGTAAAAATAGTCAGGAAAGGAAAATGCATCAGTTAAAGCAGCAGAGCAAAGAATTCGGCAGCAACAAAACAGAGGATTATAATGCGAACGATTTTTATCATAATGATAAAATATATTTTAATTACTTAAATTATAAGACACACAATAATTTTTTTTCAAGCGATCACAAGCCTGTGAGTGCAATTATAGAATTAAAAGTATTTTTTGATAAAAAGGATATTGAATATAAACTTCTTAATTCGTATAGTCTTAGAACAAATGACGAATTCGTTAATTTGGCCAAAAATTCCAGCAATACTAGTAATAGTAGTAACAATAAGAATAATAATTTATTGGATTACTTTTTTCCCAATAATTATGGTTTAAGCAAATATACTGTGTATCCAATCTCTCAAATTTTAAATTACTCAAACAATTTAAATAACAAATTTAAGAACGAAATGAATGAACATTCATTCCACCAAGATGCGATAAAAAATATAGAACAGCTCGATGATCTTTCTTGTGCTAAGTAAAGAGGGTATACATGCTAATTTTTTTTTTTTTTTTTTTAAATTATGAACAGCAAGGAAAGAGTAAAATAAACAGACAATAAAAAGAAAAAAACAAGACAAAAAGCACATGGCAAAACAAGAAAAAACACGTTACTTATTGAAAGGTTAAATTGAGTGAATATTTACATGATGAATATCATATGCATGTGTATTTTTTACGCGTGTGTGTTAAGATTTGCAAACACATCCCCGATGCTTGTAAAAAAAAAAAAAAAAAAAAAGAAGTAGATATAGTTCTTAATATGTGTAATGAAGGTATACACATATGCACGAAGTCGTATGTGTATTCGTTCTTACACTCTTTATGTGGGGTTATATTCTTACCTCCATCTAGACGAATATTCTATTTTTTCTTTATTTCTTTTTTTTTTTTTTTTTTTTTTTTTTTTTATGTTTATTTTATTTGTAATGTTTTTTGTTTTTCCTTTTTTTTGCAAATTTCGAATTTATACATTTTGTTACTCTCCTATCCTCATCCTATATGAATGTTTTAAGTTGATAATACAATTTCCTGTGTATTATAAATAATATGTTAAATTAAAATTTACATTAACGTACATCTCTCTCTTCCATTTTTTTTTTTTTTTCTTATAACCTATTTATTAAATGAATGCATTTTTGTCGAATATTAATTTGCAAGGCTGTGTGTATTTGTATGCCGTGAGTATGGTTTTATGATTGAGAAGTATATAGCTTATTACACATGTGTATGTCCCACATATACGTGTCCTGCATCTGCATATGGGCATATACATTAATATGCACCTATAAACATATGCATTGTGTACACAGGTGTGAACTGCTTTTTTATTCTTTATTTTTGTTCATTATTTTACTCTTTATTTTTCTTTTCTTTTTTTTTTTCTTGTTTTTTTTTTTTTTTTTTTTGTATACATATTTTTTAAGTAAACTTGATAAAAAGAAAATAGAGAATAAGTGGGGGTTAATAAATAATTAAAACTTTTGAATCAGTCAACATTCGATTCATTGTTTTAACATTAAAATTTTTAACGTATATAAATGTGTTTCAAATTTTTCCAGTGCTTTCAAAAAAATTGTTTTATTTTTATTTTTCTGTTTGGCAGAGTTCATTTTTTGTGTCTTTTTCATTTTCTATTTCATATTTTTTTTTCTTTTTTTTTTTTTTTTTTTACTTAATTTTGTACATCAATGTGAAACATTTCTTAATACAACAAATTGTTCATATAAGAACAAAAAAAAAAAAAAATCATTTTTTTTTTTCGTTGAAAGAAAATATAGATATATATCCATTATCGAGAAGACATCAGAAACGGATAAAAATGAATAAGGTACCTTTGCTTTTTTTCATTTAAAGAAAAATGGTATAACACTCCTATGTGGCCTTATGTCTCATGTTGTCCATATTTATTATGTGTATTTTTTCATAAGAATAAGAAAATGAATAAATCTAAATGCGGAATTTTTGCTAAGGTAAAACTGTAAATTTTTTTTTCATTCGAATTAAAAAGGTATATCGTTAAAAATGACCTCGTAAAAACATTAGGTAAAAAAAAAAAAAAATAAAAAAAAATAAGTGCTTCAGTAAAACGATATCTACAAGAAAGAAAAAATGTTGTATATGCACACATGCAATGGTTGAACGAAGAAATGTGTCATTTGAACATTATTTGTAGGCAGTTTTAAGGGTACACTTGTTTCTATAAGAGTATATAATGCATACAGAACGTAGGGATATATTTCACTATGTATAAAGGATAGAAATTGAAGTAGATAAAAATTTTGTGCTTTACCTTGTATGTTTTAAAATGAATAATGGCTACTTTGAGGAACTTAAACACAAGGGGGAATTTGCCTTAAGTGCGTATTTCAACTTTATATAAAATTTGCAAACGTTAAGATAAAACCGGAAAATGTTATTGATAAAACGAAACAAAAATGGGTGAACGAGCATGGTATACAAAAAAGTGTCTTTTTCCCATTTTAAAAAGGAATGTTGGCGTTTATTTTGATAAAAACCCAATTGCACTATTTCACATATCACACAATAATATACATTTTGTGTTTTAAATAGTAAAAGAATAAGAAAAAAAAAAAAAAAAAAAAAAAAAAAAAAAAAAAAATTATTTTCTCTTCCTCCTACATCTTTAGTATTTTTTTGCACCAAAAAAACCCAATTTTTTTTTTTTTTTTTTTT